CATCACAAGCCCCTTCCACTTCCCCACCCACTCACTCTCCAGGTGTTTTTTATCTCGTCTTTCCATCCATTGATTTTGCACTTTTGCTTTTTCCTCTTTCTCCTCATTCCCCCAATGTTTCCAGGTGAGTTTTCTCCTCCTACGCACTCCAGCCCTCACACTGACCCTGCTTGTTAGTAGTTATTTTTAGTACTGTTCACAATCCAGCTTTAGGTGCTAGTGCATGTTTCACTTCAGGCACTCAACTGAAATCCACTCATATACTGTGAGTCTGTTAATTTTTTTCCAGCAACACTTTGTTGACTTGCCAAGGCAAACCTTTTAATTATCGATCCATCTTCTTTCCTGATTTCTTTCTCTACTAAAGCAGGCAGTTGGAATTTCACGTGGTTACCTGTATAGCTCAGAGCCTCCAAGGGAAACATAAACTTCAGATTAAAACAAAACTGAACCACTTAGAGCAGAAGATAATGCTGGTTGCCATTTGCATCCCTTCCAACACCCCTCAATGCTTTTATATGCTATTATTTCCTCACAATAAAAACAAACCCCCAAACATACATTTCATCTAATGCCACACAGCTTTTATCTACTTATCTATGTATTTTATATCTCTGTTCATCTAAGTTCTAAGATGTGTTATTCAAAGGGATAATAAACTGGATTCAGACGTTGCAACACTCCTTTTAATACTTCTATAAAAGTTACGTGTACCTCTTCGAAGTCCTCTTTGGCTGACGGCAGATCGGAAGCTAAGCTGGCATCCCCCAGGTGTTTCTCCGTCCTCTCTCCGTGCACTACGGTGGTCTTGATGACTTTGCTGACCTTCCGGCCTTCCACTGGCTCCGACTGGAATTTGGAGGCACTAGGCACAACAGCAGGCTCCGACAGGGTCACCTGGAAGGAGATGAATTCCATGCTGCACAATTTGCTCTAGCAAAAGATCCCTTTCACGCCTGTGGGCTCCATACAGTAAATTGTAGCTCTGTTAAGGGTCAGCCAACAAAATAAAAAGCCTCTGCTTGCTTGTGACCTTACTCCTAGAGAATTAATTCTGATGAGGAATTCTGGCAAGAAAAAACATCCATGACACTTTTTGCATTTCTAATCACTGCTTGTTATTCACTACATCTCACCCCAGGACTCCTAAAAGCATGCGCTCTAGGTCCCAGCTCCTGGCCCTCTGTCCCAAGAGTTTTGCACATCCAAAGGTCTGCAGGGCCACACAGTGTAAGCATGGCATGAGAAGGCAGACTGAAAAGCACTCAGCTTTTCAGGTTGTTTTTATTTTTAATTATCTGGCTCTAAAACAGCTTGCATCAAAGTCATAGGTGTTTTTCAAGCAAAGAACAGGCCAGTCATTTAATCCAGGTGTAGACTTGGTTGTACAATGAGCACGATAAGATGCAGTGACTAAGTTCCCTGTTGGGGTGCTGGTGCTTGGTAGCATTGCGACGAAAGAACCATCTACCTCTGACTGCTCGCTGTCGCTCTTCAGCACAACCCGTTTCACAACTTTGGAATAGCCATCTCCTTCTTCAACGGTGACAGGTGCTTGTGGTGCTCCTTGCACTAGGACTTCCTCTTTTTCTGTGCCATCTGGAGAAACGTACCGACGGATGATCTTCCGAGTGACCTGTGCGGATGCAATGGAGCTTAGTCCCACAAGAATTAGCAGCACTGTATTCCTCCTAGTTCTCTGTGCAGCATTTTCCACTCAGAGGGCATCTTTTCCCACATGAAAGAACCTGCACAGATGGTTTACTCTTTAGTCTTCCACACAAGTGCTCACAAGGACCCGTGGTGACGCTGCCAGTCTAAGCGGTCGCCTTACTTTGGTCAACCACATGGCAAAGCTTCCATGAACCTACTTTGTAGGTGGGCACAACAGAGATAGTGGAGCGACTCCCTGAAGCAGTGATTACAGCATTTCAGAGAGAAAATACACTTTACGAATGCACAACCACTAGGAAACGCTTTCAGACTGGCGTTTTCAAAAAGGCTTCAGAGATAAGATTCATGGTACTAAGCACTACTGAGCTAGTGAGCTAAAGTGAACCCACTGAAGAGACTCATCTGGTGCTCGAGCTCTTGAGGCACAAAGGAGGAGGAGCAGAAGACAATAACAGGGCTCAAGATGAGAGAAATTTCTCAGGAGGACAGGTGTGCATCATTCTATGGATGACCCAGAGCTCTACACGGCATCGTCCAAGGCATCCATAAGAATACAGTCATGCTCACTCCTGTACATCAAAACCCAGGAATATTTGGCTGGGGTGGTTTATTCTAACATGAATTCAAACAGGTACCTTTTTTAAAAAAAAAAACAAACAACTTGCTTGTAAGACCTGGGTATATGCAGAATTTTTATTGGCTTTACATGGGAAAATTAACAAAATATGTCCCTCTGAGGTTATATACTGTAATACAGAATGATCTTGAGAAGCAAAATAATTCTTTGAACTTTGTATCTCTCATGAAAAGAAATTCTCATTCCTTCCGCTCTCTACTCTGCAAATTATGCCCCTTTCACACAGCAGAAAATCTGGCATGCATGTGGATGGTTTTATCCTGCCTTCTATAGGACAGGAAAAAGGTAGGAAGGGGCAGAACTGACAATACCTTCTTTACCACTGTGTGGCCATGTTCATCTGTATACTGCTCTTCTGTGACTGTTTCTGGTGGCATGTCAGGCATAGTATCAGCCTGTATGACAAAGAACAAAGGTGTGTGTGAAGCGAGGCCTCCATGCGGGTCACTTGAAACGAGCAATTTTAAAATTGGTTAATCGGTTATAGAATGGGGGGAGAAAAATTGAAAAGTGTTAGAAAAAAAATCTGTTCTGCAAATAAATCCTTAGAAAGGCATGCAACAAAATGTTATGCCACAGCAGACAGGCAAAGATATGTTAGTTGACTGCATTGGGTATGGGGCTGAGGAGTCATCTTCCTCCTCCTACCAAGGTGCCTAATGGAGTTTAGAGTTGGGTTAGCAGTATTACTGTAATCCTGAGGTATTGGAATGGCTTATCCAATGCCCATGCATTATTTGGGAGCGTCCCAGCTTGAGCTGTGACTCCAGTTAAGTGGCTCTCCCCGTGTTTCCAGGTCCTAAGACACCACAGGCTCATGCAGTTGTTCACCACTCGGTACCTGAATAATCACCCGGCGCCGAACGACCCTGGTAGTGACCATCTCGTCCTCGTCCGAGCTCATCTCCAGCCCACCCAACTCCTCTGCTAACTCCTAGGGGAAGCATGGAAGCAGTGCTCTGTTGGGTGTGTGTAGCAGGGTGTATTTATGCTGATACTTTTGGTCTGTGTTTGGACCCAGCCACCTGTAGTAGTTTATATTCACCCTGCAAAGGTTACTGATAAAACACTGAATTTGTCCTTGGAGGAAGAAATTCTGTATAAACTATTTTAATTGGTGCTCTACTATTGGTTCATTGTCTGCCAAGGGCATTTGAAGGAGAAATCCAAGAGGAGGGGAAGAAGGCTTGACCCCCACCTCAATCAGAAAAGACCCCCAAAGCGTACTGCGCGTGCGTTAAGGGACTGCCAAAGTTCTCACGCATGTGCTGAAGGGATGGACTTACATAACCAAGGGGGATGGATTTGGGCTGGGTCGTGATGACCACTCCTACCTAGGCTGAGGTCACTCAGTTAATTGTGTAAGAGCAGACAGTGCTCTCTTGGAAGGGAGCTCACTTCAAACCAAGGACAACGTTGCCTTTTGGCAGGGACACCTGCCAGTTTGTGAACTTACTGACTCTCCAAGGATGCAGCTTCTGCCATGGGTAATTATAGGTATGCTGGGTCAGTAAGATAACTTTATGGGCAACAGCGGGGTAACTGGGGAGGTCCTACTGGGGGCTTATTTCTCTCCTCCTTCCTCCCTTTTGGGTTTGTTCGTTTTGCTGGCCACCTCTTGGTAATAAATATCAGTTTTGCTGAGCTTGTGACAGTGTCATGGTTTTCAAGTTTCAGTATGTTCAAACCTCTCCCTAACATGTTTTTTGGCGACGAGAATGTCATACTGAGCACGAAACACACCATTGCCAAGGACAAAGCATGTCACAGGTGGGATGCATAGCCTGTGGAGTGAACTGCTGGTTTTTGTAGGAAATTGGGCTAGGGTGGCAGGCTACAGAATATAGCTGACTCCCCTTGCTTCTGTTGATCTTCATCTTCTGTCGAAGGTTTTGTTGTGTTACACTTGGTTTTGGCTGGGATAGAATTCATGCTCTTTTAGGGAGCTGGTTCACAAGAAAGCTGGGAGGCAGCACAGCCAGGAGAGCTGGCTTGAACAAGCCAAAGGAATATCCCATGCCATGGAATATTATGGGACAAGACATCAGAAGGGCCCCATCACTGCTTGAAGTGGCAGGGTTGGCCGGTTGCTGTCTGACAAGACTCTTTCTGAGTCAAGTGTTAGTGTTTGTGAGCGTTTCAGGGAGTTGTGGGTGTAGGACATGGTGGGTAAAGTCCAGGATGGGGGTTGTAGTGTTACCCCTTTCGTCAAAGTGTCCCGGGTGGACACCGGAGTTTTGATATTCACTCAGGGATTGCACAGGAGTCAAGTCCAGTGCCGGGCTGCCGCCCCTGGGGCCTCCAGGGAAAGAGGTTTCCCTGCGTGGGGGGCTGCATCAGGCTCTGTGTTATCTGTAGTGAAGTCTGGGACCCAGGGGAATGGGCATATTCCCCCCCGGGGCCACGGTGGGATGTGTTCTAGTCCAGGATCCTGGGGGAATGGGCATTTCCCCCCCTGGGGCCACATCGGATGTGTTCTAGTCCGAGATCCAGGGGAAATGGGCATTTTCTCCCCTGGGGCCATGCTGGGATGTGTTCTAAGCCTGGGACCTGGGGGGGGTGGCAAGAATTTTCCGCCCAGGGCCACACCAGGATGTGTTCTAGTCTGGGACCCCAGGGGAATGGGCATTTTTCCCCCCGGGGCCATGCCAGATGTGTTCTAGTCCAGGACCCAGGGGGAATGGACTTTTTCTCCCCTGGGGCCATGCTGGGATGTGTTCTAAGCTGAGTTTACTGGGAGTTCATGTGAGGGGGGCTGACAGGAGCCCAGCAGCAAACTGCAGTAGGCAGAGAAAAAAAAAAACAAAAAGAGACACAAAAAGCAGTTTCTGACTTTTTTTTTTCCCCCTTTTCTCAGCCGCTTCGCTCCCCCTTTCAAAGACGAGGGATTTGGCAGCTGCAGCTGCAGGGAGTCAAGAGGAAAAAAAAAAAAGGAGTAAAGCAGCTCCTAGCTGCTTTTCCCTTCTACAGCCCCAGGCAGAGGGGGGCTGCAGCCCCCTCAGCAGCTGAGGCAGCAGGGAGATAATTTTTGGTTTTGGTAACTTTAATAAGGGAAAATTGTTTATATAGTGTGTTTTGAGTTTTAGGCCAGCAAGCACCAGGTTCTGGGTGCACATGGGCAATTGGGTGCCTTCGCACACGTTATAGTCAGATTTAGAGAAGAAGGTTAAGAATAGTATTGAATTTGAGGAGGAGAGGAAAAAAGGTTAGAACTTTTAATTGATTGATTAATTTGTGCTTATGTTTGGGATCTGATTGTGCTGAAAGCCCTAGCTAGGGGGTTTGTGGTTATGTTTGTCAAGTTGGCATGGCTAATAGCATCTAACTTGTGGAATCCAGCAGCCCCCAGGAGCTGGTTTCTCCTCTGAGGGCACAGAGCAGCAGGGCCTGTTCCAGACCCAACTGTGCCTTCCAGAAAGGGTGCATTTTTAGGAGCCAGCTTTGTACTGAGAAGTCAATTAGAGAATTAGCTGAAGCACTGCTTGGGATGCAGTCAAGGAGCTTTGTTTTCACAATGGTTGTGAAAAATTAGTTGCTGTAACTCTGCTGTATGTTGTGAATTAACCTACGTGGAGCCAGTGACACTTTTTCCCCTGAGGGTGTTAGTGAATATGGGGTTTTATGGCCCTGGTGAAGGCAGTGAGACAGCAGCTGCCAGCCTCAAAGTCATGGTGGGTTTAGGTTCTTGGAAGTTTGGCATATAATTGATAAGTCATGTTACTTTAGGTTCACGTGGTGGTAATTTTGAGTTCACATGGTGGGCTGGGGTCACAAACAGAAGAATGAAACATGTCTTGAGATTTATGGTTCTTCAGAATCCTCACAAACCCAGAACACTGCCAGATTCCTTGAAAGTCTAACTGCTAAAACCAAGGTAAAGAAAATAAAAACAAGATAAGAGAAAGGACAAGAATAGAACAAAACCTTAACTTGATAAAACTATACTTTGGTAACGAGGAGGGGCAATATGACACCCCAAGTAGATATTAACTTGTTAGTATGGGAAAGGGGGTTTGTTTTTATTTTGTCTCCCACAGGACCCTGCTGGCTTCCAGCATTTTTGATGAAACCTTATCATGAGCAGCAAGAATTCTGGACAGAGATCAGTGAATGCTGAGCAGCACCAGACCAACCCGAATATCACATGGAAGAAAATATATCCTAAATACAATTCATTGTGTCTACTAACTTTTACTAACTGGTGTAATGACTCAGTTATTGTGTACCTGTCTCTTGTGTGTCTTATTGTCCACACCTGATGTTGTGATTCGTGTAATGAACAATGCCTTTCCGGTGATCCTTATTTATCATTTGTGGTACTCAGTGAGCCTGGCCAGGGGCTGGGAGGACACAGTTACCACAGCCATGACTACTCCTGCATTAGCCTATTCAGTGCAGATCATGTATCTTGAATAACAAAATGGATTGGTTATTCTTTTTCACACAGGAGGTCTCGTGTCCTGACGGATCCCTGGATCCACTAATTCCAGAGATGAGAAGGTCTATATTTCTTAGATGAGTGGCACCAACAATCTGTATGCTTTGTTTTGTATTACTGGTAAGCAACAATCAGAATTGGAATAGTATTCCTGAACTGTGTGCTGCTAAGTTGTTATGACAGCAGGGTTAAAGATAAAAGCTAGAGCTAAGCCCTGGCTTCAGGATGTGAAGGAAATATGTGATGCTGTGTGCAGAGTGTCTGCAATTGTGCTGGGTTTTGCCTCCTGGGATGAGGCAGATGTGTCACTAAGCGGGGAAAGAAGACAATGCAAAACTACACAACTTGTAACATCCTGAGGCCTAATGGTCATCCCTGTATAGAACGATCCGTTTCGGTGCTGTTCATGTCACACCAGTGATGTTTGTGAAGATCAGGCAGAACAGTGTGGTTTGGGGATTCTAAATCAGACACTGTTTTGCAGTGCTCATATTTGTATGTGTTTTATCCCAGTAGTGTTACAACAGGTGGCAAAAATTATTTGGAATCAGCATATGACAAAAACCTTTTGGTTTACAAGTCTACACAAGAATATATGTGATTGTGAAATAACCATGTGTGAGGTGCTGGGCCTCGCAGAAGAAAATTCTTATGTTGAAAAGCTGGTTGGCAAGACTGCAAATGAAAGACTGATGTTTGTGGACCTCTCTATGGGCTCTGGCTCCCATCATGCTTACAATTTTATTGTGATGAACTAGTAACATTCTAGTTAAGTGCAGAAATGATTTCATACTCAAGTACTATCACTCCATGAGGTGGAGGGGGATTGACTGCAGTCAGGGGTAAACTGAGGCAGGACAGTTTGCCCCCAATGAGGCCTGGAATCTGTACAGAGTGCAAGTTTTCTGTGAGAGCCCTTGGTGAGACCAGGATGTTTACTGGTGTTGCATCAAACTCCAGATATACACTGCCTGTGATGGCTCCCTAATGGGCCCATAAATGTGTGACTGGCAGTCAACCACTTCATACTATTAAAGATGAATCCGAATTATAAAAATTATAAAGTTTCTGAAATGCGAAGTGCTGTTGTACTGGACTTTATATTTTGCAGAAATTCCTGAGATTCATCACGTTGTCCGGGCCCACACAATCAGACACACCTGTTCATCGGTCCAAACTTGGAAACTAGGTCTGCCAACCGGGAAGAGATTATCTCAAGTACTGTTGACTTCAAGTAAATGACCACTGTAACCCACTTGGATCTCCTCAATGGGGATGGACATGAATATATTATTGTCTGTACTTTTGCTGTTACTCACTTCTTATGTTTTGACATTTTTGGAGATGACACTTCATCAATACGCTGTTCGAGTCACTTACCTGTGTCATGGTCCAACCACAGACCACACAGTGGAATGTAGCTTGGTGAATTTATGCTGATACTTTTGGTTTGGCCCCAGCCACCTGTAGTAGTTTATATTCTCCCTGCCAAGTTCACTGATAAAACAGTGAATTCGTCCTTGCAGGGAGAAATTCTGTATAAACTATTTTAACTGGTGCTATACTACTATTGGTTCATTGTCTGCCAAGGGCATTTGAAGGAGAAATCCAAGAGGAGGCGAGGAAGGCTTGACCCCCACCTCAATCAGAAAAGACCCCCAAAGCGTACTGCGCGTGCGTTAAGGGACTGCCGAAGTTCTCACCCATGTGCTGAAGGGATGGACTTACATAACCAAGAGGGTGGGATTGAAAACCTCTGGCTGGGCAGTGATGACCACTCCTGCCTAGGCTGAGGTCACTCACTGAATTGTATAAAAGCAGACAGTCCTCTCTTGGAAGGGAGCTCGCTTCACACCAAGGGCACTGATGCCTTTTGGCAGGGATACCTGCCAGTTTGTGAACTTACTGACTCTCCAAGGATGCAGCTTCTGCCATGGGTAATTATAGGCATGCTGGGTCAGTAAGATAACTCTATGGGCAACAGCTGGGTAACTGGGGAGGTCCTGCTGGAGGCTTATTTCTCTCCTCCTTCCTCCCTTTTGGGTTTGTTTGTTTTGCTGGCCACCTCTTGGTAATAAATATCAGTTTTGCTGAGCTTGCGACGCTGTCATGGTTTTCAAGCTTCAATACATTCAAACCTCTCCCTAATACAGTGTGGTACCAGCAGTACTTACAGCTTCTGCCTCGTTACACCAGCCCTGGAATTCCTGCATATTGCACGTGGTTTCTGTGTTAATTACACAGAAAAATATATGAAAGCCTACTAATCCTCCTTGTTAGGAGGTACAGAATGCAGCACACACAGCAGGACTGAACAGTTTTAATCAGAGGGCAGCGTATCTGGACCAAGTGCTGGAGTTCTCTCTCCTGCATATGGGAGAATTAGAAGTCTAAATTAAGAGGTCAGAAGGCAAAGAGGCTAAAAAGAATGACTTGGGAAATAGCAACAATATGAAAACATAAAGGGGAAAATAAATTAAGGGGGGGTGTTTCTTTTTAGCGGTGTCAGTTGTTATTTTACTTTAATAAAAGAACCGGAGGGAAAAAGCAGCCCATTATTTTGAGGGCAGCCTTTCCTACAGCAGCCCCTGTACGGAGCCCTGTTGTAGGTACTCTTTGAATCACCTGACACACTCTAAATTCCACTTTCTTCTGAGATCCCAGAGGCCCTCCATTCTAGAGGTGGCACATTTGGCCACATAAACAGCACAGGCAGAAGAGCCTATTTCTAATAAATGTCAAGGTGAGTTGTCAAGATAGGAAACAGTTTCTGCACCAGAAGAACTGTGCCTTCTCTGTTCTAACTTAACTAATAAACCCACTTTCCAAGGATGCCTTCTCCTTAGCTTTCACTTAGAACAGGCAAAGCAAGCTGTTTATTCCTAAACATTTATCTGCCAAGAAAATTTAATTCCCCACTAAAAGCCATATGGTTTGCTTTCTTTCCTTCCCTCTTGATGTCTTTCCCTCTCGGAACATCGCAATAAAGTCCCTTTGTCTCACACAGCCAAAGACCTGCCTCATATTGTTTTTGATGTTCTCTCCCATCCCCATCTCTCTTTATTGCCTGCATGCTACATAAACACCATTCTTCCAGTACATCCTTAGTAAATGCACAACCTGCTACCTCTTTTCCATCTCACCAACTTCACAGATCTTTCATGCCATTTTTTCACGCTGCTCTGGGCTAGCCTTGCCTTTCTTTATAAGCTTTTAATGTTACTACTTTATTTTGCACTACACCTGTTTCAGCTTTTGCTTGTACATGGTTTGTTTCTCCACCTGTTAGTGACACTAATTCTCTCTCTGTTAACTGTCACAGACCAAAGGTCAAATAAGGGCAGAGCAGAACCAGAACTACAGCCTAGACTTTAGGATTTTGGGATTGCTTTGCAAAGCTCTACAGAAATGCCTATAGCTAACCCTTCTAGCCACAGAGGGAGGGAGAAAAGACTCCATGGCAGATGGGGATTAGTTAAAACTATTCTCATCCTAAGGAATGAGTGAGACATAAAAACCTTTTGTGTCCGTTATTTTGAAGTAAAATTGTTCTTTACCTTTTCTAAAGATTCCTCTTCATAGCCCCTTCCAGACTTCTCCATCTGCTCATCGGTTGACTCCACTATCACAAGACTAGTTCTCCTTGGAGAGGGGTCATCCTGGTGGAGCTGGGCATCCTCGGGCTCCTGGACAATGGGAGAGTCACCTCTCTGTGCAGAGGACGGGGGCTGTGGGGATGCTTTTTCTGTCTCTCCCTTGGCTGTGCTTGCTGCTTTCCCAGTTACCGGTGCTGTAGACTGCTCTGTTCCTGGAGCTGTGACCCTGTCAATCACAGGTCCAAGAAGTTACCACCATGCAGTGCTTCCCAAGTGCCATAAATGGAACACTATGCAGTGAATAAATATTGCTGCGTCACTTGTCCCCTAAAACCAACTGGTACTCCTTGACAAGAACTACACAGTAATCTGGCTGGGCATCCCTCTCACCTTCCCAAGCCAATCTCCAAATGAATATCCAAACCTTGCACCCACTTCTGCAAAACGTGGCACTTGTAAAATATTTCAGCGAGCTTCACTGTCACCTGTGCCCTCACAACTCTATATATTACCTACTATTATTTTAGGGAAAGAGATTGGATCGCTAAAGATGGATGAGGAGCAACTACTACATTAATTGCAATCTACAAAGCTGCAGGGGAGGAGAGACCAACTTTTATGTAGAATTTCAGAGCCTTACCAAACAGAAACTTAGTAGAGAATCTGCTGTTGATTGTACTTCTATTTTCACGGTTGGACACTGCTATGATTTCACTGCTGTTGCAAGTTATTGAAACCTATTATTACATACATTACTATGCAACATATATATATGAAGGAAGCACATCTAATTCAAGCATATGTATGTGCAATATTGTTGTATAATTCCTCTTAAAACATCTTCTTTACAAGCTATTTAAAACTAGCCCAATTTTCCTCCAATTTTTGGACCTGCAGTGTAGTGATATTCTCCTGCCATCACTCCTCTTGTGTAGTATTGGCAATATTGTCTCACATGTCTTCTCTATTCCTCAAAAACATTCATTTCTTCAGGCAAACCCTTAGGAAGCATTGGTATTTTTACCTATTGGTGCAACAAAAGTCTTCTACCTTAGATACTCTTTTCTGTCTCCCACTCTCTCTGTCCTGGCTGTAAAGCACATCCCGAGCACAGGAGACCATCTGTTGGACTCAACTGCCCTTTGACTGTTTGGAGCTGCATCTCCACATCAAAGCTAATCATTGATCGACTTGATCAACCCAGTGGAGAGGTCTCAGCATGGTCACAGGATTAGGGATGGTGTGGATAAATAAATGTGATCCGTTTCAAGTTCCTTTTCAAACGACACCAACCCCACTGAGAGCCCCACAGAAGAATTCAGGGTTAATTCCACTAAGTTTAACATCACTTCCCACGTAACACACAAAAACTTATACACAGTTTGGAAAAAAAAAACAACCCCACCTCTACATTAACCCTCTTTTCTTCCATATGCACTACACTTGGTTATTGCTTTGTGTTCACAGTGACAAACTGACTTTCTCTCCTGAGCCTTAAGGCTTCCTTCACATGGACTGAAAAACCAAGCCTGGGCACAATTGCAGGAAAATGAAACAGCATTCCTGTGTTTCAAAGAAAACTGTAAAAATCCTCTTATTACACAAAGAAGAGGGAATCTGTTCCACCAGGTTTCACCCTGGTCTCTTGACACTTACGAATATTCATGTTGTGAAGCAGATGGTTTTCCTGGCACGTCTTGGGGTTTCCCTGAGAATTCGGTTTCTACTTGTTCCTTATGTGCTTGCCTCAGGAGCTCAGCCATGGATACCTCTGCCTCGCTCCTGGGAGTACTGTCCTGAAAAGGAGAATAACTGGCAGACACTTCTTCCTCAGAGACGAGAGGAGGGTGTTCGGTTGGCTCACTGTCTTTAGATATTCTGTGGTGTTCCTGTTTGTGTCTTGAGCTGTACACTTCTTCTTGCAGTGCAGAAAACCCTTCAACAAAACACAGAGGAGAAATGGCATTACGAGAAGGCAGGAACTCCCTCTTGTGCTCCATCTGCATTCAAAATGTGCATGGGACACATTACCTGCAACTCTTAAACATCTTGAGTGTGACGGGACATAACCTCTCTAAGTAGCTGAAGTAACAATAGAGTACCACTACTATTGCCAAATTTGGACAGTAACAGACAAAATAAAGTTCACCCAGAAATTTAACTAAATTAATTAATCTCGAAACCCTCAAAGTATGCAAGAAGATTCACAACAGGATTTGATACAAGAACTAGCTCATTTATGTGCTTTAAAGCATAACAAACACACCCACTCACCCCCAACCCCTAATCTCAAAGCAGTATTGAATGAAGCACACAGAAGACTCACTTCTGCACTCACATAATTTGGAAGTGCTTCTTCAGTTTGCAATCAATGATCTAATCCACCGAACTTTTAAACTTAAGAAACGGAATCATGTCCTAGCAGAATAACAATACCCTGGATGCTTGAGTTTTCCTTTTACAAATCTCTATCAAATCCTAATACAACCTTCTGAATTGTCATGAAAGTACTTGTACGAGCAAAAGAACCCCAATAGACTAGGCAAAAGTCTCTGAGCACATTATTTGCTTGCTAAGAATCAGTTACAGCGCAGATCTTATCCCTGGTGAGACAGTGACCCGTGTGATGCCAGGCTTGCATTCACTCATCCATACTACCCGTGCTTTCAAAATGGGATTCTAGTGCTCAAACATTTCCAAACAGAAGCTTCTGCCAACTGGCTGAGCAGCCACTTACCTTCGCTGTGGTCCAGTCCTATGGACTGTTCCATCTCCGTGTAGGTGCGGGTGCCGTGGACCTGCGTGGAGTCGATGCCGCTGGTCTCCATGAGGTGAACGATATCCATCCGGTTGATTTTCGTGAGACATTGGGTAAGATTTGTATCTGTGGCATCAGAACAACACCGTGGAGCTCAGTTAAGAATTAAACATGGCCTCTCCTTTGTTTTCCACGTGAAAGGCATACGTGGGATACCGACCGATACAATATCATATATAAATTACAGATGCATTTGGAAGCATTGCTATGCAAAATCCAAAAAGAACCGAATGGCTGCTATAAAAATTGATTTTTCCTTTTAACAATTTTGCCACGTTATACAGATAATACTAGAAATAACACTCCGTAAGTATAATTCATTCTTTCCATAGGCAAAATATTGCCCAAATTTCCTCTTTGTGATTACAACACAATCAAGTAGCAAATAGGAGACAGTCAGATGCCAAATGGAAACGAACCTGTTGCGTGTTTCCCATCCCTTTCAAGCCAGTACTTGAGGAGTGCGTGGCTCTGGTCTTGAAGTGAATTGGGATTTTCGATTCGGATCTGGTGAATTTGCTCTTCTGTGAAATCCAGTTCTCTTGCTAGCTCTGAAAAAGAAATCCATCTCTGTAAAGGGGTCATCTAGTACTCCCCTGGACTCGTTTCATTTACAGAAAAGTAAATGTCTATGAGTTACAGCTGAACCCCAAAATCTGAAAAAACAGGAAACTGGTGTCTTTCTGATGAACAAAAACCAACCACTATTTCACCCTCCACAGTAACATTTGACAAAGTAATCTTTAATAGAAGCAATCTTTACCATAATATAAAAAGGACTATTTATGGAGGTCTATTAATCTGCCCTCCCTATAACGCCATAGAATATTAATGTCTATCCTGACAAGCACCCACTTTTTTCTAGTTTTGTTTTCAGAGCTGTCTATTAATTTTTTAGTGTATTCCTAATCTGTTACATTGCACAGGTCCAAGTCCTACTGATTTCAGGATAAATCCATGTTGGGATGAGTGACCCATCCTCCCAGTTACTCTATGGATTGAAGCACAGGACAGGAAAGGAAGAGGTGAGCAACATAAGCAAAAAAGTATCAGTGATGTTTTGCATGTACTCTGAGGGCACTTCTGAAAACAGTATAGAACACAATCTCCACTATCAAGGAACTAAAATGTTTTCCCTGGTATACAGCTATTCCTTAACTCCTAGAGCATGGCTTATTTTCAGGAGCCTGATACTGCTCTAGTGAGAGATATAAAAAAAGTGCAGACCTGACATAATTTTTTGCATCAATTCTTTTTGTCAGACCGCACAGTTTGACACAGCACAGAGATTTCTGCACAGCTCCTTCTCTTTGTAAGAGCCTTGGAGCTGGTTTTCAGTGATATCTGCAGGTCATTCCATGTTCCTTTCACTTGTCCCCAGTCCCATTCGCTGCCTCAGGTCTATTAAACCCACAGTCCTAAAGTGATTGGTAAAGAATAAGTTCCTCGTTACCCACTTTAGGAATCTTCAGTAACCCAAAGACAGTAAGCTGATGAAATATTTCCATAAAACATTTTTTAGATAATCAGGAAAAGAAACAAGAAAAGAGTGCGGACCGTCCTTTTTCTCCAGAGCAGAGGACGTGCATTTTACCTGTCCAGCTGAATCCAAGATGATCAGCGATGTGGGCCAGTCTTTCCTCTGTCCTTTCCTGATCATCCTGCTGATCTAAAGGTCAAAGAGAGCTACAAGTTGCCTTTTACAAGTTAAAACCAGTTTCAACGGGTGATACAGTCCAAGAAGGGAAGGCGCTGTTTTTTCTAACTGCTGTGTCTAAATGCGAACAGGCTGCATAACTAGAGCAAGGATTATAAATCCCCAGGTTAAAAAATAAAACCAAAAAGCTTGATTTTTTTTTTTTTAAGAAGCATGGGACTATCTATATTTTCCATTTGAAAATCAGGCTTTCCAGTGAAAGTTTAAGCCAGGACTGAAGCGCCTACTGTGACTATCTGGGCCAAGCACTTTTTTCTAAAACTTCATTCTGACATTAAATTGAAGACTTTATCTAGGTTGAGAGCCATAATTTTCCATGCCTCCTTAGTAAATGCCAGGGTTGAAGAATTCATTGGGACCGGTGCTTCTGATTACGTTCTTTCTATAGCAGTGAAAGTTCTGTTCAAACAGTCCATATAGCACTTTGGAATATGGTCTGTATTTGAGACACTGTTAATTTAAGTGTCTTTGACTCTTCAGACTAGGGAGTGAGACAAAGTACTCACAACGAAGGCAAGGAAAAATCAGGTGGTCATTCGTCAGTCTTCGTTTATTCAGCTAAGGGTCAGACTGACAGCTCCTCCCATCCCCACAGCTAATTTGAGGATGGCAGAGTTTGAGTTTTGATTTTCCCTGAAGGCACGCACAGACTGTGATACCTCAGAACCAGGACATTGCTTAGGGTTCACGATACATGCACGTGTCATTTCAGCTCCTGGATTTCCACTGTGGCGGCTCAGCAGGAGTACACAAGTAGGCGAGAGGAAAACCGAACCCCAGAAAACTTGTACTAAAATTACCGGTGACTCAGAGCTTTCTTGAGACACAGATCATCCAAAAAAGGAACATGAAAAGCTAAATTCTTTAAAACTTCTGCAGATCTCTTTGTGTAACAACTCGAAAGAATTTGCCCGTCTCGCTTGCAATCGATGCCCAAATATTTTATTATTAGTAAACGTTAATAGTTAGTAACAGAGCCAGGGAAAGTCAAAAGCCAAAACGTGCATGACCTAAGCAATAGCTTTAATGGCAAAACAATAGGTATTTTTAGAAGTGTTTTTGTTTCTTAAGGCAACACTTCCCACAAGCACTTATGGTTTGCAATCTTGAGATCGGTTCACAGACAAGAACACAGACACAACACATAAAAAAAAACCAAACACGGCTCACAGGGGGAAAAAAAAAACAAATGCACAACTAACCACCAAAAGCTGAAAAGAAAATGCCACACGTGTTACACCCGTACACAAACACACGCACACACACACCCCAAAGGAAACAGAAAACAAAAAAGTTTAATTCATGACATGCGTCGCACAGGGAATCCCAGTCGTTGGCAAATACCTTCAGCATGGTCATGGACATTTTCGTCAGGGATACGTTCAATCTGAGTCTCTACAGACTCATCCCAAATGGGTCTGGTGTCAAAGATGTCTTCAGGAACTGACTGCTGAGTCTCACTGGATGGCACATTTTCAATAACTGAAACTTCTAGGGCGCTACTGCTTTCATCATCTGAAACTAATTCTTGTTCTCTCTCTGACTGCGTGAGTCTTTCCACTAATTTAGAAGCTTCATCACTAATTTCTTCAAAGAACTCTATGGAGTTTTTGTAAAGATCAAAAAAATGGTCCTTACTTTCTTTTGTGGGACTAAAAGCACCGCGGGAGCCTGTAGTGCTTCTGTTTTTAACTGGCAACCGCGATGAAAATACCTTCGATCTTGCTGTTGCTGCCTCATCTGAGTCTAGCTCAAACTTCATCTCGCTCTCCCTCTCTCTGGTCTCTGCTTCCACCTCAGCATAACTCCTAGCTTTGACTGAACGCTTAGCCTTTGGGTCCACGGGACTACTCGCGTCAGATTCCGATTTACTCCGGTTATCTTGTTTCGCAGGTACAGCGCTCGTCACGTCAAGAGCTTTGGGGGACTCCAGCTTGCGGGCAGACGCGTCCGCATAGGTGTACTGTGGTTCGGCTTTTTGGGAAGCGGATTTGACAGGAATTTTAGACTTTGGTTTTGCTTGCTCATCTTTTCCTTCACACTGCGAACTGTCTAGGAAGTCGTCCGGGGAAAGGCTCTCGTTTTCTGACTGTTGCGAGGATTGCGATGCGGCGGCAGCTGTTCGGACGGGGATTTTGGATTTGCTTTCACAAGAAGGCACGCTCTCCATTAGAGCAGTGGGGATTTCAATCACAGATCTCTGTTCCTCTGGGGAAGAGTCCGGGGACTCCTCACCCTGTTCGGAACTAACTGATCTGGTGACTTTGGAAAAATCTAATTCATCTTCTACCGCACACTGCTCAGGAGAGATGGGGCAAGGCACCTGACTGCTATCGACCGTGTCAGTCTCCGTTCTGGAGAGGGGCTCAGCTTCAGAGGCAGCAGTTTCTTTCTTTGGTGATTTTGAAGAAGCTGAAATACCCATTTTAATTGGAATTCTGGATTTAAGATCTGCTTTTGAGGTGCCTGTGCTGACACCTTCACCTGTGATTTCTTCTGATTTATCACTAGACTCGGGTGACGGGGGTGAATATTTCACTGTGTCTTTTTCTGGTGTATCTGACTCCTCTGATTCTGAAGGTGCAAATGGGTTCAGCGAGCCCTCCAGCTTCGAAGATTCCTCCTCTGCTGCTTCTTTCACTTCTTCAGATAATGAAACTTCTTCCTGAGGTTCCTGCCCACCCTGGAAGAAGTGAAAGCTTTCATCTGGGTAGTTCCTTTTGGTCATGTCAATGGCTCCACTTCTAGTCATCTCAAACAACTTGCCTTCCTGAAAAAGAAAAGGGTTTTGTTCGCTGAGTGGCGTCCCTTCTTCAGTGGGTGTCCTGGCCGGTGTCGTGTCAGGGGTTGTGCCTTGCGATCGCCTGTCTACCATCAACCCAAATATCTTTTGTTCCTCTTCTTTCACCCGAGCTTCAAAAGCTTCATCGTCTTCACGTATTTCGCTCCACATGTCAGAATCCACATCGGTTCTAGTGATGACAACGTGACCCATCAATGTCTCCGTTTCATCTCTTATATCCTCAAGGGCAGATTCAGCTAATTGCGTGGAATCTGAGGACAAAGACCCTTGTGACGTGGTCTGAAATCCATGCTCTGGTTTGGGCTCTATTTCCATATACACTTCCTCTGAAGAGCAATACTCACTGCCTGTGTCTCTGCTAAGTAAAGCTTCACTCGTCTGATCTTTCCCTTCTGCAAGAGAATAGGTTTCCCTAGAGTGCAGACTTCTACCAGATCCTACCTCACTTTCAGAGTCAATAAAGAAATGTCCAGAAGACACGTTTTCATAAGGGCTCACTATATATGGAGCACTACTGTCAGTGGCATCTGCTACACAACTGTCAAGTTCCACTGTTTCAGTGGTAAGGGATGGATACTCTGGTAATGGTTCCTCAGCAGGACTATCTCTTTGAGATGTTTCGAAACCTGTATCTGCTTTTCCCAAATCCCTTCCCAAAGCAGAATGGTCAGTGGCATCATCCTCAGCCAGTTTGCCATCTCGTGGTACAGAGTACTGGGTGCTACCATGCCCACAAGAAAGGCCCCCTGCCCTCTCTGACACAGCTCCTGTAGAAATGAGATCTCTGTGTAATGCTGCCGCGGGTTTGACATCCTTTTCGGTAGCCTCGCATTGCTCGAGTGTTAACGAAGACTCAGCGTGAACTTCTTTCTGAGGACTGTCACCAACGGAGTGACAGAGAGCACCCCCAGGTCGTGTGACTGTCTCACAGTCACCTGTACTGCCACAACATTTAGATTCAGTGCAACCATCAGAATGACAAGTGCCTGATTCTCCCGTGGAAACCTCACAGCTGCGCCCAAGGATAAGCGGTTCCTCTTTGTCACCTTTGCCTTCTGTTTTAACTGTGCCCATCCCGACAGAGCATTGCTGGGAATCAATGGGTTGGAAACCTGCTTCGTCGGGGCTGGAGCTGGAGTCCACACTGGACGGTAAAGGTGAGGGTGGCTGCACTCGGATCACAGGCTCCATTAAGAGGCCTGAGTCGGCTTCTTTTTTGAGCCGGGTTAATTCTGGCTCGCTTTCCGAAGAGGAAGAGCTTTTCCTAGATTCAGCTGCAGGTGTAACTACTGTAGGTACGTCTTTTTCTACTACAACCGTTGGCTCTGCTGTTTCAGTTTCACATGGAGCTTCCGAGCTGGCAACCACACAAGATTCATCTTGCTTACGATTCTTTTTGTAACCTCTCTTCTGCTTTGCTTCTTGTTCCAATTCATCAAACATTTTGATTTTGGTCACCATTTTAAACATCTCCTCTTCAGGGGTGAATCTCTTCTTCGGTTCGCTTTCCGAGTCATCCTCTGGCTCTTCGTTGACTTCAGGGATCGTGGCCGACTTCGGTATGTTTGACAGTGACTGCAAGTCTGCCGTTTTAGGTGTGATTTCGTAGCTAATTTCTTCTGAACTGGGAGTCTCGGGTGAAACGGGACTTTTCCCCGAACTCTCCATGAGGGACGTTTGCTCTAGACTGTCATCATCGGCACTTCCCTCGGGGTCACGGAGAATCCTGGAACGCACGGATGCCAGCTCTGGGCAGCCTTCTCCTTTGCTAAGAACAGGCTGCAGAGGACCCTGCCCCAAAATACAAGCCTTCACTGTTGGTTCTACGGGGCTGCTTTCAAGGGAATCACGGCAGGGAGACTCTTTCATAGGACTGGGCTCCAAAGAGTCGGGTGTTTTGTGTGATGAGTTATCTTCTAGCACTGGGCTTGCTTCCAGGGAGTCTTTATGACTTATAGTCAAAGAGTCATCTGCAACTGGGCTAAAGCCTTCACTATCATGGCTAGCAAGTGAAAGTTCCAATTTCTGGGGACTTCTAACTGCAACGCGGCGTTCACAGGTTATATCTTTTTCTTTCTCTAAAGCAGTGTCATGTGTTTCAGAAGACTTAGTGAAATGTGCAGTGGTTCTGGATTCTTTATCCCTGCTAATATCTTTCATAATGGAAGCTGAGCTACTTTCTTTAAGTTTATCAGCCTCTTCTTCAGAGGCTGTAGGTACACGCTCTTCTGATAAATGGTCAGAATGAGACTTACTAGTCTCAGTAACAGCATCTAGCTGTCTCTCAGTAATACCTTTTTCATCTTCCTTTGAGGAGACTTCCTTCGGAGAGCATGTTTCAGCTGTTGTGTGTGCTCTAGCCGCTCCTTTAGCTTCCTCAGTTGGCCCATCAGTTTTCTTTGGCGAGAATGAAAGGCTTTCTGGGCTCGTTTCTGGAGTCTCTGCAAGACCCTCATGCTTGTAACTTTCCTCAGAGCTGATCTGAGGGGTTCCGTCAAGTAGACTGCCTGGAGAGTCAGCCACACCTTCGTGTTTAAGGCTCTCTGAGCTCCCATCAAAAGCACCACTTTGCAGAGAAAGAGCGGGAAGGAATCCATCTTTCCCATCCTCTGTGGGAAAAGCAACACCAAAAGGACTGGTCAGTACTTGCTCCAAGTTAAGTTCTCCCTCCTCTGTCACCGAGAGGTGTCGGAACTGTTGGTATTTGTCATTATCCTCCAGTTCTTCTTTAATGACGTCAGAAAAGTCTGTTGAGGTTTTCCTGTCAGGGCTGATCTGGAAGTCAGGATCTCCTTGGTCATCAGAAGGCCTGCCCTTCCCAGATGCCATTTCTTTCGCACTTGCATCAACTGCTACAGGAGGGAGAGGTTCCACTGGCTTCCTGCTGCTCTGCTCTTTCGCCTGGTCTTTACCACCAGCTTTCTTGGTGGTTTCGGTGGTAGAAATTTGCGTTTTGCCTTTTTTAGGTTGCGGCTCTTTCTCTGCTTTTGACACCGGGCTCGGCTTGTCCTTCTGTTTGTCTGTCTTGAGGCTTGCGACTCGCCTCGTTTCGCTCTGCGAAGGAGTTGTTTTCCTCCGAGTTGTCTCCTTCTCAGGGGTCTGTTGCTTCTGTTTGACAGACTTGTGCTCAAACAGGCCAGATATGTTCTTGGATGGGTCTTGCCCTGACTGGAAGGCTTTCATCAGCTCACGAACTGACATGGTCTCTTCGAGTCTCTCGGTCTTAGAAGAAGGCGAGACGGGCGGTTGGGCTTTGTGTGCTACTGGTTTCTTGACTTGTGCTGGTTTCTTAGGTGCTTTCTCGGCAGGGCTTTCTTTTGCTTGAACTCTGACGGGTAGTTTGGACCGGACTTTTTGCTCGTCTTCCACTCGTTTCTGAAGAGCTTTCACTTTATCTTTTATGGAGCCAATGGGAGTGTCCTCTATAACAGGGGACACGGCTTTAGCCTCTGGAGCAGCTGTCACCTTTAGGCCAGGTTCCCCGCCCTGCGACTCATCTGCAGTGAGCTTTGGTAGTCTCAGCTTTTCTCCGCTGCTCTGCGCCTTGCCTTCCTTTGGCTTTGGTTTCTCTTTTAGTTTTGTCCTGATGGGCTTTTTAACTTCTGAGGTCGCCTTCTGTTGCTCCTTTCCAGTTTTTGGAGATTCTTTTCCTCCTTTTTCAGAATCCCTGCTTATTACTGCAGCTTCAACCTTCTCTTCTACTAAGCCCTCTTGCAAGGCTCGTGGCTGTACCTCAGGAAGAGAAACGTGTGTTTTTAAATCCTCTACCTTTCCTGCTGTGCCTGGCTTCCCCTTTTTTGCTGTCCCTTTGTCTACCCTGACATCTACACCGGCTGGCTCCGTGACTTCTGAGGGAGCATTTCTTCTGGCCTCTTCGATTTCCTCATCGCTGACAATGATCCATTCTTCTTCTACAGGTTCTTGTTTGGAAAGGGACTTCTGCAAAACATGTTCTTCTCTGGTATAGGATCCCCCTCTCAGAATTTCATTTACTTTTTCTAAGTCCTCTTTCACTCTTTCAACTATTTCGAAAGGCTCTCCTGGCTCTTCCTCAGCAGGTTTTCCAAGATCTTTCACTTTAATGGAGCCTGATTTATCAGAAGGGTCAGTTGTCAGGATGGCAGTCATTTTGATCAAATCTTGTTTCATCTCAGAAACTTCAGACAACAGGTCTGGACTGGCTAGTACAGGGACTTCATTAACCAGATGGCTTTTCAGGATAGATGTTTCTGTAGACTCTGTCTCGTCATCTTTGATGCGAATGAAAAACATTGAAAGTAAAGTGGAAATCAAAAATAGAGATTGGAAAATGTAATCAGGACTGAAAATGACAGTCTTTGGTTGCAGTGGTGGGAAAGTCAACAAAATGGGCCGGGAATGATGGATCCACAAGATCTGAGGGTACAAGAGCAAAGCAAAGCTAACGGGGGAGGAAAAAAAAAAAAAAAACAACTGAAAAGGAAAATGGCAGGAAATAACTTGCTTCACTTTATCGCTAGAGCACAACCACACATACAGTATCAAAGCTGGAACAAACCAAATCAGGACACCACTAAAAAGAAACCAAAACAACAACAACGAAATTTCAAACCAAAACCAGAAGAAACACAGTGAAGTTACACAAAGAGAGGCATCTCAAGATTGTTCAGATGTTACAGATCAATGTTCAAATAAAAAGAAAAAACAAGAAAAAAGGGGGAAAGCATTAGAACTGATTGAAAGTCGATTTCCTCTAAGAGAAAGCCAGTGTTAGCAAACTGTCAGAGTAACATCGGGTTAACGGTTTTGTTTTTCTTAATGACCAAAATAAAAGGTGAAAAGTAATTCTGCAGTAATCTAAAATATGACCAAATACGTAGAGATCTGAATCAGCTGCAAACCGGCATTTCATCTAAGGGGATTTCACACCTACACAATGAAACAAACAGTCTTTTGTTTTAAGAGGCATGGTCCTTTCCTTGGAACATCCTCATTGACAACTAATGAACTGACTGAGGAAAGAGAAGACAGAGAAGAAAAGGAGAGAGAATAGGAAAAAACTGTGAATCAACTTAGAAGTGATTTCAGAGTTTTAAAAAATGTAATGTATGGCAACCCAAAATCAGAGACAGTCACACTAGACACATACGTACAATTCATGTAAGGCAAGTTATTTCCATGCAAAGCAAAGGTGTTGCAAATGCTGCTGGGGATGTTGTAGCTTCGGTTAAAAAAGAAGAGCTCTAAAAATTAACCATATAAAAATTAAAGGTACATGAGAATCCTGTAAGACATACTGTGGTGAAATATTTGTCTAATCTGGCAATCAAGATACAGGAAGCTGGCTGCAGCAAATTCCCATTATGCCACAGCTGCCTGCTGGGAATGTTTCTTTCTTTCAGCAAGGACTCGTAGGAAACGGATATTGAACAGAATGAAACGGTGGAGGACTGAAGCAAGTTACGAACAGAACACAATGCTTAGGAATTACAACTGGACATTATTTCCCTTTAAAGGTAGCACGTCACATGGAACTGCACATTTCGGCACTCCAGACTTAAAGCCAAAGCTCTAATGCAAATAAGGAGAACCTAAGCAATACATAAGTAGCTGTATTTATCTGTAAAAAACAGCTGTTTTGCTACACTGTTCTCCTGGGTGTAGCGAATGCTAAAAGTCTGTGGTGTACATTAATTACAATCAGGTCAATGAGGGGCATTATGGTGCTGAAAATGTGGCCTTTTTGTGCCACTGTTTTGGTGTGAACTGTCCAGCACACACTGAAATGCTGGTCAGTAGCTTCACAGACTTGTAATATATATTTTCATCAATATCAAATGCATGACTGTCCCACTGGTCAAAGAAGCAAGTTAATTAGCTGGAAGCAAAGCGGCTCCTGTGGGAAATAAAGGGCTTCTCTGTGGCCTGGGGAGCTGGTGGTGAGGAAGCAGCGGTGGAACAACGCAAGATGTGGCACTTTAAACTGGAAACAAAACAGATGTCATTCTTTCCCTAAACAGATCCAAGAAATGGCTCAATTGGAAGCAGCTCTCGTTAGAGACTCTCTTTAGTCCGTGTAGGTATTTGTTTGATTTGCATCTTCTCCCAAGGAGAACTCAGTGACCCCCTCGCCCTCAGTTTCTAACAGTAACAGCTTGATTCCGGAGGTACAAGGGGTACACGTGCTGTGCCAAGCTTTAATGTCACATTTCCAGCCATATTTCACCACAGTACAGGGTAGGGAGGGCGGGGAGGGTTAAACAGCCTGGTTACTTTGGACAGTATCGCTTTTTGGCACGCTTGTATTCCATGAGATCCATGGAATACACGGGAGCCTTCACTAAGTTTTCATTAAAAGTGATACTGTCCTCTGTCTCAAGTATGAGGCGAGGATGGGTGTCGACAAGTGGAGAAAACAAAAAAAATGGAGGGATGAGCATCCATACAAGCAAAATAGCAATAGCAGGATCACTAGGGATGTCAAAGGAAAGTAAATGCTTAGATGAACGGTTTTAAATTGTTAATTTATACGTTAAAATGTATTTAATTGGATAGCTGCTTCGATAATAAGTTGTTTTCTATTAAAGTATTGATGTTATTAGCAACAGCAGTTAAAAACTTAGCTCTCTTTCATGCTCATGTTTACTCTTAAACCGTCTTTCATACGAACTGCATTATAACACTTTCAAGTCAAAAAAAAGAAAATCTTACTTTTTTCTGACGTCATGTCAACCTGGAAGGGGAAAAAAGGGGGAAATTTAGAAGTTCAAATCAAATTATACATGGAAGTGAAGTTAAATCCACTAGATGTATGGAGACACACAGATTCACGGACTTATATGGAACCAAGAATGTATTTACAGTAACAGCAAAAGCATAGCTTAATTTCTTTAGTGAAAGAAAACATAAACCTTGCCAAAAAAACCACATGAAACAAAATGCACAGTGAGACTATGAAAATTGAAGAAGCAAATTTTTGAGGTTGCCTTGCGATTTGAGTTTATTTCAGTTCTGCCAGCATTTGTCCACACAAGCACATGTCGGGTAAATTTGGCCATGCAAAAGCACCCAAATTTAGAAGTAGCATTAAACACTCAGTTTGCTGTACAAACTCGTGGTGGGGGTAGGATGACCGTGGGGAATGGAAATCAGCTGTGCAGTACTGCAAGTACAAGATATCGTGTGTGTTAAGGCCCCCAAGTTTTTTTGTGGAGTGTTGAAAACGTTGTAGTTGTTTGAAAATATTCTTGATAAAGATAAACGCAATACACTGGCTCAGTTATGATGTGAGTAAATCTTTGCTTTTCCATAAACTGACAACAAACAGAAGTAAATCACTGGCCATACGTGCATGTCTGTACATGCCTTGCAGTGCTTAGGCTCACAAAATTAAATTTTACACTCAGCAGTGTGTGTTATGGATCCATAATAGTCTGCATTCCTCTGATGCACAGGTCACCCTACATGGTAACCTGGGATCCTTTAATTTCTCTTACTTTATGTTCTTCCAGATCAGCATTATGTCAGCATACTAGTAAGTATTATTAACATAAAAAATAATAAAGTCAACCAAAAATAATTTAAAATGGGAGGCGGTTTTAGCCACCAACGGGCTTGTCTTTTTGTGCTTTAGTTTCTTACACACAAATAGAAGTCATATTTACCACAGGAGTGGTAAATTCCTCTATAATGATAATAGGAAACTGCAATCCATGCCACAGAACTGCTGAACTCTGTTCTGCACCGATGGAAAAGATGTCCATCTGCTTTGGGGAGCTGGTTGGTTATTATCCCTCTTCTTTCCAACACCTGAACATCATCAAAATGTGGGGATGCTTTTCTAATGTTACCCATTCAGACCTTAAGGAACATCCACAACTGCCAGAACAGGGCTGGGAGCACAGAGGGGAGTTGGTGCCATTTAGTTTATGCTGAAGATGAAAATTCTAAACCTTATACTCCAGGTAAACTTACTTGTGACTTCTGAGTTAACACTGACTTTGTGCTGGATGTTATAAATGCAGAAGATTTCTAATTTTGACACGGGGCAAGTTAAACTCTGTACATTGTAAAAGTGAGCCTGTCCAAGAGCCTTGAATTGCACTCCTCCTTTTTGTGTTTGTAGCACTGAGCTAAGGATGAATGTGCCTGTTTTACTACAGATTTAATCTTCCAAGTTGTGTCTGCTAGTTGTGTTTGAGTGGTGTGAGTAGGCACGAACATGCTGATTTAGCAACATTACCTCTTCTGGTTCTTGATCTGAATCTGATTCCTTTCAGTTCCAAATTGCCATGTGAAAAGAGAAGGGGAAAACAGCAGGCAAAATGTAACTTTTTTAGGAGAGAGTAGGAAAAAGTAACTTCTGACAACATTTAACAGAAAAGACGAAAATGCAGAACGTTTCTGCAATTGATTTCTTATGTCAAAAAGCAGCAAAACTGAACTGTCAGTTTAAAACACAAAGGGCTACAGAACTGAGCAAAATACAAACAGAAAAGTTGTTTCTGGGTGTTAGACTTCTAGTGATCCTTATTTGTACCAAAACTGTAAATATATACATGCTTTTTCTCTATAAATTAGCATGAATAAGTACTTAAAATAGTTAAGAACATTACCCATTCAAAGTTAAAATATGTTGAGATGTGCTGTTTTAAAAGCACACAAAAATGTTATAATAAGGATTATACTTTACTCCTCTTTAAAATCCCTGACCACGAAACTTGAACTGTGTTTTGCCCTCCTCCTCCTCCTCCTTTCTTGTTTGTATTATAATGCTGATGACTAGAGATCAGTGTAATTTCACAGTACCTTTGTGTAAATGGGTAAAGTGATGTTTAAATTACATATGGCTTGGTGAACGAGGCCCCTTGTAGATTTTGGCTCCTTCATGAAAGATAGTCGTCCACAGGGTTCTTGAGTGGTATCTCGCACCTGCCAGAGCAAAAATACATCTTTTTAAATGGAACAGTCCAGGGACAAAATCGAGTTATAGTTGGGAATTTAGCTGATTTGATTTTTTTTTCTTTGTTTGCAAAAAACATGGTGAAACAATAACTTGAAATATCCAAAAAAGGAGTCATTAACATTACCTTAACAAATAGAGGAAGTCTATTCTCTTTGAAGGCAAAAAAGCTGAATATATGATGTTGCCCACTCTTTGTGAGAGGCACCAAATTGCCAAAGCAGTCAACGTAGATGGGTTTTCCTTCTAATACCTGTTGGAAAGGGAAAAAGCAGTAAAGCAGCAATTAATCACAGTGATTAGGTGGTTAGGATTTCTTCTTACAGAAGAAATCACAGGCAGAGAAGTACTTTCTTCAGCAATCAAATCCAAAGTCAAAGGCAGTGTTTCTCAGTAGATTTCTATTTATTTGTGGATTTGTAAAGGCCTAGAACTTTTCAAAGTCAGGTCTCAGGTAAATATCTATCTTAAATCCCTATATAATGGTACTGTTACATCTTCAGATTGTGCTTTTATGGGTTCCCCCGTGTTTAAATATCAGATTAGCAGTCTGGGAGATGTTGCCTTCAGCCTGACAACACATTAATGTCTCATCCTTACTTCCCAGAAATTTAGCCTTGGCAGTTTGATAATCCTTATTTCATTTACCTGCTTTGCACAAGAAATGCCTGTCAGAGCTTCAGGAACAGCGAGGACAGATTTTTTTAAACGTGGGATTCTCAAGGAAAAGAGGCTGAACTAAGCAGAGGAATGTGCCATGCCTGTAAGTTAAAGCACTTCCAATCTGTTATCCCTTCTGAGGAAGCTGACAGAGCCAGAAAAACTGCATTCAGCAGGCAATTTCCTGGAAAGCTTTTGCCTGTTCAGCAGCAGATTTAATTTTATTTTTGTAAAGCAGAATATTAATCAAACTTGCTACCTCAACTTCTTGGTACGTAAAGGTGCTGACAAAACATGACTACTGTCAAACTGCCTTTTTGGTTAGTGATATGGATTTAGGAGTTACTGGAAACTGGGATTTACATTTGCTTTTTGGCTCCGACTATCCCCCTTTAGCCCTGTGGGCTAAAGTTCAGCAGCTTCCCAATGGGAATAGTGTTTCATCACTACTTTTCCCATATATCTGACTAAAGTCCAAGTGTCCATCTTATCACTACAGTTGATCCTGCCTCACGACAGTAGTTGTTGGCAGTTATTTTGCAGTACTTGCAGCAGATAGAAGGCAGAAAATATTACTTTAAAAGCATACACTACAAAATAGAGGAAAAGAGTCCTGTACAGTACCTCTACATCCCTGCTTCTGGCAACCTCAGCAAAATTTTCCTGTTGTTCTAGAGTTTTATCCACCTTGTCATCCGTCATGCAGAAACACCTTAACCGCGCTTCGATGGGATCGTGGGATTTGGCAAACACCACAAATTTGGCCATGTAGGGGACACAGATAATCTCTCTGTACACTTGGGAAGCAAAAGTAACAGATTCTTGTGTCTGTCGACAGTCTATCAACCAAAACCTGTAAAGGAAAACGAAGAGTCAGGTAATCGGCACAGAAAGATTTAAGAAAGAAAATTATATGTTTCCCCAGCCTGGCAGCATTAGCTGGTAAGCCCAGCAATTGTAGATAACAAGTCACAAAAAAAGAATTGTCACGCTTGTTTTTTGTCCCCCATCTAACTTAAAGGATAACAGCACATTCCTTATATACAATATCAAAACCTGGAGGTCTTTAGGTCCATGTAAATGATCTCGTCCTGCGTGCAATGTCAGAAATTATTCTCATGTGAGTTTAATCACCAAGTATTTTCCAGGGAGTAACATGTGCTGCCTGCTTTCCCAGCCATCCCTTTGGTTTCTCTGCGGAGCCGATGACATTTCTTCTACATGAAATCCACTGTGTGGGTGGAAATCACGCTCGAGTTTCATACCCGTAGGATGGAGACGGAAGTTGGGAGAGGTCAAAGACAGCTCAAAAGCTGATCTAATCTACAGGGGGCTTATTCCTTACTGTGGATTACATGGCATTACAACCCCAAAGCACACCTTCTCAGCGTGACTGCCCTGGGCTTACTCATCTGCAGCTGAATAACAGTGAATTTTGTGCTGTGCTGCTCTTCAGAACATTTAACAAACACATCGGTCAAAAAAAAAAACAAGCTGATGACATTTGAAGGAGAGAAAGCATGTGTGGCACAGAAAGGATCTGCACACTGATACTTTCCTTTTCCTGTGTGGGAGAACTATGCTGTGCTGGACTCAAACTGGAGAGGCTACATCCTCTGAGAAACCACCAGATGCCTCAATGATTTGCTGTCATACACCAGGGGCTAAAAAGCCCAAACAGAGACAATTTTTTAAAAAGCTGCAGCTCAGGAAATGGAAAACAACAGCCAGGCCTCCAAGTCTGCAGTGTGATTCACATGACAAATGCATCTCTTTCCCAAGCTCATTTTGGACAATGTTAAGTCTTGTGAATGGGAAAATTTTTGTCCATCATTAATGATTTAGCTAGACAGAAAAAATTACTGTGAATAGCAAACAGTCAGAAATCAGCCCATTCTTGGCAAGGCAAAAGGACAGCAGCACTTTTAGACCAGGGCACAAGTGAAAAAAATTACGGTTAGCTTGTCCTTTGGCAAAGAAAGTAATTATTTCCCTGACTCCAAATCCATGAAAAATCCCATTTTCTAACTTTACCAACATTCAAAGTCACGTTTGAGTGAAAGGAGTCAGTTGAACATTCATTTCATTTACAAAGAAAAGGTAGAACCCCTTAAAATCTCTACATGGGACCCTGCCTGTATCACACAACATTAACAACAGCAATCAGTTTTCATGTCATCATCAGGATTAGGAAAGATCCACTCTAAATAGGGGCTGTAGATTCATAAACTGTCACCCTCATTCTGGTTGTATTTCACATGTAGCCTTGCTGGGGACTTCACAGTTTCAGGGACTTGGACCTCTCAAACTCTGCATCTAGTTTCCACATATGGTTCTTAAATTAACCTTTAATTCAGCTTTAATTTCGCCCTTTACACAGACTGAGAGTTAAACACACTGTAAGATCTCCCTCTTGTGGCCACTGCTGTTACAGTAAAATGTTGACCTGAACCAAAAAGGAATGTACATCAGCAAAGCATCCAGCTTAATGGGAACAAAAAGCCCTTTCTGAACTGAGAAAGTATAAAAAAATAATACTTTATTTTGCCTAACATTAAACTGGGGGTTGGACTGCAAGAGCTGATCTCATTTTAACACTCAATACCTTATTTCACCATATAACAAATCTAATCTAATAGTAATAACTGCCCTGGACACTCAAGGTTGGCACTGAATTTCACGGGCAGGTTATCCAAGATTTTTGTTTGCTAAACCACACTCCCTAAACGGAACACTTTCCAGATCATGGATTCCATCTCCTGTTGCAGGGGAGGACATTTCTGTGCATTTCTGTGATATAAATATTGGTCAGTGTACAAACAAAAATACATACATATATATGTATTATTATTATTATTTTAATACAAAATTCTGTTTTCAGGAAGAAAGCAGTTGAACCTTGTCCCAGGAACAAACGGTTGGAAGAGATGCTTCTAGACCCCAGTTTTGTACACATACAGGTCTTCCTGCATGACTTCTCAGTTTTTGGATATTCTGGAAGTAATATCTCTTCTAAGATGTACAATGAGGTACCCAAACAAAGGATTCCTATTTCCATGGAAATTTGTATAATAATAAGTATCTCTGTTCCTTCTACTATATAAACTAAAATAGTTTAAAGGAAATATCTGTTGGGAAAAAAAGACGTGCACTTGAAAGTATCACTGTAAAACTCATGTTTGGTTGTGTAGGTACCTGGCAGACACATTTGTTGTGAAGGAAACACATTCATTAACAAATGTCAGTGGTGTTGTCCCAGTAATGTCTTCCCATTGGGCTGGGGTGGTTCCTCCTGAAGAGAGAGAGATTTTAAAAAAATATTAAATTAAAACCAAGCAAGTCTGCAACTCTTTTGCTTCTAAGAAATATTTTAAATTCTTCTGAGTTTTTAATTGCTATGAAATCAGTAATAATCCCAGACATGCCTTCTCCTCCATCTTATTCCACCAATGCTGGTAGGATCGGAGGAGTTAAATTAAACATGATTAAATTAATTTATTAAATTAAATGCATGCAGCTCATTTCTGCCTCTTAAGTGAGACTGAATGAGGCACTGGTCACTTTGGAGTTATAGCAAGCACTAAGTGTTTAACTCCATTATTTTTCACTTGAGTGTAGTGCAACATTAAGTCTGAACCACACTTACTCTGCCAGGCAGAGGTATGTTGGTTTTCAAGACACAAACTGTAAGGAAAATGCAAAAAAACCCCACCAAACCTCGAGTCTAAGATTATATTACACATCTCTTGTTAGTCCAAACAACAAATGTTATTTCTGCTTAAAAATAATTGTTTGCAAAGTAGTTCATTTTCACAGTTTCTCATCCCAGTCAGGTTTTCTCCGAGCTTCCCATGTGTGTAATCAGCTTAAAACATTTTCCAGCCCACGAGGAGTGACAGATTCAAGATGCACATGGCAAGCTCCAGCATTGGCATCCTACCTGTTATGCTGCATAGTAACCTCAGAGTGGGCGTGTCGCCTCCGTAGCCATTCATGATCCCATCGCTGGAGGCCTTGGGGACGGGAATCGTCATCGTGATGGGTTTGTGGAACTTCCTCCTCCTGGGCTCCAGCGTGACGATGGGGCTGAAGGTGGCCTTGTTGCCTAAAATCTTCTTTGTAAGTTCAGTGTGCATAGGTTGAGCCTTGCCAGAGCAACGGGAAAAATAACAGAATGGTTACTTGAAAACAGTGCAGTGAGTTTGTAAACAACTGGGTCTGCGTATCGTATACCTTTTTTTCCCCTTACAACAAGCTCAGAGCTGTTTTAAAAGTGTGCTACTCAGCCAGTCCCAACAAGCACAGTCTCCTGGTCAAAGTAAATTGGGGATGCAAGCATGAAGAGGACGAGATGGAGAAAGGGGAAAAGACTTCCTTTTCTTTCAGGAGTGAATTGTTAGGCTGGTTCCCTTCATGCTGAGAACTTATACATTTGACTTAATTAGTGCAGCACTTTTTACTTTTCTGCTGCCTTTCATAAGAAGTATTTAAGAAACTACGACCTAGTGTATCACTATCAGTATATAATATTATTATTACTATATCATAATCATCAGCAAAATTAGGTACTTTTCCCAAGATTACATGGACAGTTAACAGACAGGAATCTGAATTAACTGGAAAACCCAAAGCTTTACCACTTGCTTTGACTTTTGCATGGATTTTTTTTTTATTATTACTATCTTTACTAGATAGATAAGATACGACACGACACGGTAAGCTGGACATGCTGCTCTCCATTCACAGAATCACAGATTCAACCAGGTTGGAAAAGACCTGTGAGATTATCAAGGCCAACCTATGACCCAACACCACCTTGTCACCCAGACCATGGCACTGATGGCACACCCAGGCTCTTCTTAAAAACCTCCAGGGACAGTGAGTCCACCAACTTCCTTGGCAACCCATTCCAGTGTCTGATTACTCTGTAAATAACTTCTTCCTAATATCCAAGCTGAACCTCCCCTGGCACAGCTCAAGACTGCGCCCTCTTGTCCTACTGCTGGTTCCTGGGAGAAGAGACCGACCTCCAGCTGGCTCCCCCTCCTTTCAGGGAGTTATAGAGAGTGATGAGGTCTCCCCTGAGCCTCCTCCTCTCCAGGCTGAGCAACCCCAGCTCTCTCAGCCTCTCCTCACACCACTTGTGCTCCAGTCCCTTCCCCAGCCTCATTGCCCTTCTTTGGACACTCTCCAGCACCTCAATACCCTTCCTAAACTGAGGGGCCCAGAACTTCAAAGAAGGTGATTTTACGCTAAAAACCTTGTGATTGTTGCACCGTACCTGGAGGCCAACGCGGATTCGTTTGGTTAGAGCCCCTTCTGGGAAGACTGCCTGCACTTGTGGCACCACAGTGCTGCTCAGCACCCCTCCCTCGGGCCCGATGAGGTTGCTGTCCTGCTTGATCCGGGACACCACCGCGAAGTACTGAGGGAAATCCCGGGTGATGATGCGGCAGATCCGCTTCTTCTCCAGCTCCTCTGGAGTGTCAAGTACTGAGGGCAGAAGAGGAGATGGTCAGAAGACAAGAGATTCACAGAACCTTCGAAATGCAGTCAAGCTCTTCGCAGTTTGATGCACCTTACACAAAGTTTTTTAGTCTAGAAATCGAGGGCGAAAAGGAAACACACCCCAGTGTTCACCTAAACCGGAGAAATCCGAAAAAGGACAGACAGACTGACCAACCAACTGTAGGGAGTTTAAGACAGCCAACAGAATATGCTGACATCTCCAAAATAAGCAGTCAAACACACCAAGGGACTTGTCCAAGCTCCTTTCTTCTTCACATATTTAAAACGTCGTGAAGCAGCACGAAGAAAACGAAACTTCAAAACAAAAAACTATCAAAGTATGAGTTTGGCTTTAATTCTGTGAGGTGGCTTGTTTACTTTGGTATTTGTTTGGGCTTTTTTGCTAAAAAAATAACAAATTTTGCAGCTCCAAGACAGCCCAAGGCCATTCTGTTCTCTCAGAAACCAAGAGCACCCGTGACTGACATTTCCTCCCACACGTGGGGCTGCTTGGAAAGGATTAGTACGATAATTGCCTTGTTTTGGAAAGATGTTTGCTATGGAAACTTTTTGTTTTACACCATGAAAAGGAGCAGCAGTAAACACAAATGTAGCACCTCTTCCCCATTTCGTGATGGCAGATGTCTCATCCCATGACTTCAGCAGACCAGGCAAGGGAAGTAAGTAAATGGTCAAAGCTATTACCCCCAGTTAGAGCAGCAGTGCAGGAGCAGGATAAAAAGCCAAGTCCCCCCCGGATACCTTCATCCATCCCATTGAGGATTTCGTTCAGCTCATCCTCGGTGTATTCACAGAAATGCTCCTTCCAGCTGTCCCCGTTCTCGCTGCGCAGGATCACCAGCTCCCTCTCCTTCCCACGCAGAGCAGCAAAGTGGGGGATCTCCACAATCACAGGCCTGGCACGGCAACACAGCGCATTAAATGCACACGGGAGAGAGGAAGAGACAGGATTAACAGCAACTCTACTCAGTCTGCTACAAAGTGACCTGGAATTCTACCTATTTGGCTGGAACACTTCGGCACAATCCTAAACTAGTAGGTCACTAACACAAACTAAATGTTTACAGGGACCCAGTAAGTGCTGAAGGACAGATGAAAAAGTGCATTCACCTCTTTCCACAGTGTGAATGAGATTTGGTAAGATAATAGTGCTTATCTGAAAATTTGGTGATTGTTTTGCAAATCCATCAAAAACTCATGCTCGTTTTAGTTGTCACTACTGTCTGGGTTAACCTGTGCAACTTCATTTCAAAGAGAATCTACTGTAACATATAGAAATAGTGGGACAAATTCTGATCTCACTTATACTAGTGCAAATCAGAATAATTTCATTGCTATCAGGGGGCAGCTGTGTCCTGCACCAATTTACTTCTTCATAATTCTATATGTTCCAATGAACTTATTCCTGATTTACACCTTGGGAGAGATAGAGGAGGTCTGAGGAGATTGTCTGGGTTGCTATTGCAGTATAGGAGATAAGAATTTGCCTTGTTGCCTTACAAGCACATGTCAATACATGTATCAGCATAAGCGCCCATATATATATATATACACACACATATACACATGTGTACATATAATATATCTATATTTAGATACACATATACATACATACTCTTAGAAATAAGAGAGGAAAATATAAATATATTTGTATAAACACTTCTCTAATTAGAGGACTCACACAGGTTACCAGGTACATAGTAGATGCCATGTGTTCTATCACACTGGTGGTATCCAACTTAAAACTTATTGATTGATCAGTCCTTGATACAAAAAAACAGCTTGAAATTTACAGTAGATTCCTTTTTTTTTTTTGTCCCAATCCAGGTTGCTTTGCTACAGACATCAAGCACATAACTAGGAAGATTTCATGCCAAAACAAAAATGAAGGCCACAGTACTCGAAGAAAAAGATACAAACATACCACCAAAACAAAACCACATATCACAAAGGTTGAAAAATGGTCCACTAAGGGTTAAGTGTACAAAATTTCAAATGATAGAAAGGGACAATATCATGGGCATAATGACAATAAAAAAATCATATTGCAGAAGGAGGAGAAGAATGGGGAGGTCAGCATCCATCAATTTGTTTCAAGTCTCTCCTACCCAAGGAATTTGGTCCCAGGAGGCCCCAGCTGAAGGATTCGGCTGACCAAGCTTTCTCCCTCATTAAGTGGGGGAGGAGCCGTAGGCAGATGAAGTTTACTGAGTACATCCAAAGCAGCAGTGAAAGAAAGAACATAAATAAACTTTATGTATTTTTTGTGCCAGAACGCCAGTGCCACTGTCTGGTGCACAGAGTGGAATTAGGCTGTACACTAAATAAGGTTCCGTCCTAGCCGTGACAATTTGGTGACCAAAATCGGCAAAATCAGTTTCGTGAATTTAGGATCTTGTCTTGCTTTATGGGGGCTTTGGCCATGAACTTGATGGGAACTTGATGAACTTTGGCTTTGGCCATGAACTTGATGGACCTTAGAATGCACCTCTGCAAACTGCACAGCGATTTTCTGATTTCACTGCCAGCACAACACCCGGAAAAACACTCGCGGGAAGGGCACAAAGACCTGAGAATGAACCAACTCTGCTACAGCCTTGTCTTTTAGGGAGACTTTCTCATTAGATAGAGAAACCATTAAAAAAAAATGGGAGACATACTTAAAATCCATTTGTGTGCGACAGAGATAATGGGAAGACTGAATGTGAAAGCACAATATTTCCTCTGCTCTTTAGATTTCTTTCTGCTTTCTCTTTAAGGTGACCAAGATGTGAAAAGAATAAGTGGTAGCACTAATGAAGATGGTAGCTCTGATGACTGCCTATTATAATAGGATTTTAAAGCAACTGAGTTGTTCCCAAATGGATTTAAACTATTGCTGTTTACAGAGTCACTTCTTTTATAGTTTCTGAATGTAATAGAAGGGGTTCCTTCAATCATTTCCTTCTGGATGCCACAGTTGACAGGGAGAACAGTTGGCAAAACAAATTTTTAGAAGTGCAAGTGACTGCTGCTTTAAAAGCTGAAAATTGCTGAAACAAACTGAGCAGCAGACACAAATCTGACCTTTCTATGGGTTTTGCAGCACAGGACAAAAGAAATGGCCAGAAAATTCCAGGGTTGTCCAATTGCTTAGTTTAGCAATTTCAACTCCAGAAAAAATCAAAGGCACTGTGTTTCCCTAATAGTCCAAATTACTGATAACACAATAGAAGTCCCTAAAATAGCCCACTGTGTACGTAGCAGGGTTCATAGTCGGGGTTTAGATCAGTGCTGTGCTACTCATCTTTTAAATATAGCATGAACTGCCTTTCCTGGTTCTAAGGGAGTCTCTTCCCACTATAATATCACACAACACTGAGTAATAATTATATCCACAGAAGCACATTAACCTTAGTGCTAGTGCTTAAAATACCCATTTTGAAAGGAAAAGGTGTAAAACCTTCACAACTCGTTAAGTGGCAACCGACCTGTATTTCACAGATCTGTGTTTCTGCCTGCCACCGTGCCACAAAGGCCTTTTTCACCTCACGTCTCAAGAAAAGGAACCCTTCCGGTGCAACTTAAAACGCGAAAACGCGGCTGGGAACGTTTTTCCTCCGGGCCGCGTGGCCGCTCCCCCCCTCTTACCCAAGGAACTGCGCCCCAGAAGGTCCCACTTCGATGAGGCGGCTGGCCAGCCCTTCCCCTTCCACCATGGGGGGCATGGTGGCCAGCCGGTGGCGCTTCACCAGCCGGCAGGTGACGCGCGTCGGGGCCGTGCACTTGCGCGGGGGGATGATGATGCGCAGCCCGTTGTGCCGGCAGCCCCTCATGGCACCCCCGCGGGCGTCCACCATGAAGCTCACCAGGAAGCTGCAAAAATCAGGGAAAACCGGTCAGAGACGGAGCGTACGGTACGTTCCACGGGTATGTTCCACATACGTAACGCGCTACGTATGTCAACGGGGCTCTTGCTCAAGAGGCACAATTAGAAAAAGCCTTTCTCCCATGGGAAGCACCAAATCATGCTGAGGTCATTTTTTCATTAACGACTGCTACCTAAGTGTTCTTCACTCAAAGTCTTGTTTCACGGTGCTGCTGTTGGTAAAGTACCAGCAGACACCAATAAATGTGAGCCTGTATCACTCCTCGGTACCTGCAAACAACTGTGCTTAAAAGTGGGCACTCATTAAATACTTCACAAGCAAATACGTCCCACTGGAGGAAATTATTTATGATTCAAAAATACAAAGCCAATTATGGGGTGGCTTGGGATTTTTTTTGGGTTCTCCATATAATTTTATGGTTCTTCGGTAAAATACAATTTCTAACAAAAATAGGTTTGGATATTAAAAAAAAAAAAAAATTCATTCTAGAGCATGCAGATACAATTCACACTCCATCAGTAGGGTTGTCATAAAAAAACCCCAGCGAGTCATTTGTGCTTGAAGACAAATTTTGGGTTTTGGTCAGACAACAAGAGGTGTATTAACTTTGTAAGAGATTTATTTATGGATTTCTGTTTGTCTGTGTTACTTTGCACACCAATGCAGTGTCCCACTGGAAAACGCAGAGATGCACAAAGCCATCTACAGGGAGCCCTCTTCTAGCACAAGGTAAATTATTTATTTCTTTTTCTTTAAGAGGGAGAAAAACATTTCATTTTGTCTGGAATTTCTTTTGTGTTTAATTTTTTGTAGTTCCACATATAATCAAACACAGATTTTGACAGATTTGGGACATTCTTGGGAAAGGTATAGAACTACTTCCATTTTTTTTTTTTTACTGGTTTATGACTTAGGATCATGCCTGATGTGGGATGGGAATGTCAGGCTGCTGGAAGTGAAAGTAAGAGTAGAGGAGACAGAACGGTGTCAGGCCTAGTTCTAGCCACTAAAACAGAATCATCTCATGGGGAGTCACAGAAATGCTACTGAAGGACCTGCAACAGAGAAAATATACTCCCTTGTAAGAGGAGTAACAAACACATGGATTTTTCCACTGTCCCCTTGACCGTTCTGTGCAACAAACATTGCATCCATTCATTGTCCACCCAAGGAATTCCACATGCTGTAAGAACACAACACTCGACACACCGTGCAAGTCAGAGGGATGGAGGATGGGAAGGAGCCACAAGCGCCAGTCGGAAGCACACCATGCACCACGGATGCCAGTCTGTCTCACACATGCAGTCGCCTAGTCTACTGCCATTCAGATACCTCTAGGCTTTGCTTAGTGTAAAACTCGGGGTTGTACAACCATTATCTCATTCCTTAGAGCTTGGTGTTTCTGTGGTTTTAACAAGGGGGGAAAAAAAGAAAATGAAAACATTTTACAGCTTCCATTGTCGGGGGGATTAGTTGAGAAGAATGGGAGCTTCCTTCACAAAATACATTCTTTATACAGGGTAAAGCACAGATGAAAGAAGAGCTTAAGAGATACTAAAGTGCTCAATTGTTGCACTAATGCTCTCGGCTCTCACTGCAATCGCCAGGTAAGTGCATGAAGTGGTGTTATCAAAGTGGCGCTGTTTCGGAGAATTGGTGCAGGTCTCCAGCACAAGGGGTGTTGTTTGAGGCAGTTAGTGACGCTGCTGGAAGAGGAGTTTCACGTTTTAAAGCTAACACTGCGAGCAACACAAACGCTCCCCCGCAATTACCAGAAGCTCTGACTGAATCCAAGCAGCATTCACATTTCTCACTGGGTAAGCTGTCATGAACAGTCTAGGGAGTCAGTTATTCTCATTATTGACATAATACTCAAGATTGTGTACTTAAACATCAGGATCACTTTCTGTCGCTGTCCAGTTAGTGCTGGGTCACCTATCTACCCTATGTCCTCCTTATCTCCACTTGTGCCTCAGCAATGCCAAACCCACTCTTAAGTGCCAGAGAAAAATACACAGGAAAGGTGGGGCTCCAAACCAAATCGTCTGCCTTCTATTAACATGGTTGCAACTCTTTCTCTCCGTTTAAGTTTACTGAATGTGCCTGCTGGGTCAGTAAATCTATCACAAAGTCTATCAGTCATCTCTCACTGAAAGCAACCATTGCTCCAAAGAGTGGAAAAACAGGCAAGGACAAGTCTCACTGGAAAGAGGACACAAAGATAACAATGGTTAAAATAAAGACAGTAAGACGTTATTATTATTATTCTTCACTGTAAAAACAGCTGTTTCTATCATAAGGAAGATCTAAAGTTGTTATTCAGACAAGCACAGAATAGTGTGAGCACAGCACAGAAAGATTAGTGCCAATTATCACATTATGGAGGAGCCAGTTCACAAACCCAGCTGTGTAATACTAGGAAATTCCTGGAAAACAGATTTTGGAGAACTACCACGAATACAGTGCAAAGGAAAGAAACTGAGGGGGAAAATTTCTCAGCTCTAGACCTCAGAGGATAGTACACTGACACAGGATTTGTAGAGCTGACACAGAGCGTAAAAACACATCCTTTTCCACCACACCACCCTGTTTATTTCCCACCTTGTTGCCATATCCATTTTGTCATGCACTTATTTAATCCAATTTCTTTCCATCTCCTTTTTTTTTTTAATCAGTACATTTCACATACTTTTGGATATGCAAGAGGGTGAAGCCAATAATTCATAATAACGCATTTTCTGAATCACAGCAGCCTCTTTTCCTGCCTATTTGCTACATAATAGGGCATCTGGAATGTGCCATTACTGTTCCAGGACCGGAAAAGCTTCTCCCTTTTGAAGGAGTGTGTCTATCAATACACAGATAATTCATACAAAACTAATGCATGATATAAAATATGCTTTCTGAAATGTGCATTTGGGAAGTGAAAAAATTGTATGACTAATATAAAGGAAACATAAAATGCAAACTAATTATTTTGCTGCCCACGCGCACACACGTTATTTTTCCTCTCTCCAACACTTCTTTTACCAGTGTTGTTGAGTGACAAGGCTGAGATAGGAAGAGATTGCACTCAACAAACAAAACTAGCAGGAATAATTGGCAGATGAAGCCATCACTCTGTGAAGTGATACACCTTATGGTGATAAATTCCCATGGTCAAAAAGAAAATAATGCATAACAGCAGCATATTAATAACCCTAATTTCATATATATTCCCTGAAGCTGAGCAGGAAACTCAGAGTTTACCCCATGAGTCAACTGCATGGGGCACAACTAAAAGCACTATCAACCATCTCTGTACAGAAAATGAAGAGGAGAGGGACCATTAAAGAGAAACACAAATGGTTCAAGAGGGGGAAAAAAAGACATAGTAAATAAAGGGGATTAAAGGAATTTAACTTAAATTTTAGTTAAGTGATGATTCAAAGTCAAAGCAGATTATGCATCTTTCTCAGTACTAAGACAGCCTTTGAGTAAGTTCCACTTCCAGTTTTAAAGGTTCTGGTAGAAATGAAGCATGACACAGACATGTGACCCCCACGGTCTTGGAAATTGGATCGATACTGAGCTTTCCTGGGATTTAGCAAGGTGGCAATGCAACATAACAGGCAAATCAATGAAACAAATCAGGTTTGGGGAAATCATTGCCTCCTTCTTTTAAAGAGAATGAAGGGGAAATGAGGACTACATTTCTGAATAAAAAACAAAGTGCAAAAGCAATTATTTTATAAGAATCAGTTACAGACTGCAGGGGAGCCTATACATGCTTCTGTTAAACACACAGCAGTCAGCTCAAGCATCATCCATTCCCTTCTAATTTAGCAAGACTTACTCAAAAATTAGAGGTCATTTCATTTTCCTCCACTTTAGAGCAATTAAAAACTACATACTTGCCATATGAAAGGTAACTGTATCAACTAACATGGGCTACAGTGTCCCTCTGGTTGAGGACACACACAAAGGCCCCTAAATCTTTCAGGTTGTTTCCATGCCTTCTACAAAGAGCAGAGCAAACAGTGAGGGGGTTTCTAATGGCTTCACTTGGAACACAACACAGACAGTATTACACATTGGATAGAAGGACAAAAAGTTGGAGTGCATTTTCATGAAATCTGTATTTCAGATCAGAGTCTGAGTTACTCCCTTTGCTGACTTCATTCACATAGAATTAACTTGGTTTTATTCTGTATCTATCCTCATTTGAAAGATAACAGCAGGATGAACAAATAAATTAAAAAAGGGATGTGTCAGTGCTGGAGGGGTGAAGGAAGATACTTGTTCTGTGCTTTGTGAGGAGTCCCTGTCCTGTGAAGAGAGAGGCACAGCCTCAGGTGTTGGCACTCAAACACACGTCCCATTCTGCAGAGTCACTGGGAGAGCCATGCAAAACCCAGCAGGGGAAGGGGCTTCCTGGGACAGGCAACAGTTCTTGGAACACACAGAAGAGGCAAAATCTACACCACCACCTTCATACACCCGGCTCAGGTACGATTATTCTCTCAGACTGTGCAGCCACACATGCGCTCATCGGGCAGCAGGAAACAAAAGCTCCAAGGAGAGCACATCCACTGGAGACACATGATAGAACTTTTCAGCATTAGGCTTTCTGAACTCATAACAGAAACTGGGAAACAAGGAGATAGCAGCATTCAGTGTTAGTCGCAGTGTGAAGAAGCAGAACCAAACAATCAGGGTGCTTCAGCCATCCCAAAGTGTTCAGCAGGAGGAGGAGAACCCGGAGAGGCTGAAATTCCGAAAAAAGGCCTTGATCCAGCTCCCGCTGAAGTCAACAGCAAGTCATTCAACTACCTCAGCGTGCTTTCCAGCAGGCTGCAACTGTGCCATACAGAAACAAGGCAAAAGACACATTCCAGGAGGACAAAAAACATGATCCTACATGGGAAACCGCTATAGTATGGACTTCTGGTAACATCCACTGCATTAGCCAGCTGCTGAGAGACTGAGTGACGTGGCCTACAATTATGGGGTTGTAGTTTGGGGGTTCATTTAGCCATTTTACAATTTTGCACAGCTGAATATTTAAGGAGATTTTCACCTTTCTACCATTATGTTAAAGGAGCTGAAGAGGTGGCAATAAACACTCGGTTTTGCCAAGGGAAGATAATCTCCTTTGGGAATGTTCAGCTTCAAGCACTGATTAACCACCACAGAGAAAAATACATGTGGCATGAAAAGTAATATACACTCAGTCTGGGCAGTTATTCTACTAGTTCAAATATGGTGGCACAATTGGGCAAATATGGCCTAGGGAGTGGCTCTGAAATATTCTTTATATAGAGAACGAGACAAAAGGCCCACTTAGTGATTTAACAATTACAGTGGTTTGTGTTGGGTTTTTGTGGAGGGTTTTTACCTTCCTTTAAATATTAATATTAAAGCATGCCACGGACAAAGAAAGGTTATTGTTAAATAAACCAGTGGTTAAAACAATCTAGGAATGTATAAGGAGCTTTGTTAAGTTTTTTTTGCAGTGGACTTATTATGTGTTCAGAACTCTTTTGTTATAGATGACAAAGCAGAGGAAGAAAGTGGGCACTTACTGTACAAGAAGAGAAACAGGGCCACATGTAACTATTCTTGCTAGTTAAATTGATTTTTTGCCTTGGCTAACGTGCACTATCAAAACACAAAAGCATCCTGAGGTGAGGTAAGAGGGGAGGATAAATAGGGTGGGTGAGAAGTGCAATGTATTAAAGAAAGAAATTATGCAGAAGTTCACCTGCTGTTGTCAAGATCAAGACATGGAGAAGAGCATCTGCAATAGAATAGATGATTTAACATCAAAAAGGAAAAGAAAGGGGGGGGGAAAGAATGAGTTAAATGAAATACTGAAATATTGGGAAAAAAATGAAACCAATTTCTAAATCAAACACATGAACATATACATATATGTGCATATTCATTCCGTGGGAGAAGGCAGGAGTGAGCATGGGAAACGAGCCTACGCAAACAGCCCTGCTTACAAACAGCCACTGCTGCTACAGGAGTAAAACTCCAGTGATCTGGGCCCTCTACAGACATTCTCCCACTGGAAGTCAGATGCCTGAAATGCACAGTTAGATTCTGAAGAAACCTTTGAGGAGCAGATCGGGGCAAGTCCTGCTCGGTTCAGGCATCCACGTGTGAAATGTGGGCCGTGATCTATCAGAGGGCAAGGAATCGAAGGTAATTCCAGCCAGTGTGCTCCTGATTACACGATGAATCATTATTTCTTTTCTTTGATTTCCCTATCTACAGCTCCTGTCCTCCCCTCTTCTCCATTTCAACATGTTTCTTGTCCTCCTTTTGTTCTGCAGAACGACAAATTCCAAACTTTGGGTTTGACCTGTTTAGGCTCTCGGTAATCACTCGGTGTCACACGGACAGTTAGTTTTCCAGTGTCCCTTTTTCTATGGATCTCCATTGCCATTTTCTTCCATTAACACCAATTTGCTATTAATGAAACACACCCGCTCTTTTTCCTTACTGTAACTTTCTGAACAAAGGTCATAAAGCCACAGTAAAATTTGAAGTCATTCAGGCTTTCAGATTTAAGAAATGACTATCAGCTGGTCGCTGCCAGGTCCTGTTTCCATAACGATTTCCAGGAAATCAATCTCACATTGGGAAAAGCAATGTTATGGATTCAAAATACAACACTTGAAATAGATTTTGATTACCTTGTTAGCAAGGATCCAGCCTCCTTTTTTGCAGACATGCAGCTAAGAATGATAATTCACATTATTTGTCACAGTATGAGATGACCAGTCCCTCATCCTTCACCTTTTTTCATTGACGGAGGCAAGCACTTCCAGAAAGACAAACTCACTAATAATATCCCAACCTTTTTTTTCAAGATAGAAGTACTGATACTCTCAAATCATCAAATAGTCAAATAGGGACTTCTCCATCAAATTATATATATTCAATATCTTTCATTAAATAGGAGTTTTACTGTGAACAAGTCAGAGCTGGAACATTTGCAGACCTGCTACGTATTTTCTCCAGAACACAAAATCAAGTTAATATCAAAGCCTAGACCCAAAGCTAAAAGCTGCAAGTTAAAAGAAATCTTTCAGTTCAGTGATTCTTTGCCTTCCCACTTCAAGAAAATTTGTTCTTCCACAATAGGATATGGTGAGGTATGTGAGTAAGACTGTGAAACGTATTTGAATTATGTAGGTGTAGCTCTGTCTGTCACAACACTTCAGCAGGAAATTATAAATAATATCCACTAATATCACCAGCAAAGCAATAAAACTCTTATCTTATTGGATATTTAGCACCCAAACTTTCTGGTGTATTCAGAGGTCCTTAACTTAGCTCATTATGTAAGATCAGATTGTTTTATCAGGAGAAGCAAATCTGATTTGCTCAAAGGGAGTTTAAATGCAGGAATTTATATTTTTACATTCAGCCAATACAGGAAACTACTCAGAAACTGTCAGCTGTGTAAAATGTCCAGGAGATCTTTATGTTGAGATTTTGAGCACCACAATAATGTCACCTCTTAAGAGAGAAACGTTTTCTGGGTTTTGAAACAGTTACCAACGACTCTGACAAAAGATCTTGCTTTTCCTTCCTTACTGATGAAATTATCAACACATTGAAACAGTAGTTACATTCACTTTGTAAGTGGACAGTTAAAACACTTTCCCCTTCTGAAATTTCAGACATGGAAGGGGTTTTGCTTAGTTATGCAAAGGCTGTGAAATTCCACCCGGAGAGAACAGTTCTCTTTGAATTTATGCTTTTGCTGGGGGGTGATCCACAGAAACACTTCCCTACAACGGGACATCAGTAAGAACCCAACAACAATTTGGAGTTTACCACTGAAACAGTGCAGGGTGTAATTTTTTTCCTTAGATTCCTAGTAATTCATGTCCAATGCCTTGCTGATACACTATTTCACAATCTGAATTCAATACATTTTCAGTGTCTGGGGCAAAATCAAGGCCAGACCTTTGCCCAAGGCCACTGAGAGTGTTTATACAGGATTTCTCGGAAAATTCTAAGAGTTTTCTTTCATGGCAGATAAATACTCTTCCACTGCATGCACCCAAATCTTAGCAGTGCTGCTGTTTCAGAAGAACCTACTAATAGTGTGTGTCTGCCTGTGGAGGAGGGTGTGGGTGACAAGAGGAGTATAAATGACAAACATATTTGTTGTTCCAGCACTTCTACAACTGTTTCACTTTCAAAAGCAAACTCTAGTAGTCAATGTGCTTTGCTAAAAAAAACCCCAGATATATACCCCAACAGTTTATGATGATATGATGACTTGGACAAATCTAAACAAGATAAAAATGAAGTGGTGTGTGGTCTTTTCCAAAGGCTAAGGAATCATTATTATAGGTTTCTTAATTACAATATTTAGTGGCAAGTGGTATGTATAGAAAGAGGAACATAATTTGTGTCATGTTAAAGGTCACTATTTAATATAAGGCTGCAGGAGTGTTGTTCCTATTAAAATCAGATATCTTCTCCTGCCACTAGCATCCTGGTCATCCCAAAAGATCGAAATATCACTAATATAATTTAAAAGAAAACCACAAAAGTACTGCACATCCAAGAAATAAATGCCACTCTCCTAGGAAGTCCTTAGTTCATCCTCTGCAATCACAGGCAAGACCTACCTTTCTGAAAGGGAAAACTAATACATCCTTTGGGAAAAGTTTGGAATCTATGTAGGGTTAGAATAAAGCACCAAAGCAATTTTAAAGCTTACCAGCATATATAAAAACACATACATACTTGACATATTAAGTATTTTCATTTCATTTGTTAGTTCTAGAGCTCATGAAAAGCAAAATCCAAACAACACTGGTCACAGCCAAGTATCCTCCTATCAGCCACTCATCTATGTCACACTAAGCAATTTGCAATCACAGTTATGACAATATTATTCCTCCTCTAGACCTGTCATTCCAAATGGGACTCCAGTGCTATGTTACGAAAGATATGGACTGTAAGATAGTTGCAAAGTCATTTGAGATTAACAAAACTCATCTTTCCCCTTGTGATGTCCAGCCATGCTGTGTACAACGTAGTGTCACACAAGTTAAAGGCTTTTTAATTACATCCCTTCTTTCATCAACTCATCTGCATGTTTCTAATCAAACCTCACGGCAGAACACAAGTGTAGAATTCAGTGTGAAAACCAGAATTACTTAAAACACAGTGAATAGGAGCATTTAAAAGGCCAGCCAGAATAAGTTTTCTAAGCATAAACTTGGCCGGGCCTGCAGTTTGACCTGCCTTATGCCACGACAACGGGCTTGCCTAAATGCAAGTGGTTATGAAGAGTCAGTTGTGATTATACATCAAGAGAGTGCCCAAATATACACAAAGCACACGATGTTTAGGTTGCTTGCCTATTCCTGCAATTTGAAAGGCAAACACCAGAGTCGGTGCTCACGTAAACTACTCCACTAGCACGGTAAGTACTCATCACCTGGAATGATTAGGCCCTTGATCTCGATTATTGCTAATTCCAAAGAGGCAGTGATTTATTTCTCCATAAAATTCACACAATTCCTGCGTGTATGTGTCAATTATCTTATTCATTCCTCTTGAACTTGACTCAGGGCTCACTGACTTGCAGCAATTTCAGTGAACAGTCATGGTACTCAGGTTTGCTTGACTGTCAGAGCTTAAAGAGATCATAACAATTTATTGACAGCTCCAGGAGGTAAGGAATTAAAATACAGCTCATAGTTAAGCATTAGTTGAAGCTGCTGCCACTGCAGGTACTCTCCTTCTCATTTTTAAGTAAAATGCTAATTGATACACTCACCCTGAGTGAATAGGGCTGGAAGAAAGAGCCACATTGTCCAAGTTTTCAGGGCCCCAGCTTAAGCGATAGGAATTCCTTTCAGCTTCTTTGGCCAGAGTTGTTACCTTGGGAAGCAAAAAAAAAAACGCCAACTCTTTTTACTGCAATGAAATCAAATAATCAAGTAAACAATAAGATGTATTTTGCTTAGCAGTGCCTAAAGCATAATTCTTTTTTAAAAGAAAACAAAGGAGTAAGAATAGCATCAAGATATTAGAAACCTCTTACTGTAACATTCTGCATTTGCTTAAAGTAATCCTGTGTTAGTGGTATCAGTGAAATGAATGCTGTGATTTACCAAGAGGGCATTTCCTAAATCTCTTTTTTTAACTAAAAGCATGTTTCAGGGGAGTATCTTTGAGTACAGTGGCTGTGAGTTCATTAGAATGTTTAGCCCGACGGCTGTAGCAACATTCAAAAAATTCAGTTAAAATGGAGAAAACACTAAGAACACAGCCCTTGTAACTCACACAGCTCAGCCACTTATTTTGGAATAGAGTTTAACACTGCACAGTACAATATGCTGTTAAATATCAGCAAAAACAGAGAGACTCGTATTAAAATAAACAAGCAGCGAACACCACACAGACTCATTAGTGCGATTCACGCTGAGATCTTTTTCTCTGCCCCGATTTCTCCCGGCACCCGGCGAGTCCAGGGGGTTCTCTCTTACCTGCTGGCTGGGGATCACCACGGTGTCGTCGATCATGGCGCTGTCCCGCAGGTAGGAGGCGTGGCTCAGGGTGTGGGACCTGTCTGAACTGAAGGACCGCAGGCTGGCAGGTTGGTAGGATGCCATAGCAATGCATCAGCAGCACAGATGATGTTGGGAAGGTGTCATGACAGAGCGAGTGGGAGAATGAAAGAAGCGTGCAATTAGCAACGGGATGCAGCTTCCAGGGGGAGCAGATCCCAGTCCCGGGGGAACACGGCGGGGCTGTGCCACCTCCCCGACCGCGGGCCACAAAGCCTCTCCACTGACTCAAGTTGCTTACTCACAGATACTTTAGGCTTGGCTTTGTGGCACGACAGTTCCCTTACAACAAAATGCATTAATTTCTTTAAAGCGAGGTTCTCCGGAGAAGTTCTCCACTACGTCCCGCAAACCACTGCGGAAAACCAGAACGCTGCCACCTGAAGAAAAGCTGGAATGACTCTTGCCCCCTCACCTACTCTCTCCCTTTAAAACTGTAAATAAGCAAGCTTGACATTGTCCCCTGGAAGGTACACACGGCAAGGTGAAGTGTGGCCAGCCACAAGCTCCTGTGGAAAACAGGACTGTTCCTGCGAATGCCAGCAGCATCTTTAGGGAGGCAGTCCAAATGGGAGCACGGATCTCGCTGTAAGTACGCACAGCTCCACACAACACTGGTTGCTGTAGCAATGAGAGGTGCAAGGCAGTAAATAAGCTGCTTCCAAGCACTGGCTCAGAATGTAACTGCAGCATCCACCAGCGAAAAGCAAAGAAAAAAACCCAGACAAATAGGACGCCACAGAAGGACATGTTGAGGTAAATGGGGTTTCTGCTACCAAGCAGCACTAGTTTTGTCCCTTCAATATTCACTGGCTGCAGTTTTACAGGAGTGGTTTTTAAAAACAGATCAGCCACCTTCAGATGTTGTACGTGTACTCTGTGATAGGTCTAGAGGAATACAGTACATATAACTGAAGGCAGCAGTTTTGTTTTCCTGGCTTACACATCCGTGAGTAGTACTGAGAATGAGTAATATGTGGGATCAGAACAATAGGCCATTTATCTGGATACACAGATTTTTAAAGGATAATTCATTTTCAGAAGTTAGCAAGTCATGCATTCACTACAGACATGAGTTTCAAGTGCTTTAAGTGCAGTTCAAATACCATCTGATTCAGATCACTCAGCCTTTTTTAACAATAGCTACATTCACTCAGGTTTGGGGGTTTTGATCCATTTTTAGAAGCAAATGGTTACCTCATTTTTATTAGAAATATATGACATGGAAGAAAAATGAATGCTCTGGATGACTGACTCATACCAAAGGCCTGTTTAGCATCCTAGATGGACTGTACAAGACTGGAAGCAAAGACAGGCACTACACAAGGATCAGGTTTTGGAAAGTCTTGAGAAAAAACGAAACCAACGTTTGTTCTTTGGCTGAGAAATGAGCCTCAGTAGCAGACCCCATTTGCCCTCATTATCCTGTGTTCATTTCCACGTTTGACACTTCCAGAACTGCTTTGCTGTGCCATGCAATGCTTGTGAGAGAGTCACCATCCAAGTTGTAGGTTCTGCTATTCAGCTACTGTCATGTCCTGGACAGACACTGAACGAAAGGAAGCCTGAACTAAAGTTGGCTGGTTATCTCCACGGTGATTTTGTCCATCTTCACTGCTACTACCACCATGACAAGTATATATCCACTATGTACTACCTGTACGTAAGCTCCAGTAAATACATCAAAGGCTATGGGCTTTATCCACAGGCACACACATGACTGAGGTTTGCAGTTAGAGATTTAAATTTCCTTCTAAACTCAATTTCAAACCTAGTGTTCAGATGGCACTGCCCCTCTCTGTGAGATGGACCAGCTAAACGAAGAGCAGACCAGCAGTTAAAGACTCAGAAATAAAGGTACTTCAGGAATCCTTTTAAATAAAATAAAATAAAATAAAAACCTACCTAAATCAGAGCCAAAAATACCATCTAAATACAGATTCTTTCCAAATCTGGTTGATGAATTTCAAGTCACAGAAGCTGTGGGGCCAATAACACTCAGCCACAGAGATGGAACTGTGGAACCCAGGAATGCTACAAAGCTCCTGAATGTAAACGTGTGCCTTATGTATCACCCTTCTCTTCTAAGCCCTTAACAAGGCCCAGGTTATATCCAGAAAATATAAGCAGCATTCCTTAGCCTAGTTTCTAACCTAGATACCTGGGAGACCACGCTGCAGTGCACATCCACCAGCCTAGAGAGATCTAACAAGCTCTGGTCCAGTTAAATGTAATTCCTGTTCAAGTATATGTTGTTTCAGAGGCTGAGAAAAAACCTGGTATCGTTGAAAACTGTACAAATTAACCTTGAAAACACTTTCCAACAGCAGTATCTTTCATTTGGTCCTCCAAACCAACTTTCTGGCATACAGCAGGCCTCCAAAGTGGATGAACAGAGACAGGTGCCACAGAAGGGTATAGAGACAACAGGTGCTCATGCTATGTGATACCTACCTGGGCATGATGCTAATGAAAGCATATGGAAAAGAAAGAAAAATGAAGGGGAGAGAGAAATAAAATAAATAGGGAAGATGGTTACAAATGAAAAACATATGTTTTGAAATCAAATTGATCAATGCATAAGGTTACATGAGTCTAGACTGCTAATACTGTTCTGCTTTACTGAATTCCTTGGAAAACCAAAGTCGGTATAATGCAATGAAAATCACATTAAAGCAAAACAATGTGAAAATTCTTAAAACCAGTAACCTGAAGGTGACAGAAAATTAGACCATGGAGTTAGAAAGACGTTTTTCTTCTTTCATTCTTTTTCCCTTTATAATTTTGCTTCATTTCAGTATAATCATTCTAAATGGGAGCTTAACTTAAACTGGCTTAACATCTGCGTGCATTTGTATATACATCATTTGTACACATCATCTTAAATAAAATCTTTGTTACCATGGAAAGAACAAAAGAGTTTGACTTTAGGCACTCTGCTGTAGTTCATAAACTTCCTCTAGGAGTTAAAAAGCCACACAGTCACTTTGTTTTCAGTAGACTCTCTGGAACTGCCTAAAAACCAGCAAAGACTCCAGGCTTGTGAGACCTGAATGATGGGATTTACACATGCTGTGAGGAAAACCAAACTGTTTCCTGACATCTTTTGTTCCAGGAGCAATTCACAGCCTACTGAAGTAAACAGAAGGGATCCTACTGATTCCACTGAGCTTCGGAGATGCTGCCAGAATAACAATCAAGACTGGAAAACGAGGTAGGTTAAAAATTCTGTTGCCAAGACTTCCACTTCTTTCTTTTATTCCCTTTAGTGTACCCCAGTTCTAAATGCAGTAAAAGTCCAGAGACACTGCTGACTTACAGCAGACATTTCCCACCCAGGAGTGCCTGGGTAGCTTTTCAGAACTAGAACTGTGGGTGTTCCTCTGCCAGCTCGAGTGAGAGACCCTGAAAAGGGGATTTCAAACGTTTGTAACAAAATGACTGTGGAATTATCGCAAGAAAAGTGATGATTCCAGACAAATACCTGTCCGATCGTCCTCCTTCCAAGCTGTACCTCAGGTAGTTCATACCATCCAAGAACTGGCTGCTGGGCAGAGAGTCATCTCCTAGTTCTCGGAGATCTTCTGGCCTAAGGTACTCTCCCCCATCTCCTGTCATTGTGTCATCACCTGTAAATCAATCACAGAAGGGACAGGGCTCAGCACACACAGGGGTGTGACTCCAGCTGCGCATCGGGATCCAACAGCTGGACAGCACAATCAACAGGAAGGCATTGCTCACTCAGGAAACACTGCAAACCACAAGCAATTAATATATGTAATGACACTGCCACATCAAGCAAGATATTAAAAAAAAAATTGAAATCGAGTTGATTAATCAATTAGATTTAATCTATTGTTTGCTGTTGCACGTACTGCTAAGGGGCACATTTCTTTGCTATTCTCTAAAATCTCTCTGTTCCTTAAATCTATTTCAGCTCTCTGGTCACAGCTATGCTTTATCCCAGCCTGACAGTTTATGGTTAAATATCCCCACTTATTTGACTGTAATCTGTGTTTGCAGAAGAAAACATGTTTGCTGTGGCCTTATGCCTTATAGTTGCAAATCCTAATTTAAACTCTCTGCTGTCCAACCTCCACATCATATGAGGCTCTCTCACCCATGTTACAACATCCTTCTGTGATCAGCAACAAAATTCTTATTTCTAAAACACAGCAACATCCAGAAACTGGAAATAAGCTCACCTGCATAGATGAGAATGATGATTTTTCAGAAAAGTAATTCCTAACAAATCACAACCTAAATGACCATTCTGACACAGTAACCTTTATGCATATACTCTGAACAACAGGGTTTAATCTTTTTTTTTTCAGGTCCAAAATTATTTTCCCCAGGAAATTCTGTCTATATGAAGTCACAGTTTGCTTTCCCCAGCAGACTAACAAAACAGATCCCATTGCCAAGCAACACGTAGATATTTCTTTTCATTCCCATTTGCAAGATGCCTTCTCTCCACAGTTTCCTCCTGGATATTTCAGTCATTTTCCCAATTACTGGATGAGCCTTCCAGACCCTAGGCTGTGGATGGCTTCAAACTTTCTCATTTTCTAAGCTGTGTGGGCAAACTGGAGGTCATCTTGATATTTGTTTTCACAAAAACAAATCAAGCTACTTTTACTAGCTGGATGTTTCAGCTAAGAAATAAGTAATTTGTTATTTGTCATCTGAAACTAAGCAAATTTTGGGGGGTTTAAGACTTTTTTTTGTACACACTAATATTATATGTAAAAATGAGGCTTGACTCTTTTCAGTCTAACAACAAGAGCTCTTGAAAATTCCATCTGCCCACATTAAGAGGGAGAAACTGGGCACAGTTTCACAGAAAACAATAAAATGCATTTAATCATTTCACGTTTCCTGTCTTCTGACAGATGATGCCTCCTGTTTCCTGGGAATGTCACTTTATAAAGCACAGGGCTTAGTGAAAACTTGGAAGATATTAAGGCAGTGCTGTTAATCAAACAGTAAAAGGAATTCCAAGCTATATTTCAAATAAACTAGATAACTATAATCATGCCAGACATTCCATCTATAATAGAAACAAAGGCAAAATCTTCACCACTTTCATCACACCCACATCCTTAAAAAAAAAATAAAATCCAAAGTCTGCTCTTATTCCAGCTTTGGCCTCTCATCTAAGAGTTGTCAATACCAGGGCTAAGTACCTCTGTTTGATGTGCTGGGAACATCTGCAAACAGTAACCAGACTATCCATGGATATCCTTCAACAGCAGACTAATCTTGAGGGAACTAGAAGGTAAAGTCACTCCCCGCCAGCCCTTTGTGCCCTTCCACCTTTCCCTAATGAGATGAACTCCCAAGGAGTTCCTTATAGGAAATGAAGGGGAAAACCACATACTTAAACCTCAATGATTGCATATTCAGCTGACCAAGGCCTTCCTTACACAGCAGATCTTACCAGATGGCAGCTTTGTGGCCATACAAGAAATTATCCTTTTTAATTGTGCCAGAAACGATTTGTCTGCCATCACATTCCCCATCAAATTGATGCCAGGAACATTTTCACCACTCACATTAAGCAGTCTGGGACAAATATAACCCTTGACACTGGTGCTCCATTGTTTGCAGTGGTCACCTGTGAACTCACAAGTAGATTTTGAGGAGTCACCTGCTTATTGATTTATCTTCTGTTTTCTAGAGAGAACACCTTCCCAGCTGAACCCCTGCACTTGCTGCTGCCGCTGTCGAATGTCTGAACACAGTTCTGAGCATTTTAAATCACTGAACAGACTTCTAAGTGACACAGGATACATTCTGAGATCACATATCTGCTTCTTCAGCGAGAGCTTGGCTGGACTCACAGGATTTTACTGAACCCCAGGAACTGGAGACCCACACTGATAGGGCTGTACTGACATCTGCAGAGTCAACTCGTTTAGGGAAGGCTCAACAAAGGCACTTCCTACCATTCCTACACTGCTGCTGCTCATAAATAAACTGCAAAACACAACTGCTGTATGAGAATTGCTCTGGAATTGTTTCTCACAAAACACAGAGAAAATGTAAGCAAAAGTTAAAAAAAAAGAAAGAAAGAAAGAAAGGTCTGTGTCAAACTGCCAGAAATCGTTTCTAATAGATGTTTTTAAAGCCAGATGAGTTTGCCAAAATTATTGTTTTCTCTACAGCATGCAGATAAGTCTACAGCTCACCACAGAAGTGCTGCTCCTTAAAGGTAACAGATGGAGAAGGGAGAGCTATGGCAAGAACAATTTTTATGGAATGTGTATACTCCAGAGTTTCTGTGACATTTTCCTTGGACACCTTCACTTCCCTAAAGTCAATTCTCCACTTAATGGTCCACACTAGAAGTTTCCCTGGATTACAGTTTGGCTAATGCTTTAAATTTTCTTTACTTTTAGCCAGTCAGGAAAGCAGAGTTTCACGTGTGGTTTCAGATATTAATACACTGAACAGCTCCTGGCTCCAACTTTAAGTTCCAGGATTAATTAAGGAAATTAAGTTTTCCCACTAATTAAGGTGCTCCTGCAGAGGAATTATGTGCATGTACACCAGCAGTGAATTGTGCCCATTTCTCACATATATGCAGCAGTATTTGCTACTCCAAGGCCATGTAGGGAGGCACCCAGGAAATTCATTGTTGTATTTTAGCACTGTGGGGTTTTTTTTCCTTTTTGATCAGAAATCTGATCCAAACAGGAATGGATTAGCTGCTTCCTGGAAATCTCAGATCACATTACCGTGTCCTTAAGTGACACAGCAGTTCACAGACCTGCCACCCTGGCACTGATGCACTTCCACGAAGGGACAGCAAATCCTGCTTTTACACAGAAACTATTACAGTGACTATGTTGGAACCAGGCACAGGGTTGACTCCTCAGCAATTTCTGGACAAGTTTCCCTCATGAAAAAGACAATTTTTGTTCTACTGATACTGGGATTCCAATGGGGTTTTTGAGAGTCCATTGACTACTTGCACATGAAAACCTCTGTCTATCCCTCCTCTGCAACTGAAATATCAGCACTAATTACTGTTTGGTGTGAGCTGACCTTCATGGTCATGCCCATCTCAGGCCATGCTGCTTCTGACAGTACTGTCTCACCTTCTACTTCAGCCTTTCTAGTCCCTTCTGCCTGCAAAAGTCATTTGGCCAGAAAACAACTTGTCAGTACAAACAAAGAGATTAATTTGCAGACAGGTCAGTTCTCTGGCTTGGTTCCCTACATGGTGAAACGTTTGTGCTGCCAGAATGGAGGATGTGGGGAACCACAGTCAGAACTGAGTCTCGAATAGGAAGGGAACCTACAACTTTGGAAAATTAGCTGGAGATGAGGAGGCTCAAAGAGAAACTAATGAGAGCTCTTGAACACCCTTTGAAAATAACGCATGGAACGAGTGCATAGAAGCATATATGGGAGGGAAAAAAAAAAAACAGGTTCCTGTCTTTTCTAGATGTTCCTGTGTGTCTACACTGACTCGGCCCTAACAAAAACATCTGCTTGTGCTCAACTTCACTAATTCCCCAGACAGGACTAAAATACATTTCACGAGATGCTTTGCAGTAATTCCCCTCTGCTACTCTAAGGATCCCTATGGGGGCCAAGTGTTTCTTTTGTGGCAACAGCTTTAAAGGAACTCAGTTTTGCAGCAACACTCACAGCCAAGGTAGATGCAAAGACAAAAATGCACAAGGTTTTTTTAGTGCAACTGTATCCACACCAAGCATTTCTGCAGGCATGGGTGTACCTTTCTCAAATCACATCACTTAACAGCTCTGCCTACGGGAATTTGTAGTGCAATCCCCATTGATGGGGATCAAATGCCATTAAGAAAAAAAAAAAAATTACCTAATTCTGTTCGAAAGAAAGATTATCTTTTTCCAGGTATTGTAAAAGGTAAAGAATTCTGAGTAATAATACATGTGATAAACAGAAAAATGCTGCAAGAAAATTGAGGAAAAATTAGGAGGATTCTCAGTCCATGCAAAATATTTCAAAATAAGCTACACAGGGCAGGACCTGCCAAATCGAGCTGAGCTCGAATTTGGTGCATTACTTTATCCTGTTAACATGGGATGTTGCACTTCTGCTTGTTGTAGGAATAGGAATATTATGTTAGCAACAGAACAGCATGCAATTATGCAACATACCTGTTTTCCAGGCACAACACAAAATACTTATCACCAGTGGTCAACAGGCTCCACAATGGAACATGAACCCCTTCTTTGCTCAAGTACTCTTGTGTTTTACTCTTGGTAACTATGTAACTACAGCTGGCAGGTTTAGGTGTCACATCAATTTATGTCAGAACACATTGTGTCACTTGAAAGAACACAGAGTTAGAGAAATCTTACTGTTGGCCTCTTACAAAGCTACACTGCCACTGAAAGGTTCATCCCCTCCATTAAAAGAGTTTTTGCAGTCTTCCTGTCCCCAGCTATTTTAAGTTCCTGTCACAAGTACCATCCACCTTAGGACTGTTTGCAGGGAATGTTAATTCAAAGCACTGGAGAGCATTAGTCATGCTGGACGGCCCCTTCAAGTTCTGCCAACGTATTCAAGATATAGGTAATAAATCTGAGCTTTCCTGGCCTCCCTTCTTCCTCCCACCTTTCAGGAAACACACACTCAGCCACACTTCAAAAGGAACGGAGAGGAGCAGTGTTAGGCACCCAGAGTATGCAAACCTGTGTTGTTTCAACACCAAAAATAAACCAAACAGTCCAGGTTAAACAAGAAGAGAAAGTCTGTAGGGCTTACTCCACGAACTCCTGCTAACAGCACCTGTGCCATTACATGCTTCCCCATCACTGAAGGGTTCATCATCAGAGTGTTTAAAGGCTGTACAACACACAAATTGGTTTGAGAAAAGGGAATACTCTGGATTAATCCTGTAGAAGCAGAAAGACGTACCAGGCTTTGTGGATTTAAAGATGGTTCAACGGTAGATCGAAAGACTGGGAATAAACTCAGCAAGGTGAACATAAAGCTATAAGCATTTTAAAGCCCATTTGTCACAATAATTACACGAGTAGTTGAATTGTTTCTCAGACACAAAGCAGCAAAAACATTCCTGAGCAAAATAATCTCAACGGTCATGATGCAGCAGAAAATAATTGATTTTGAATCACACTTGTTTTGCTTTCACATTTGAAAACAAAAAGTTGCATCTGGAGCCTAAGCACCGTTATTTGCTCAAGAGTGTAACTCATTTATCAGCAGAAATCCCATTTCCAAAAGCAATGCAAGAAGTAGTATTGGCACTAATGAATGCCATTAACTTCCTGCACCATTTAGAACCACAAGTGCATTTGCATCCTTTGTAAAAGAAAAAAACCCAACCCTGTAACCCGTGTTCCCAAATCCCCAGGACTTGTTGGAAATTAGTCACTCTACAAATCATTTGCACGAAATAATAAAAACAACCATAAAATAGCATATGTAAGATACTGCAATATTAATTAACACTGCCAAGAGTAAAAAAGAACACAGAAGATTCTTGCAAACATGTTCATATTTATCAGATGCCATGTGACTGAAATGTCTAAGCAGTCACTTGTGAACTTTGAAAAAGGGACGTTTTTAAGCCTTTTCTGTAATTCTGTGCTGTACAAAACTGCAATATTTTATCAATTCTTCCAGAAGTTCACAGAAATTTTCTGGGGATGTTGCTAAGCAGTACAACACGTGTCTCCTGTCTGTACATGTAATGGACTCTGAAACCCAAGTGCCAAACTTATTAGCGTGCTGTTACTTTATGTCATGCCTCATGTATCCACGAGTCCTGTGTGCCAAAAGCTCCCTGGAGGGAACAGCCTGCTCACCTTCCACCTTATGCATCTCCTCACACAAATGTTTCCAATTAGGCAGAATTCCTAGATATATGTATCTGATACGGGTGGCACAGGGCCAAAAAAATTACTGCTCAGATTCCTCTTCGTGGGAGGGTCAAAGTCAGCTCTGAGAAAGCTCTACATTGAAATTTTAAAACCTGAAGTTGGGAAACGTTCACATTTGTTGATTTGGTTCAGACAAGCTTTTTCTGAAAAAGATGCAGGGGTCCAGGATTTTGCTCTAGGTCAAATTTTGGTATCTTTATCCAAATGCCACGATGATTACATCATTTTAAAAAGGCATTTCAAGCACTGCAAAATGAAGGCATCAAAGAACTTAGGCAGCTTCTCGAGGCGACGTAAGTGATACGGAATTTAGCAGAGTTGCTCACCTTCTTCATCAGACACATCCAGGACCTCAGTCATGGTCTCGGGGACATTCAGCTTGTGCTTCTCTGTTACAGTCTGCAAAGACAGAACCATCAGTCCTCAAATGAAACACCGAACAGAGCAGCAAAGTTTACAGTGGGATATTTTCAACACTGACAGCAGGGGGATGTGCTGAGGCACTTCACAATGTGTATCCCCCCTCCCCTAACTCTCCTTTTCATCTGTGCTCCAGAGGCTCCCATTCTCAGTGCTGTGTAAGGTAACATTTCTTCTGGCAGAAAAGTACAAAAAACATAAAGATAACGTGCTGGTCAGAGGAATAAAATTTACTTATAAATGGTGCATGTAGAACAATTCAGCTCAATGTTTCCAAGATGATTTTAAAGGGAATTAGGTAATGTCTACAGAAGAGCTTCAGAAAGTTGTATGTGGCATATGGAAATTATTAAATCGTAAAGCATTTGGAAATGAAGTTATGAATGATGTGAAATTCCTAAACTAAAAAAAGATGTGAGGGATTTACACAGATCACTTGAAACATTTCTTCCCTCCCCCCCAAAAAAATGCCTACACTGCATATTAATGATATTCTTTTCATAAATCACGTATGTACTCATCAGAAGGAACAAAAAAAAAGGTTATTTGAAGATTCTGATTTTGTGCACCTAAAAGCTTTAAGTATTGTGAATCAAGGGAAGTATGGACTGAGGAACAGTGGGAGAACACTGATTAAACATGAGAGCACAGGGTGGGAGAACACTGGAAGATATTTTTTATATAATTTTATCTCCATACATGACTTCTGGGACAAAACAGATGATGTTCAGGGGTGCTGAATCAAGAATGGGGACATCCTTTCAGCACCACGATACAGTCTGGAGAGGGACATGCAGAACACAACGAGAGAAACTGTAGGAAGTGCGAGGTGTGAGAAAGTTGCCTGAGGAAACTCTTGAGCATGTTACGATACAGGACACAAAATGCCAAGGGCTTCAAAAAAGAGCAGTTTGAGCAGAACTGCATTAGTCACAACCCAAAAAAATAACTATTTCCCTGGCTCCACCCAGCTGTGCAGCCAGTCAGCTGAAGTGGGGAGCTGCGGAGGGCAGCACACACATGGCCTTTAAGGTCTGTGGGAGTAGATGTGCCCCTCTGGCACAGAGGAGATGCCAGGAGGCCACGTGTGTTTCTTGGGAAGCTCCCACTAAGGCAGTGCTTCAGCCTCTGCCCGAGGCAGTATCTATCCTGAAGAAATTACCATTACATGCAAAAGGAGGGAAGGAGCATAAAATGAGAGGGATAATTAAAAAGTCAGCCAAACCCCGAGTCCCTTGTGCAACATTCTTTTGGGAAAATGCCCACTGATAGCAACAGTGAAGTCAACAGCAGTTTTTGTTGCACAGAATTTAGTAGTTATTTCCTGATCCTGTTGTATATATTCTCTAGTTCTAACAAACCCACAAAGACAGCATACTTGATTATTGTAACATACTGCACTTTCATAAACAGCTATGTTACCAAGCGTGTAATTGCTTTGCAACTTTGTTTTAAAAGCCTGCTTCACATTTTTGAAATCTGTTTAACTGTGACAGCAGTTTTCAGTTCACCCTCCTGAGGAACAGGGAGAGAACAATGCCCTTTGCCTCAACTGGCAGTCCCAATTAGGCCCCCCCAAGTTCACTCTTACCCAGGAGTAAAGACAACTAATTATTTCTGTTGCAGCAGAACACATGTTCGGGGCTGAAAACTAGTTTATATTCACCGAATGCCTCCGCCAATATGTCTGACTTTTCCCCCTGTATTCCCATGGCTTTCCTGGGATAGAAATGTCAGGCAGCAGTGGGGTGACGAGGCCAGCGATGACAGATGGGGAGGGTGCTGCCACTCAGGTGACACTGACCTTGTCCCTTCAACAGCACAGTTAACAAATAAGTTGGACAATACACTAAAGCCAACCACAAGGTATAGAGGCTCGCTGTATACTTTTCTTTTACCCTGCTCTATTTACCATTTACATCAATTTATTCATAACTTAGGTTTTTACAGGCCCCTATATAACAACAGTCTGGCCTCTGACTAAGGCTCTCAGACATTATTATTTATTAACAGAGAAGCAGGGATACTTTATTTACTTCCTGACTTTCCTATCGGTCAGGAAAAAAAAAATTATTACCTAATTTAACAACTGAAAGGAAGTTTGGAAAAGAGACTCAAAAGAGTGTGCACGTGTCTGCTTCAGAAGAAGAAAAAAATCTGCAAGGCCCACTTTGGAACACTGAACTCAGCAAGAATCATTAATTCTACTTAATTCCTAATTCTACTTAATCATTAATTCTACATTAATTCTAATCCCAACAACTTCTGTTGGGAATTGATGCTTTTAAAAGGAACTTCTAATGTAAAACTAGAGTTTTTTTAATTGATAGGCACATCAAATACTCTCAAAATTTAAGATCTACATCTAGCCCCATGAGACTTGGAAAATTGCTCAATGTGTGTTGCTTAAACTCCCTACTGTTTGGTGCCACTGAGATTTCCATTATGGACTTTACTTCCAGCTTCTGTTTCTGAGGCTTTCACTGTGAGGCCAGATCTTCATCTGGTGGCATAGAATAATTCAGATATATAAACCCATATGTGCTTTCAGCAATGACTTACTGAACAGCACAATACTGTAAACAACCCCAAAGCTCCTCAGATATTCATTTGTCCACAGGAAGTCTGTGTTTGTTTGTATAAATGCCCCAAGACTTAATTGCACAGCAAACCTCTGAAAGTCCGGTTTATTCTGATTTATTTCCTACTCATCTCTAATCTTTCAGTAAAAAAAAAAAAAAGTGCACTTTATTCTCTCTATTGCTTTATATTCCTGTGGCTCCACTAATAACACCACTAATGCAAGTGAGAGGAAAATTTGTTCCAAGTTAGAGCAAAGCAAGGCTTTGGCACTGGAGATCTTTTCCTCATCTCCAAGGCCAGTGACTTGAATATCAATAAAGCACCAGGCTGTCTGACATCCTCCAGGCAGGGCTCAGCCACAAGCTCAGAGAATGAGGTAGCTATGGTGACAGCACCTTCTTTGCAGTGCTAAAACACTGTGTGCAGGTTTGCCAACACCAGCCTCACCATCTGGAGAACTTTACTGCAGGGAGTGCCTGGTACTTATCCCTCCTTTTCAGGACTTATTATAAATTATGTTGAATCAACATTCCCCACCACGAACACCGCCACCAGAGTGTGTATTCCATATATCCCTGAGGTACAAGGTTCAGATGAACTCATGGCTGGAGAATCTGCTGAGTTTATCCAGGGTTCCCACCTGGCTTTCAAAGCACACGGGCACAGGTCAAGATTTCAGATTTGCCTTATGTGCAAGTATTAAAGGTCAACTCTGCAAGTAAGGTTCAGTATTCGACTCAGTCCTACACCCCAGGCATCAGGTGTCCAGTAGAAAAATCCATTACCCTTTAAGTTTAAAGAAATATTTACCCAAAGTAAATAACTCACAGGTGTCTTTCCATAGTGTAATCCCTATTATTACAAAGCTCTAACACTTACATAAGACAAGGTACAAGGCTGCACAGTGCAACATAATGTACAACAAAAAGGAAGTTACAGCTTATATCAGACAAGAGGTGAGAAGTCTGTGCCAGGACGAAGCACAGAGAACAGCAAAGGGGTGCTTGGAGGCTAAAAAATAGTCTTTTGAAGAGAGCTGAAATTCCTCAAAAAGTTTTACCTAGCTTTTATTTTTCTAAATCTCTGATTATGAGATTATGTTTATGCATGTACATGTGTGACGTGCTATATGACTGAACAAGAACATGAAGGAATAACAGCAAAAACCTACAGACTTCATTAGAGACTTCTGGAATTACTCTGGAATTTCTTGTCCAAACCTGACTCAGCCTGATCTTCGCAAGTCATTAATAAATTATGGCTCACTCTATTTGTAACCTTATTCCATCTTCCTTGGTTCATATCACTGGGACTTGCTGTCAGCATGCAACAACATTAAAATTATTTCCCCATTTCTTTACAAGAGATTTTGTATTTCTTCCCTTCTTCTAACCCTCACCCTGGCTGAGCAGCAGCATCTTTTAAGTAATCTGTGGATTTTTAAAGCTCTGAGCTCCTAAATTACATGTAGAGCTGTTTTCTAGACAGTTAATCCTTCTTGAAAAAATAAAAAAAGCATGACCTTACAACAGTGTTTCAAGATAAATGCAGTAATTGAGGTTAAATTGAATTTAATTTAATTATGCACTGTTCCTATTGTTCTCCCTTTCTACCTGCTAAGACACGTGTAGATGGGAGGTAAAAGTCCAAGAAGAGAAAATCTTCCCTTCCCAGGGTGTCCAAATAGATCAGTTTTTCCTGGCTTAAAGCTGCAGTACCACCTTGCTGACATTCAGCACACACACTATTCACAAACCCTGACATCAAAATACACACTCCAAGACTGTGGGGGGACTCAGCACATAAGGAAAGATTCCTCTGTATTTGGAAAAACGGGATCTGTTTGAACTGGAAGTGACTTGAGTAAGAAGATGATGGATGAGATCCACAGCCATCCCACGAGCATCATGAGGCTTGGCACCAGGCCATGGCTGCACAGTCCAAACGTGAGGACACCGTGACGTGCTGCAAGCGCTGAGCCTCAGTCGGTGTCACAAGTGTGGAGATGTCAGGCCAGGTGGGGAAGGAGAGGTGAGAAGAGAAACAGATAAACAGGGCAGGACCTAAGCAACACCACGCAAACTTCTGGAAAGTTTGGGCTTGCAGCTCAGACCCAGATCTAGAAAAAGTTTGACTCTGCTTTCGGAGGGTTGTTTTCCATCTCTGTGCACACGGATTTTGTTCCCAAGCCCAGTGGAGCCGGTGGTGTTGCACACACTTCCACAATGCTTAAAAGATACACTGCAGGCACCGTAGCAAAAATCCAACAGGAAGGGGGGTGGGGGCTAAAACCAGAAAACAAAAAAACAGGGGAAAAGCTACCTGGAGAGCCTGAGGGACGAGGAGAAAGACAACATTCTGAATAGAGAAGAGACATTGTAACGCATGTGCAACTCACAGTTGTGGTGGTGGTGATCTCCTCCGTTACAACCTTCAGCGTGTCCACCACTGAGATGTACCCCAGGCGCCTGGCGATGGCTAAGGCAGTGTTCCCATTCTGAAGGGAGAGCAGAGGGGGGAGAGCGCTGAGAGGGAGGACTGTGATGTGAACCAATGAGCTCACGCTCCGCGCTGCATGAGCCAGCATTTCCATCCAAAACAAGGCACAGCCTAGGAAAAAATCGCTGCTTTTTTACCGTTACATCTGACTCTGCCTTTGTAACTTCTTTTAAGACTATAGCCCCGGTCGCCATGGTAACACAACACACTTACATCTGCCAGATAGTCCAAATACTAAAGGCTGTATGGTTTAACCCTTCAGGGCTCAAATCTCACTGGACAGCACGTGTCTTGCCTGCAGAAGTTTCTGTTTTGTTTTGCATAAACGTCAGAAATAGTCTTCTAAAACACAGGAAGTTTTTTTAAATGTTACAGTTTCGCTCCCAGTTTAAACTGTTAAACCTTTATCAGATATAATTCCTTCCCCAGGGAATAAAAGATTACAGCTATGTTGTCCGCATACACTTCTATTCCTTCATATAACAAAAATGCATCTCCAATAAAAGTACACAAAAGCTCACGACCTAACAAACACAAAACACGAAAGGCTTGAGGGGGAGGAATTATTTTCCATTTAAATACAACTATGTGCAGTTTGAATGCTCGTAATACATAGACGTGATCCATCAAATGCACATCAAAATGATAACTGAGTAAGTGTTTTGGCTTATTTATCCTCATTTTACCACCTGAAACACTGGCAGTCCATGTTCCTCATGGCACTCAACCTGGGGAGGGGAGTAAGGGATGTGATCCATGGTTCTTCGTAAAGAGCTCTACACAGAATTTTTCCATGTTGTTTTGCACTGAACCAAGGGACAACATCCTGGCCTGCTGGGGAATCACGGAATGTCACTGTACCGCTCTTTGCACTGAAATGATTTCTCTTGTGACCCCACTGTGCAGGATATCAGCCTGAGGGCTTCTCTCTACTTCAGTACTGGCTTTAGTTATCTGTAATTTAAATTCTGCTGTATTAGTCTAGCTCAGCAGCCCTGCAGCAACACAAGGGTTTGTGGATTAGCAGCACAAAATTGAACAGATTAGCATCTTCGCAGCACAAATAATCTGACTGCTACTGTCATTTGCAACCCACTCCCATCTTCCACTGGCAGATGTCTCAGGTAGAAACTCTCTCTTATCTTAAGCCAGAGGTTGCTATGTGTGGACAAGAACAGATCCAGTACCTGAGGAACCACGTAAATTGTGTAACACACATCCTTAAGACTCTGCTTGGACTTGGGTTAAGTAGCCACAATCTGACGACTGAAATCAAGTCAAGAGATGTTTGGCTGAACATGCCAAATAGTGCCTACAGCCCCAGAAGGTGACTACAGTGGTCTGTCACCTGATGACCTGATGCACAAACTGGTATTGTGGATAACTTCACCCAGGATTACTCAACATGATGGTTCCAGGACCCAACAAGGCGCCAGTGCTGATTTAAAAACACGTGCGCTACATACACGCAGAAAGCTGAGCTGCTCTGGGGAATGACACGAGTTTTGGACACTCTGGTTGCATTTTAATGATTACCCAATTAGAGGTGACTAATAACAACATCAACGTGAAATGGGACAGTCGCATTCCTGGCTGACTGTGGGGAAGGAGCTGTGCCAGAAGTTCCTGATGGTCTTTGAGGAGGCATTAACATCTGTGAACTCAGCAAGAACCTGAAACGGATCCAGCGGAGAGAGGGACACAAACGTGGGCCTAAATTTTCAAAAAAGCCCAGGTTCTGAACTGCCCACAATTTTTATGGAAAATTCCTCATGGAGATATCAATTTACAGACAGAGGGGAACTGAACAAGGCCAGCACAGCCAGTTGTGGCCAGCCCGACCCTGCAGCTCAGAAATGCGTTTCTCCCCCTCACGTTTAGCTCAGTGCACAGTTAGATCAGATCTGCACTACCTTAAGAGGATAAGGAAAAGCAGAGGAAGCGACATTTACACATCTGACAACCAGCTGTACGAGGAACACTTTCCCCAGAACAACAACTTGCTCTCAAGCCTTAAGAAAGGAAAGGAAAGAACTGTCCAGGGAATAAGTTCCCACTGGCAGGTCACAGACTTACCGTGGTGATGGCGTTGGGCTTGGCCCCGTGCTGGAGCAGGACATTGATGATGTGAGTGTGACCTTGCTGAGCAGCTTGGTGAAGAGGGGTGTACCCGTTCTGTTGACAAGCAAAACAAACAAACAAAGAGCAACAAGCAGCAGTAATTAGATTAGAAACTTCACTTTGCTTCCTTCTGCTCCTTTTGAGACGTTTCAAACATAAATTATGCCATCGATTGACCCAAAGATGACAAACCTTCAGTAACAATAGTTTTCCTTCCCCAGATTAATGAAAATATAAAGGATTATAATATTTTTATTCAGAAATCATCTTTACCTCACAAAGACATTTCTCCCTCATTTCCTAAATCAGAGGGAGGAACAGTGAGGAAGAGCAAAGTTAAAGTGGCAAGTTAAGGGTACAGAATCATAGCTGAGGCAGAGAACATTCAACTTGCTCTCACATCTTTGTTTTCAACAGAAGCCCCAAGATTTGCCTTTAAAATATCTGAGCCAATTAAAAAGGTGCATCAATTTCACCAGAAGTGGTTAGAGCCTATTTGCTTTTTAAAAGGTTAACAACATATACGTACTAAAAATGTCAATCAACTTTAGCTTCGCCTTCAAAAGGTTGGACCAAGCTGTAATGACACTTAAATAAACCCACGTAGACAGTGCCTGTATTAATAAACACTCTTAAGTCCATACATTTCTCTGCTCCAGTGGTTCATTCTAATGTCACACAAGACAGAAACACAGCCCAAGTGTGCTGCAGCTGGCTGATCTGAGACAGTATTGTGAAAGTCCAGTCAGGCAATTCATTTACAAAATTAGTTGCAATTGGCTTTGAAAGCAGGCAGAGAAGAAACTGGAAGGAAACACCAAGTTGATCTCACTGTACACTTACATAAAGCCTGGGGGCAGGCTCTGAAAGACAAGCTCTGAGAGGTACCTCTGTTGCAAACCAACAGATGCAAGTAATGCTTTGCACTGCCAATTAAACAGTGATAGTTCAGAACTGCTACAGTTCTTACTGTGAGTGCATGGACTGCTAGGAATCCGAAGGAGGATTTACTTTAGGTTCTAGTGCAAAGTAAATTCACTGTCTGTACTTCAGTATTAGGGCAGTCCTTCAAAACTGGAATTCAGCCCTACTATTTTTCACAAAGCTTCACGTAGGCTTTCCCTAGTTAAAGCCCAAGCTGTAACAGAGGTTACTTAGTCTTTAACATGTCTATCCTGAATGCAGCCAGGACGGATTTGCTCTTTAAACTGACTCCACAGTGCCAGCTGACAGACTGCCAGTATTTTTATCGGTCCCCAGGTGTGAGATTTTGGAGAAGCGCTGCCTCACACAAACTTGCTGACTTTAATGAAATTATTATAAATAAGTGAAATACCTGGGTAAACGGAATCAGAATCTGCCCCAGTGGCCCCTTAAAAATAGAGAGAGACCTAATACTAAAGATGCAAGTTTGTCTGTCCCTTGAGCTAGCCTCTAAATACCTCGGCTGAATGTCTTGGCAGCTATACTTTGGATCCTTCTAGTGTCTGTTTTATTAATTCTCATCAGCTGTTTTTCTAGCGGTGTTGCCTTTCCTTTTGAAATACCTGGGTTTTGCCCACTGATTTTGGGTGATCCCATGAGGGATGCCCCAGAATCTTTATTATTTGGCTTATTCTTACCACACTGAGCTGTGGCCACGGTGATGAAGTAAGTGCTACTTGGAGAAATAAGTCCATCCCATAGGTCACAGCTGGGGACACAGGAGCTGGGCAGAGGGACCAGCAGAATACAAGCCAGTGATTTTGGTGGGATCTTAAAAATATTATCAGTGGGGCTGCTTCCTGTCAATCCCAAGACATCCAGCCTGAAGCTGGTAGCCAGCTCTAACAAAGCTGCAGCCCCACAGCTCCTGAGTTAGCCTTCTTTTTCTGATAAGGGTGATGGGATGATATCTGGGATGCCACACACGGTTGGCATCACCAGAACCTCTCTGTATATTCTCAGGAGATGCACAATTCTTGCTACAAAATGCATCCCATTCAGGTGTGCCCACCTGTTTATCCAAGGAGAAAGGGCTGAAGGCAGTGAGCTTTGTTCAAACTTTGCAGTCAGGCCCATTTCAGCATAACTGGTCAGTACCAGCATATCCAGATTCCCCTCAAAAATCCCCAAACCCTCCTTCAGGAAACCACATTTCCTCACCACAGCTGCTTCCTCTCCCAGAGTCATACCACCCACGCCTTGAACAGCAGGAATTTTTCCCACTCTTCCCCCAGCAGACTGGAGAGAACCTGGCATCACCCTCCAAGTGCCTGAATTGTTACTTACTGGTTTGACAGCACACTGGTGTAAAGCATGTGTAAATGAGATCAGAAACAAACTTGCATTTGTTAGCTTGCAAGTAACAGGAAAAAGAAAAAAAAAAACAATAAAATGGATTCTCCCAAGTCATTTTTTCATACACCCATAGAGTTATCTGACTTTTCTTTCTTGAACACCACACAGTGAGATGGAGCAGGGGGAAGTCATCCTACTACAGTCACAGATATGTTGACACCTCCCATGCCATGGTTATAGCTTCCAAGTGAAAAGGCACCCGTGGCATGTCCTCAGAGTGCTGGGTTACCACCTTCATAATAAGGAGCAAAACCAAAGTAATGAGAAACTCTTTACCTTTGTTTTAGCATTGACATTTGCTCCGTGCTTGAGGAGAAAATTCACCATTTTGATGTTTCCATAGTGACAGGCCACAATTAAAGGTGTGTAACCAAGCTACAAGAAGAGAACAAAGAAGTAAAACTGCAAGCTCAGTGGAACATTCCTTGGACAAGGGTAGCATCCTTTGTGCTGGAGACAGCAGCCACTCCCTGATTTACCTTTGTCTGAGCATCCTGGTTTGCACCATGTTTGGTGAGTATTTCAGCTACATTCACTTTATCCTCTTGAGCTGCAAGGTGTAAGGATGTCAGTCCAGCCTAGAGGTGGGATATACAAAATGAATAAATAAATAGACAGAAATAAAAAAACCCCCTACTTTACATGAGGAACAAAATCCAGACTTTGCCATTTTCTCATCTTTAAAACACGAACAGGTCTGAACTACAGCTTCTGAGTATGGGTGGTGTTTTTAAACAAAGTGGAGCTGATGTTGCTCCTGTTCCAGCTCCAAAGCAGTTACATCTCCATAACCATAGAGGAAAACTTTCAGGCATCAATGCTCACGCTCGGGTTTTCTACAATAATGTCATTTGGGAAGCTGAGGAGCCCATTAATAAATTAGGGAAGCGCATTCACTGTGCTTCCCACTCCTCAGACAGGAAAGGGAACCTTGACAACTGCAGGCACGAGTCAGAATGAAGACCTTAATTCCAGAAATAGATCCCATTCAAAGATGCCAAGGGAAAGGATGCAGCCTCTAACTGAAAGCTCACTGTGATCACGCACACAGCACTTTCACATGAACAAGTCACCAAACAAATTTTGTGTAAGAAATGAAAATCACCTTGTTCCTCTTAGCAGAACACATTAATTCCAGACAAGGAGAGCCTTCTATTCTGATCTGTATGAGCAAAAGCTGCAGGCTTTTCATCTTAAGTAAGTAAGATTTACATATATCCCTGGATAAATCCAGTGACCTATGAAGATCTACAATAATGGGGTTTTTTTGAGGAACTTGTTTTCTATGAAAAAGCTGTAAGGTACAATTATAAAAAAAAAATAAAACTGAAAGGTCCCACTTAGGATTTTTCTCAGTCTCAATTCCAGTAATAATGTTGTCCTGTTATTTGCCAGACACTGTCAATTTCTTCCCTGGGAAAAAAAACTGAAGGATAAACACATGAGGAAAAAAGACTTTGCTGGTCAGACCACAGCTCTCAGGTTTTGATGCATGTTGATAAATCTGCCCATGGACCCACAAAGTCCAGAATTTCACATTCCTCTTCCTCTCCATCTCATGTAGAACTACATGCAAAACACTTGAGAGATGGCAAGGATGCAGCACAACAAAAATACTGCAGCCCTGCCTTACTGAATGCTCAGAAACAATATTCTCTTGGTCTGCCTTTCCATCTGAGCCAGGTGTTACACAGGTTTCCTCTGGGCACAGCAAACAGCCACAGCTCCTCCTGTGCATTACCCACCAGAGCTATTAATTACATGACACAAGTTAACTGGTCAGTTATTTTCCAGTCCTAGACACCCTCTCCTCATTTTTACTGTTCACCCACCTGTTGTCACTCCTGCAGACTCACCAACAGAGAGGATTCCTGGCAGTGTATCATCATTCCTGCACTGCACTTAGCATCTTACCGGATATTCCCACCCACGGTACTTTGCCTCTGGCTGTGAGTTACCTTAGTTGCCACATGGATGTTGGATCCTTTCTCCAAAAGCAAGGTCGCCATGTCAGCGTGACCTTCTTGGGAGGCCAAATGAAGCGGGGTGACTCCCTGCTTGGTCAAAATGTTGGTCTCAGCCCCGTAGTTCAACAGAGTGGTGGCTATCTGCATCTGATTTTTCTTGGCAGCAATATGCAGAGGGGTGTATCCGTTCTAACACCAGCCAGGAGACAAAAGGAGAATAAAGTTAACACAACAGCCACGCAAGCCTAAGAAGTCAGGCACCATAAAGCAGGATTATTTGATGTTACCCTCATTATTAGAGAAGAGAGTTCATTAAATTTTCAAGGCCAGACATGTCCCACATAGCCCCACTGTTGTGCTGCTTTGTCCATCTGTTATTTTCGCTGCCTAAACTAGAACAAAGCCAGCCCTCGCCAGGGTGGGCAGGACCGTTCCACGGATACCTTCAAAATTATCCTGAGTTTGACACCTACATTTTGTGTAACCTATGTTGCAAATAATCACTTCTGACTGATGAGTGACATCCCCCATGATGACTGATGGATGCACACTCTCCATCGCATTATGCTTTTTCAGAGCACGTGGGTAGAGATGTGTTTGCATATGGAATTTTGATGTGTGTGTCAGTCACTGGCTGGAAACAGCAAAGGGAAAGAATGTTTCTGCAATCAAATTAACCATTTAAGCACAGCAGAACGGCATTTGCTGGCAATAAGACAACCTCCTAATTGATTTATTACACACCATGGGGGCAATTTGACTAAAGCTGTGCTGGGGCAGAGTCCTCTGAGGGCTCCCCTCAGGGTCCCCTCACCTACACAGTGATACCAGGACACCCCACTCCTAACCCTGTGAAATGAATGCCCTGTGTCAGAACACACATTTCTAATATTGCACAACAGTGAAGTGACTTCCAGCTGTGAATAAAGCTGTGGTGGGGCTGAGTCCCCTCAGGGTCCCCTCGCCTACACAGCAATACCATGATACGGACACTGCTCCAAATCCTGGAATGGATTCCCAGTGTATGTGGTCAGAATACACATTGTTAATATTGCACAAGCAGTGAAGTGACTTCCAGCTGGGAATAAAGTTGTGGCGGGGCTGGGTCCCCTCGGTGTCCCCTCAGGGCTCCCCTCACCTAACACGATGATACTATGGCACCTCTCCTAAGCCTGGAGTGAGTTCTCTGGGTTTGTGGTCAGAATATACCATCATCATCATCATCATCATAATCAGCTTTGGCCATACTGATCATCATCATTGGTCTACCCTGGCCTCCAGCTGGGAGACACAGAGACACGCTACTCATAACGCTGCTGCTTCTTTTGAGAACACACGCAAGACCACTCTTGAGGAGCAAAGACAACCCAGAAAGAGCCGTGCCTTGCCAATACCGCCTGAGGAGACATTCCTCTGCGCCTTTCGCGACCGGACTTGTCTATCTCACACTGGCCTTTTCAGCCAGCAAGCGCGGGTAGAGTCCTTCTCAAATCGCCGTTCCCGAAGCCTAGCCATGACGACGATGATGATGATGAAGTGACTCCTGGCTGTGCCCAAAGCCTTGGCAGGGCTGTGTCCCCGCAGGGCTCCCCTCACGGGTGCGGGTGTGGCCGTGCTCACCTTGGCGGTGGCGTGAGGCGACGCGCCCTTCTCCAGCAGCAGCAGCGCCACCTTCTGGTTGTCGTAGTGCGCGGCCACGTGCAGCGGCGTGAGCCCGTTCTGCAACGGCGGTTACGGCGTTAGCGGCGGGGCCGCCAGGGGGCGTTACGGGGGGCGTTAGGCGCTGAGGGGACGCGGCGGCGGGGAGAGAGGGATCGGGATCGGGATCGGGACGGGGGGGAAAAGGGGGAATCGGGATGGAGGGCAAGGCAGCCCGGCGCGTTAGCAGGGAGAAGCCGTGGAGCGGGCGAACCAGGGCGGCAGGCTCAGGGTTCCGTCGCCCCCGCCCCGTGAGGGAAATTTGCACACAGCAATCACCCCCCACCCCGTGAGGGAAATTGGCACCAGGGCGGCAGGCACAGGTTTCTGTCACCCCCGCCCCGTGAGGGCAATTTTGCCCCTGTGTTTTATCTGCTTTGGGCAGCTTGATGGAACCGGCACTAGATGAGCCACAGAAACAGCGTGCCCCCGTGGAGCCGAACCTACCACCCTGGGGGAACGCGAGCCCGCCGCGCCAAAGCAGCCCCAGCCTCCGCGGTGTGCCTGCCCGCACACCTAAGGAGGAATAACCCAGCTCTCTTTCCCACCAGTACCTTGCCAGCGGAATCGGGACAGGCACGACGCTGCAGCAGGAGCTTCGCCACTTCCAGGCTCCCGTATTTGGCTGCCACGTGCAACGGTGTGAATCCCTTCTGAAAAATTCCGGGAGATAAAAGGCAGATGGTTTGCGTCAAAGGTCACGCTGACATCTCACTTTTAAGAACTATGTACTAAGCACTTATTCTTCAACCTATATTCCTGCTCTCAGAATCGACAGCCATACCTAGAAAGAGCAGCATATCTCAAAAGAAACACAAGAAAATACTTCTCCTTTTGTTATTCTTTCATACCTACGTGCTGTCAGGCTGGCAGACATTTCATCTGATACACACACTGCGTGGGGGCAATGCAGGCACTACTTCAAATGTACACCCCAAACCAGCTGCACCTCTTCTGTTTCATGATGACAAGCTTTAGAAATATTTCCTGTATCAGTTGTTGCCAGTAACAATGAAACACCGACTAAATTCGGGGAGAAAAGCTCCAAACTTCACATTCCTCTATTAGGGTTCGTTGAAAAATTATTTGTATTTGGACTCAAGTGTCTATACAGTCACTAAGTTCTCCAGCTAAAAAAAAACCCTGCTCTTTGCCTCTTTTAATTTAAAAACTGACAGGGAAAATTCATGGATGAATGACAGTAGGTGGCAGCCTGCACTGCTGCCCGACAGGAATTTTGGGAAGCTACGACGACCTATTTGCCTGGCACATAAGTGATGTTTAATGTTTATTATCATTGTCATTTAGTTCCATTAATCCCACCTCAAAAAGAGTTTATATTGGGAAATCTCAAACGTTTTAACAGTTCATGTATCACAGGTCTGTAGAGATATTACCTAGTGGGTTGCATCTTCTATTCATAATTATAGAATGTTCCTGCAATACTAATTGCCATTAAGCAATATGGGAAATTAGGAAAGTATTTAGTGTATTTTTAGCCATTCTAATGTGATCTAACAGCTGGATAAAAGGAGAACAGCAAGCATTCCCAGTAATCTGTGGACCATAATATGAAAATTGCTGGTTTAGTCTTCTAAACCCTGTTGTTCAAAAACATGTTTTAAGTTCCAGCTGCAAAACCAAGGGTACGTCAATAAATAGTGAGAATTACGTGATTCTCACTTATCACATGCTTTAAATTTGGGAAAGCTATCTTGGTATACAATTCTTTTCACAGCTATCTGTTCTCTTATGTGTTCATCGATCTGTTAGGAAGGTATTGGTAAACATTTTTGGCTAAAAAACCCAACAACGATTCTGCAGAGTCTTTTATAACCCCAGACAAAATGGCCAGTTGTGTCACAAGACATCTCATTTATAGAACCACCAAAAATAGATTCAGCATTGAATGCAACTAGACAGATGCTGACCTGGATGTTTTGGGAAAACTAAAGAAACAGAGCAGAATTATTTTACTAGTTAAGTAAACATGGTACTGAAGAATAAGGAGGCCTGTTCATAAAAAATGTGTCACTGCCGTTCACTTTTCCTTTTTGAAACTTTTGTCCAAAAAATCCCTACCCAGAGGACAACAGGAAAGAGAAAAACAAGGATATTTTCAAACCCGTTTGGACCGCGCGCTTACCAAGATCTGCATTTTGCTTCAGTGGGAACCAAACCCAATTTTAGAGGGCAGCAAAATAAGCTGTAAATTTGATTAGCATGATACATTACTCCAGCCTGTTGGATGGCTGTTGATTAAGAACAAAGCAAACCACTCAAACTAGCCCGATTTCTCAGTGTGAAAAAGACACAGAGGTGGAATGTTTTGCCTTACTTTGGTGGACATGGAGTGGGAGGCGCCTGCCTCGAGGAGCACGGAGGCGACGTCGACCTGGCCCTCCCTGGCGGAGATGTGCAGGGGCGTGTACCCGTTGGTGGTGGCGGCGTCGGGGTGGGCCATGTGCTGCAGCAGCAGCTGCACGATCTCCGTCTTACCCAGGCGAGAGGCGATGTGCAGCGGGGTCTGTTCTTCCTACAACTCAAATCAAGCGGATAATCAGCACAGGTAGAACCGCCCCGGACGCCACGTCCTGGCGCTGATGCCCGCACGCTCATCTGTGCGTTTGTCTTGTGGAGTCATAGGAAGGGATAATGCAAAACATGACAGTAACAGAGGAGAGGGTGGCGACGAGTGACTGCCTGAACTCCTCTGCTTCTGCCAGAGGAACCCCAGTAAGCAGAACACCTACCCTGGCTCGGGCATCAACCAGGGCCCCGTTCCTCAGGAGGCAGCGAACTACTTCCACCTGCCCGGCACGTGCCGCCATGTGCAGCGCAGTCTCTCCACGCTGCAGAAAAAGCAAAAGCATTTCAGTGTCCTAATCCCCCATGAAGAAACAGAGCTCTGACAGCGTAACTCCCACCCATGACAACTCGTGCAGAGACCCGCCTTCCTGCCAGCTGAGACTCTGGCTTCAGCCCCAGCAAGGGTAGCTCAGGATGGGGTGTGAATACATGTTGCTGGGCCTGGGTATGCTTTGGATTGCAAGCTGGGAGATCCCAGATAAGTATCATCTCGACTACAGAGGGTCAAAACAAACCTCCTGGCTCAGTGAAAATTCTGCCACATAAGTTTCCCCTGGTCACATATGTTCCTCAGCTTTCTGTGTAGCAGCGCATCAGCTCACGTGCCTCACAGGAGATAAGAGCACACCGAGCCTTTCCCTCTCAGGGGATTGCAAGGCACATGAGCCTCACGATGGAAGGGGCTGTTTTTCCAGATGGTCCCTTCCTGCTCGCTGTGTGTGGAGCTGGCAGCATTAAAAGGCCTTGCAATGGCTGAACACAACCGAGCCAGTACATGAAATGTGTAAAATCTGTGCTCAGCAGCAAGGCTCTGTCTCCCAGCTAGGGAATCAGTCTTGCCTCAAGCCTTTTGTAGCCCACAGAATTTGCAGGAGAATATGAAATTTTGGAAAGCTGACCGGCGTGATATGGAATTTCAGGTCAGGAACATTCAAAGCATTCTTTGTCACAGGTTTGCAAAGAAACACCGAAAATGAGTATTCCTTGGCAATGGCACTTCTAGCTTAATTTTGCACTGCTCTTTGAGTGCAGTGTCCTAAACTGGACCGAAACGGTCCTTGTGCAGCTCGTCAGCATCTGGTACATCAGGTACTGGGACAGTTCCACAACCAGGAGCTCTGTATTTATCTGTCATGTCGTGAGAACACAGCAGGGCTGATCCTTCCTTTGTGTTAATTGTTCATTTTTCTTACACTCGAGCTGGAGAATGTCCTGTTGTAAGGCCTTTAGCCCCTCGACTATCAATTAAACTGCAACTGCCAAAACGAACACTCTGGTCAAGATCTTTTACATCAGAATGGGAATCATGTCTTCTTGTCCTTGGTCTAGATGTAGGGAAAGAAGCAGCCTGAGCTTGCCTGCTCTCATGAACTTCTAATTACAGCAAACCCTCTTCACCAGGAGTTGATTTGTCATTAACACTGTATTTAATATAAATTAACATAGCTGTGATTAGTAAGTAGGCAGCAAACAAAATCCCACAGCCTTGGCTATAAATCTTAATAATTTCATCTGCATAAACTTTACTACCTGAAGAACGAGCTGTTTAAAATGTGAATAAGGTTTACATTTCACACACTCTAAAGATCAAATTTCTACAAGGACCCTTTTGAGCTTGAATTAGCAAAGCAATTTAGTCTTTGGAAATAGTAATTCAACAGGGATCCCCAGCTTACTAAGTGAAAGCCAAGACACCTGCACAGCAGAAATTGTAAAGTGTTAAACTTTGCACACAAATGACCAGTAACACAATACTTTTAATTGCTTCCACAAGCATTTCTTGTTGGCTTTCATACCATCAATAAAGTTATTATATAAAAGACTGCTTCTATAAAAAAGTATGAGAAGTCTGTTCTAATGAGTCACATAAACAACTCTGTGTGCTCAACACTTTTACTGCGTCCCATATCAGGTTCTTCTGAGAAAAACTAATGAGTCCAGCTTTTGTTGTTGGGAATATTTACCTATAAAACCTTATTTACTGGTAAAAGGTTGCTCTCAAAGTACTAATGGTCCTGAGTTGAATATTTGTTTAAACTGACAAATTCAAACAGTAAAATACCTACGAAATACAGCTCAGAAAACTATAACGTTCTTTTTATTGTTATTCTGCTTGGTAACAAAGCTGTTGGTATACAAATACTTATTTCTATGGTAAGTCAGGTTCTGCGTTTTGTGTTACCTCCCAAAGGTCACATTTTCTAGATTTAATCACCACTTCATGGACTTTCCTGTCCAAGAGGAACATCTTGATTTTCACAGTTCTCCTTTTTCTTCATTTGTTGGGTTTTAAGCATTTTTGTGCCCTTTCAGTGACAGAAATGACACAATTTCATGGCAGCCAGCGAAGCTACTCAGGCAGAAACTACAGCCATTTGGAGTCAATTTTCACCCTTCAGAATGGAAACACAGGCTTTGTGGGATTTAGCCTATAATCCATTTTGGATGTATTTGGTAAGCTTTGTCCGTTTCTAAGGAAAACTTTACCTACTCAAGCACTGCTGGAGAACACATGAAACCACAGATGGCTCATAATACCACATACAGTCACCATTTCCCCCTCTGCACCAAGAGATTAATTTCTCCTAAAATGCAACGAAGTCCTAAAATATCATTAAAATGTGACCTTTGGTTGAGCTCCATGATAGGCCAGAGACTGGAGGAACTACATGGATGATTCTAGTCAAAGCCATACTCACAATGTTAGTGACATCGGGAGAGGCTCCGTTCTGCAGCAGAAGGAGGACTATGTTCAAGTGGCCCATAAATGCAGCCACGTGTATTGGTGTGAGGCCCGACTGCGAAACAAAGCAAGAGCAGTTTTACTCCCCTGCACGGGCGTAGGGAAGGGGCTTCTTTCTTTAAATAAAATACAAGTGAGGCGTGACAGGAGAGACAGAGAGGCGAAAAAAAAAAAACAAAACAAAAAAGAAACAAAAAGGGCGAGAGAGATGGAATGTTTCTTCAGGACACGAAACATTTTTTCTACCTCTGTTATAGCCTGGATTGAAGCCCCATATTTCACCAGGAGTTCCATGACTTTGATGCGATTTTTCTTGCAGGCAATGTGCAGTGGAGTAAAACCATTCTGTGCGAAAGACAGTCATGTTAGTCGGAAACATGCAGCTACACTTCCCACACAGCTCCGCGCCGGCACGCCGGGAGCAGAAGGGTTAGAGTACCAGAAGCGACTGCTCTCTAAGCACGACAGGTTACAGATGAATTACAGACATCTCCCAGCGTCTGAGGCAGAACAAAGCAGTGCTGCTGTGCTCTTCTCAGGGCAGTGGAGACAAACTGAGCTTCCACCTCCAAAACCAGATACAGATACAGCCCATCCTGACTTCCAAGTGTATGTGTGCAGATGTCTGCATATGGTTCCCCAGGGAGAACATATATGTCCATTAAGGAGGCCTTACAGTGCTTCCCAAGAGTGCCTACCAAAAGGGAAATATTAACAAATTATAGTGATTACTTTGGAATCAGTGCCTTTATGAAGCATTTTCTATACCTCTCTAGGAGAATCGCAGAATCCCCAAATGGTTTGGGTTGGAAGGGACTTTAAAGTTCACCCTGTTCCAACCACTGGCAGGGACACCTCCCACTAGCCCAGGTTGCTCCAAGCCCCATCCATCCTGGCCTTAGACACTTCTAGGGATGGGGCAGCCCCAGCTTCTCTGGGCAACCTGTGCCAGAGCCTCGCCATCCTCACAGGGAAGAATTTTTTTTTCCTAACATCTAATCTAAACCTACTCTCTTTCACTTTAAAGCCATTTAAACTGAGAGACAACAGAGCACTTCTTCCACATTCCACCTTACTTGGTCAATTTACATGTAATCGAAGCATCTGCGTGTATTAACTTTTATATTCATGCATCAATCTAAGGCATAATATTCACGTCTGAGAGGGAGTGTGTGCATTGTGTGAGGTGTCTTAAATAAAGAGCCACCCCTTCAGCCACGGTATGGTGATGAACTCTCACAGTTGATGCAGGTTTAAGTGTGTGCCTAAAGCTAAGCAAACACGTTGACTCACCATACGTGAACGTTTTAGTGAAAAGCACAGGTAACATTTTTCTAGATAATGTTGAAAAATTGCTGTATTTTCTAATTAAGAGCATCAGCATTGCTAAACAATCAACCAGCAGTAACCAGGCCCTAGCAGGGAAATTTTAGCTCATGGGAAGAGGCACGTGACAGATTATTCTACAGGCAGCTTCTGTTAAGGGAAATGTTAATTACTAGTTGATTTGAAGGTGCTAAGAACACACATAGTGCTTGTATCCCCAAAGCATTTTGCAAACATTAACAATTATTTCTTTTAAGTCTAGCTGAAAATTAATTATTTGTAGTATTTATTCCATCGCAGGACTCTGCTGAATATTATTACTGCTTCTCCAATTTCTAAGGAAGGAATCAAAACCATCTGATATTTAACCTCCCACACAACATCTCTCTATATATTTCACAGGGAGTTTTACTGTTTCAGAACTTTCTATATTTGCACTGAATTTTACTGACTGAGTTGATTTAATTTTGCTGCTTCTATTTAAGTCAGGAACAGTTTGATGGGGGAGAAGAGAAAAAAAATGTATCAGTAACAGAAATTATGAGCTTCATTTAATGTATTAAACGCTATAAACAAGCCAGAGGCAACAAGTCCCTGATGGGAGAGGAAACAAGAGAGAGGGGGGAAAAAACAGTTTGGTGTGAAGAGAGCAGAGAGGCAGGAGCCCGAGGGTGTTCTCCTTTCATATCAGATGTTTCCCAGGGAGGGAGGGAGGGAGGGAGGGGGAGGGAAGGTATATTTCTAGTCATGGAAGGAAAAAGATTTGGGGGGTAGCATATAAAGTGTATGTGTGGGTAGCTGAGGAAAGTACAGCTAGAGATAACCAGGAGACTAGCAAGAAAAACAAAAAAAAAAAGGAAAACAGCATCAAAAAAAGATCAGCCAAGTGAACATGACACTGAGAAAGACAAAACAAGCAAAGCACAAGGGGAAGCAAGAGGGGTTACAGGATTTGTGGGTATGGAAAGACCAAGAAAAATGAGAGGGCAAAAGAAAATGGTGTCAATAAAGTCAGTTCCAAGAAAGTAAAGGATAGGGAGAGAGTCTACACGGGAAAACACTGGGTCCTACTGGGGCAAGAAGCTGGGGAAGGTATCCAGGCAGCCTGAGGGGGAAGTTCTGTGGAGGCCCTGATTAGGGCAGGCAATGGCAGACTTCTGGCCATGCTGAACCACCTCGAGTGTTCACAGACTCTTTATTTCCACCACAGAGTATAATATATTGCTACTTTAACTCCCATCCAGCTATCAGTTCCTATTAGAGAAAACTGGAACCTTGTCTGGCTTTGGATAGATTAAAGACTCTTGAAATGTTCCAGGAGCCAAATGGGATGTTTTTATCTCCATTATGGGTGATGGTTTGAACAGTGAGTGAGAGCAATCATACCTGGGTTCCTGTAAGCATCAGAACTGGTTTTGAAAAAAAAGAAAAAGGGCACCTAATAGAGGGGAATGTCATAATTTGATAAATGCAGAAATATTACCTTTTCAACACATTTTTCTCTATGCCAATGAACTTACTGCTTCGGTTGAAAGCTTAGAAATTAGCTGTGTATCGTAACACACAGTATGGACAACTGAAGAATTAAATCAGTAAAACACCAACGCATACATCAACATCAGCCAGAACTGGCTCTGACTTTAGGAACTCTGCAGAGCTTCCAGACCTGCCACTACAGCCACTTGCCATGGGATGTGCTCCATGACACACCAGCAGGTGTGACACCCCTGTTGCTACTGCACCTATTTAAGGCTGTGGAGTTTGTTGACAGCCTTTTCACTTGGCCTTGCTGGTAAGAAGAGCTACTCCCCTGCCCTGCCCAGCTTTGTTCCACGGCACAGGAGGGACATGTTTACCAGGGCACGGGCGTTGGGGTTGGCTCTCTTGTCCAGGAGGAGTTTGGTGACACGGTAGTGGCCGCAGTGCGCGGCCACGTGGAGGGCGGTCAGGTAATCCAGCGTCACGTCGTCCACGGGGGCCTTGTGCTGCAGCAGGTGTTTGACACACTCCACGTGGTCCCCCTGGGCTGCCATGTGCAGGGGAGACAGTCCATTCTGCGGCAAAGGAAAACAGCAAACTTCTAAGTAACTCTCACTTAGATCACGGCACACATTAGAAAAGTTATTTGTTGTCGTGAGGAGCTGCTCAGCGGGGTTTGCTGTTATACAGGTGTCTTCCTCTCATTAGTTTGATCAAAGGGACAGAATTTGTAGGAAGTGCATTAATCTGTGTTTTCCAGAAATGAGTAAGAACACACTGAAATGATTTTCCAAGTCTGAAACAAAAACAATTGGGAGAAGCTGCAAGTGACAGGTTCTCGTTATCTCATATAAAGGATCGGAAAACACGTAGCAGGAATCACCTCTTAGGAGTGACCAATCCAGCTCTCCCACCTGTGTGTCCTAAGGCTCAGGAAGCAGTACAATTGAAGTGCTGGCAGTAGCACTCCATATCATGTGTTAAGTCTGGTATTACAGTGCAGGGCAAAGAAGTGCACACTTCTCATCTATTTCGAAAGGATAGTCCCTAATTATGTAAAAAACCTTATTTTGGATCATTCTATCCATTAACGCATTTCCTTTGGGAGGGCAGAAATGTTCCTGTCTCCTTCCTTGTCCCTTCAGTGACACTGAAAATCCTGTGGGAAGTTACACAGAGGTGCTCACATATTCCAAAAGGACACGCAGAGGTGTTCACCGGGTCTGACAGGACACACACACACACCTTGGTCCGTGCGAGCAGAGGGGCACCTCGCTCCAGGAGCAGCTCCACAACCTGGTCATGTCCGCTCCTTGCAGCACAGTGCAGCGGGGTGAGTCCATCCTTAAAGCAAAAGGAGGGAAAAACAATGAGCAAATTCTAAACTGCCCGTCCTGCCACCCTGGGCAAGACCCTGGCAGGAATGCAGCCCCGTACACGTGTGGAAAAGCTCCTTTTTCAAGTCCTAACTGAAGCTGGTTCCATAACATGAAGTTCCATCTCTGTTCTTCCTTAGAGGACACTCTAAGGTTACTGTTGGAGAGAAGCCTTAGAGTGTTGAAAGCCTTGTGTGCTGAAATCTTTTATCAAAGAGGATAACTTGAGCTCGCCCTGCCTCCTCCCCTCCCTCTCCTCTGCATTGCCTCCCTGGATAATGCCTGCTGGGCCAAGGATGCTCCATTAATCAACCCCTTGTCCTCTGGATTGCCTTTGATGGAGGGATGAAACGGGAAATGTTCACGCTAGAAAATCTGCTCTAGAATTTTCTTCTGTTTTTAAACAGGCAGCAGGAGAAAGAAGATTTGAAAACAGAGAAAAAAAAAGAAACAAACAAAACTAAAATTTTCATTTCTGAGACTGAGCTGACAATTCTTGCCTAAAATTACTGTGAGACCACCAACTCCACAATACTTTTTTCCATTGCAGAAAACCACCCTGCATCAAAAGACTTGCTCAGGCTAATGATGACAGCAGCAGTAGTCAAAGATGTGTTGATGAAATACTTAAATGGAAGAATGGATTCTGGGTACTTTTGCCGCAGTTTGGACTTCATGCAAAAAACCAGAGTAAATATGAGGTAAGAAAAAATTTTTCTCCCTTACTTATCTCCTTTTTCCAGAGGCTTTTCAGAGATATGTGACAGGGGTGAGGTGTGTCTCAGTGCTCACAATCTCACAGGCATGCCTAAATCCCATGGAAGCTTCACAGTGAATTCCAAGAGATGCAACATCAAACCCAAAACCAGAATTCACAGCTTTCAGCACTTGGCAGGTGGGGTTGGGGTAAAGAATTGGGTGTAACTGGCTTAATTGGTATTTTATTCACTGAAACTTCAGAGTCCCCTAAACCAAGTCTTTATATGCACAACTGAGGTATATTATCATCTCACTGCCAGAGGGATCGTACAGGTAATTCCCATTGGCATTACTAAGGTGAGAAAATATCCCAAAAGCACTTCTAGAGAAGTTATTTCTTTCCAGTTTCTGGCCTCTTGTGCTCTGCATTTTTAATCAACGTGGGAGGCTCACTTTCCTTATCTGCATGGAGGCTTTGATGTTATTCTGTTTAATAAAACAGCAAAAGAAAAGCAGAATTGTGTGAATCCTTGAAAAAAGCAGGACAAATCCCCAGAGGGAGAAAAAGAAGAAAAATACAAGCTAAAAAACACATCCACTCTGCAAGAAAGTCTAAATAAACCAAAAAGAACTAAATCATTAAAAAACATGATTTCTCCTCTGTTCTTATCCACAATTCCCTTTAAAAGCAGAGACAAAAACTTGTTACCTATCCTATACTATCCTGGCACAGCTTCTTTGCAGACTTCCCACAGAACCCTCTTCCCTGCCCTGGGGAAAACAGTGCGTGTATTTTAAGATTATTGTATATTTAAGACTTTAAATTCTACTTTTGCTTCTGTGCTTTCTTCAAGGGTGAGGGAAATTGCAAGGAGAGAGCTGTTGCAGCAGAAGAATTAGTGCAGGATACACCAAGGACAAGCTGACATGAGCCAACATCACGAGACACACCAGTGGACCAAATCAATCCTGCCTGTGCCATTATCTGTTTGCAATGAGCTTCAGTGCTCTGAAGGGGATGGCAGGATTCTGCATAAGCACTTTTTAAATCGTTGCTTTGCTAATTCAAGAGCACCCAGTGACCATAACATCCAGCACATCATTTGACAGGACACGCAACGCCGAGTCAAAGGGACAGAGACTCCGAAGCACAGACAATGGATATCCCATAAACACAAAGGTTGTCATGCCCAGAGACAAGAAATTCAGCAACTGTGTGTTTTGAGAAGTCCAGTATTTATCTTTTCATCTCCCCAGTGAGATTCTGCACCTGGCCTTCTGCTGGTCCCAGGTACTTTCCTCTCTCCCACTCTGCAATGTCGCCAATAGAAATGGCACTACAGTCCCCTGTGTATGGAAGCCATGGAAGTCCATCAATCCTAATTTCTTCTCAAATGACTCTCAAAATACCAAGTAAACTTTTGGGGTATTCTTCCCCCCCTTGAAAATCAATCACTGGCCATCTTTTAACCTGCAAAATTAATTCTGAATTCCGAGCATGATGCCTAACTGCAGGGCCTGGGAAGATAAATTATTGGGTTATTCCACAAATGCTTTCCCTTCAGCTTACCAGGGAGAATGTGACAAAAAGAAGCTGTGCTTCTGAGGGCTTTTTAATGGGAAACGATGTGGGCAGCATCCTCACAGGACAGTTGCTCCCATTCAGTGCTCATTCGACCACAGACTGCTAATAGACATGAATGTCAAAGGCCAAATTATCAAAGAATTCTTCCAAACTGCAGCTGCACGATCCTATTTTTATAAGGGTGAAGTAAAATTTTAGTATTCCATGTGTCAAACATGCAAAATTGTCTAAATTTTCTCGACAAATAAAGGGCTTTTAATTTGCTCATTTTTCATTACGACTAAACCTCATCTCTTTAAAAATGAACGAGGCGAGTCTCCCTCCTGCTCTAAGCTCTTGGCATAATTAAACATGCTGCAAAGTATTCCTCCAGGTCTGCCATTCAAAGTACAAATCTTAAAAATACAGCAAAAACATACCATGCACTTGCCTGAGTAATAAGAATTCTAAATAAAAGTCATTATCTACATAACTTGCTTAGACAACCCGGACAACACCCCTTCCTACACACTCGTAAACATTATATGAAGCCACTGAATTTTTTATAGCAAATATCTGCATTGTGATGAGATATTTATAATCTGGCATTGCTTTAGGAACGGCAAAAACTGAATTATTAGTGCTCTGTGCGCGTGTGAAGACGAGGAGAAAATGTCACAGCAGCTTTACTGCAGCAAAAAAAAAAATCGCTGTAAACAGAGCACGGTGCCAAGACAGGGCCAGCATCCTGCTCCAACTGTTACCACTCCCATGTGGAAATAACAGAGCTGTGCCTATTTTTTCACGATGCAGATCTACAAAAGGCGATATTACTACAAATAAATCTCAACAGGTTCCCAGGGTGAGCATTAAGGGGTGTCTGGAGCACATCCCCCACAAAAAACAACCCCAATCCAAACCAAACACATCTGAGTTCTGCCGCCCACGGTTTCCTTCCCTCTCTTTTCCCACTGGTATTGCACATCTCCATGACTGACCTGCCACTTCTTTCAGCTCCAGCTGAGCCTCCTTTCTTTCCCGTGGCCCTTCTCCAACCCAAATGGTGCACCAGACCTTCTCCCACCATCACCACGACTACTCCCACTCCAGCTCCAGCTGCCACGCTCCGGGCACACAACACCGTTACTTCCCCACACAATAAGCTTCCCCCCTTCCAAGACCATTTCATTCCAGGGTTTTTCCCCAACTGTAAATATTCTGGGTGAAAGCTTGCAAGAGGAGAGTCTAGAAGTCCCCAGAGCAAGAAAAATCTAATTTCCATGTTGGCAAGATTGAACAGCAAGAACACAAAATGTGTGACAGCTTCAGCAGCTGAGACAGGTGAATATGTGTTCCATCCCCCCTTCCAAGGGTGTTTGCATACTCCCACAAAAATGGAAATTCCAGTAAGTGACAAAGGCCTGTGAATAACACTGTATTTTAAAAGTATAATAAAAAAAAAGACAAAACCTAAAAAAGCCTTTCTTGTTCTCTCTTTTCCCTATACAATTTATAGAGAGAGATGATAAAAATAGAGATATTGCAAAACCTGCATTCAGAAAGAATATTCCTAAAAATCTTTTAAGAGTCAGGAACACTTCAATATCCCACATGTCCTTATTTTTACTATGCCATTATATGAGGATTCTTTATTTAACAGAAATACACTTATTTTGGCCATGCTGGAATTGCTCAGTTTTTAAATGCTTACGATAATTCTCCCTGTAACAATCCTTTTTCAGGAAGGCTGTAAATGTTTTCCTTACCTCTAAGCGTGAATTGGTAATTGCCACGTTACTTTTGACCACATGACATCAAATTAATCATAAACTGAAATTTCCACCATCTTCCAGAGAGCAAGTTTCTGCACACCAAGTCCTTCTGACCCCCAATTCCACTGATCCACCATCAGAAGCTGAACAGGTCAGAAGTTTGGTCAAATATTAAAATTTTCAATTAAATTATGTCACTGAAGTTTTTACTCTGGTAAACACGTAGAGAATATAGGTTTGAGCAACATTTGAAATTTGAAATATTTAAGTCTAAGAAATTTTGCCCATTCATTACTTAGTGAACAAAACCCCAGATAAGGCTTGCATGTAAATGGAAGTAGCACAAATGTATGCAAGATATTATACAGCATGTGCTATAATGTTATTTTATTGTCAGATAATAGTTATCTATCATTATAAGAATATGTATTATTATTATTATATAATATTAAATTACTCTATCAGATAAAAGTATCCTCTTAATATATTGGGGAATGGAGTTTACATTTTCACTTTGGATATAATTTAAAAGAGAAATTGAATTCCACATTTTAAAAACATAGTTACCACTTAGTTGAGAAAAAAACAACTGTAAAACTTGCCAAAAAAATTAAGTAAAATATTATTTTAAAATATGTAATTGTGGCAAGGAGATTTCCTAGCGATTCTACATCTTTATGTTCTAATGAGAAATGCCATAAAACTTCAGCAAATGCACTATGAAATGTATAGAAATTACAAGTACTAACTCCTGCAGAAAGCAGGGCTTTACATGCCACATTAACTAGGGAACAGCAGGGCACGTGCATCGTTTATTCCCTTTGAAGAACATACATTTTAATCCATATTTTTAGACAGCACAGGGGATCCTAATGAATCATTCCAGTGGAACATTTTCATACATAAAAAAGCTTTCACAGATTAATCTTGCAAAATTGAAGCGCTGAGGCTCACCTAAAATCCATTAAAGTAAGTTTTTGCATCTCAATTTATGCAGCATCGGATGTAACAAAGCGAGTTAAAAATAAACAGAATGAAAGCAGTGAGGACTTTTTTTAACCAAAAAGAGCCTATTTTGATGTGGTACAGAGCCTGAGAACCTGGCAATGGATATTTAGTTCCACTGTTTTCCAGGGATTCTGACCTACTGGAAGAATGCAGGTGTTCCTGGGAAGAAGTGGGAAGGCAGGAGGGAAGGCAAGCGTGTTAGTACCCGTGGTCTGTCCTTCCACGTACAAAGCACATGCAGCACATCACCTGCCTCCTCAACACCCCACGGATTCGTGGCCAAAGCCAAGCACACAGGGCACGTGGACATGGCACAGGGAGAAGAGAGAGACACCGAGACAATATAAACAGCTGGCACAAAGACACGGACAGCAAAACCAAAGCTCTGGAATCTTCCCCACTGTGGAGCACACGCCGCCGACCGTGTGCCTCTGAGCAGGAGGAAGCTGTGGAGCCTGTGGGAACTGGGATAAGGGTGCCTTAGGATACCTTTATGGGTTTTCACGGATATCTTTGTGCTGACATTCTGAGCAGCTGACAAAGGGCAGGGAGCCAAGACAATGAGAAGACTCTAAAATTAGGCCCTTCCGCCCACATCGGGCGAATCCTGTTCTTTTGGATTCATTCACAACTGTGCATCAACCTTTGGGGATGAGTAGGGAAGGGAACACACCCTGACCTCTTAAAATCCAAAACATCCCTTACTATCACCTCTGTCAACTTGTCTAAAACAAGTATCTAAGTAGTGAACAGGAAATAGGTGAATTCAATGCTGCCATTCCACAGGCCAGATGGACTGTTTCTGTATGACATGCTTGGGAGCATGTGCAATATCTGCCTGCAGTGTACTATTACCATTTTAGGCCTCTTTACCATGAGATTTTAGGCACTTATTGTGGAAGATTTGACCAGGGATGATTTACTGCACACCTGCATGAGAGGCAACTTTTTCCATCAGCAGTAGTTTTTAAAAAATTTAAAAAAAAAAAAAATAGCAAGAAAGATATCATTTCACAAATAATCAGAAATTGAAATCATAATCACATATAGAGTTAGACAACAACAGTGATTATCTTCTTAGTTTATGAAGCAACCCACGGTTGATGTAATTAATAAGTAACTGCAGAGGTTGAATGAACCCCAAGGGTACCTGACTGTTACATCCTCTACTTTTCTACTTTATTAAACAAAAACCCATGTCCAGCTCTAAATTCTGTATTCTAAACACCCCCTATTACTTCGAAATACAATTTTACAGCCGAAGTATTTAAAAACCAGCAGCTCTCAAGAGCAAACCCTGTGCAGTTCAGTCTGAATAAAAGACCACGTTTTCCCAGGCGACTCCAAAATCCCATTTCAAACAATTAACCCAGTCCATAAAAAATGATGGGTTTTTCTTTTGTCCTGAAAGACTGTGAAATCAGCCATAAATAAAGAGCAGAGTGATGATGTGGCATTGCAAATAGCACAGCTGGGAGGAGGAAGCCAGTGAGAGTCACCTAATTCTCCATGGTTTGTCTGGGGAAGGGCGAGTGGCTGCTGGCACAGGGAAAGTTACCTGTTCCCAGTATTGCCTCTCAAATAAAAAGGGACTGAGCCCACTGAAGAAGTTTCCACAGGGACTGGCACGGACATTTAGGAGTCAGGCTTAGCTAAGTCCAAACCCTCTGCTTCCCCACAGCTATGCATCACATGTGTCACATGAAATTGGACCAATTAACACGCTTATTACCTAAAAAAGAGCAGTTTCATCAGCTTTTTCTTGTATGACACAGGCGGATTATTCAGGAGACTAAAGGAAATAGTACTTCTGCCTCCTACTATCACCAACACCTGCTGTTCTTTAGTCTGATAGCATAGAAAACAGTCTACATAAAACAAACACAGGAAAAAAAAAAAAAAAACAAAAGCGAGCAAGCAAAAAATCCCAGGGAACAGAAAGACTCACCCTGGTTTTGGCATCGATCTGCCCTCCGCGATCCAACAAGAGCTTCACCATGTTTGTGTTTCCCCTTTTGGAAGCCACATGCAGGGGGGTGATTCCATTCTACACCATGAAAAGAACAAAGCATGAGCCGGATGGATTTTGGAGGTGTGTTAATGGGGGTGGAGTTTGGGGTCGGATCACAACAAATGAGACCATCACGTCGTAGAGAAGAAACGAAAACGTAGTTGAGCATCAGAGCTGGGCACACACCATACAAGCTAGAGTTAGTAATTCCTTTTCTAAGCAAGACTCTTCTCTCTGTTGTTTTGGGACCCTCGAATAAACGAAGCAGCGCATCTGCCCAAGCAGCAAACATGGCAGTCCTGGGGTCAGACACACAACAACACACACCAGAGTCCCGAGGAGTCAATAGTCACAAAACACTGACGCCTCTGAATCACTGCAACGCACACAGAGTACACAAACGTGTCAGGGGCAGGGCCCTGTGCAGGCTGAGAGTCCTTGAGGACGCTCTGGGTGAGGCAAGAGGTTCTATCAGCAGCTACTCCAGGTTGGATATGGAAGGAAGACAGTGTGGAAGGTAGAACCCTAAAGTAATTCCAAGTGTGTCTGGCAAAATTAAACAGCAGATGTGTGATCCAGGAGCCAGGCTGAGGTTACCAGAGGTATCCAGGGCACACCAGATGCCATACTTCCAATCACATAATATGCAACAGCAAAAGGACTGTGGTATGTAGCTCTGCAGTCGTTTACCACAAAAGAGTTTATATAAGGGCAATATACCCTGCTTACCGTTTTCAAAATATGTTTATATGTGAAAACACCAAATTAAAGTAGCACAGTGAATACTGGATACTGGGAACAGCCAATCAATCCTACACCTGTTTCCAGAGTATGTCTAACAGACAGAAAAGCTGAAGTCAGTTGACACATTTCGAGAGTATCAGCTTTCTGGAGCTGGTCAAAGAAGCTTATTTCCTCCAGCTAGGAATTCTGGTCACTACACAACTCCCAAGGCCTCTGATGCATTGCACGGAGACGACCTTTAAAAATTACTGCAAAAAAAGACATCTTTGACCACCACAGAATTTCAGCCTTACTTTGCTCCTCTCTTAACTCAGCCCTCGACTAAGAGTTACACAAAAGATCAGCCCACTTTTAGGCCACTCCAAGTGACAAGATCATGGAAAGAGCCCGTACCCTTGCCGTGAAGTCGACTGCAGCTCCTCGGTTCAGCAGCAGCGTGGCCACGTTGACGTTCCCATAGTGTGCGGCGATGTGCAAAGGTGTAAAGCCACTCTGCAGAGGGAAACAGCCCTTGTTACACAACTCAGTTTACACAAGACCAGCAACTCAACTACAGCTTGATTTTAAACCTGCTGGCAAACAAATGTATGCTGTCCATTTTACCCAGTTCACCCATATTATAGCACAGTGTTTTCAGGGCAGTTTTCATACTAAAGGTTATCACAAGTACTTCAGTCTTTCCTTCTCCAACTTAGTCTTTTGCATCCGTGGCCAGAAAGTAGTTTTCATCTTAGAAAATATTAATGTATTAGCCATTCTTGAAGAAAATAAAGGAAGTTTCCTTATTACAATTTGGAAGCAACATGGATCTTGTGGGCTGCATCTGTTTACTGGGTTTGGATAAACATCCACAAAGTTGCTGGTTTCTTATTTTACTGCTCTTAGAAACAGGGACAACATATTTCCCTCTGTTTTTTTTTCCCTTTTTTTTTCTTTCCTTTTTTTTTTTTGAAAACAGTAATTATTCAAAATGTAATTCAAGAATTTGGTTTACATGAGAAACTTAGTAGCACAGTGAAAGAATCATAATTATTTAAGTTTATGTATGATTTGGATCACAAAGGATCTGAAGAAACTTTGCCATCTATAAATGAGAAACAAAACCAATTTACTTATTGAGTTTGGAACACTAGAAGGTGAAACCAGCTCCAGCTACAACATACAGAATCATTTGACAACAACAGATAAAAAGATTAAATTTTCAGAAAGTAGGACACAGAACAAGCTTTCAGCCTCATAAGTAATTCAAGTAGAAAGGGCCTTGCTTTTGAGGTTTCCCTGAAGAGCTTTACACTGATTTGATTGGATCTCACTGATAGTTACAGAAAGAGAGAAATATTTTTGGCTTCTTGACTACAGCACGTTTTATTTCTTCCAGTGGACAAACCACCATTTTAGACTAGTCATGGAACAAAGGAATGTAGGCACGTGTTGCCCCCCTTCAGCAGGCACTGCAGCAACACTTCCATGTTCACCCCAGCGAGGAACATTCCCGTGGGTGGGTCAGATGCCAAGAGAAGCCGCCACCTTTCAATTCGCATCACCGGCTGCCTCCCGGCAACCTGCTCATGTGTGTGCACACACCAAGTGGGAAGTGCTTTCCCATGGGTGCACCCATTCATAATTCATTCCCTCCTCTGACAGGAAAAACTCCATTATTCAAAAAAGTAGGCTTTCAAATACCAACTGCATTCTTGGAAATCGTTCTTTTCTCCTAAACGCAATAATAATCTTTCAGGGAGAAATCCCAATTCGAGCCCATCAGAGCCACGATTAAGTCTTTGGAGAGTTGGTATTTCCAAAAGCCATGTGAGAAATGTATTATTTACTGCAGGTAAATTCTGATTGTGTGCTATATCCCTTAGAGTTTTGCAAAACTTTACGGAAAAGATCATAATAAGAACAAGGGTAAAAATAAGCAGACGCCCTGCTTTTACCCTGGGGAATTTGATTACATTTATCATTGGAAAAGATGGAAAATTAATTTTACTATTATTCCGGCTGAGCCAGACACCTTGATTTAGTTATGCCAAGTGAGTGCATTTTCATAATTAATGAAACTGGGCTAAAAAAGCATCTTTATCCTCTTAGCTCCATTACTCGCTTCAGACTTCTTTGAACTGATGTGAATTCTCAACAGTGTCCTTCACTAGTGACACAAATAAAAAGAAATTCTAAGACAAAGGATGAATAAAAATAGGTTTGCCAAGTCCCAAATTTCTATGTATTAAAGAAAGAGCCATATCCTCACTTTCAGTGCTAAATAATAAAGAAATATGGCCACAGAGCAGAGAAAATAATCATAAGTAACAGAAAGAGTAATTAAAAATTGTTTATCTCGGTACCTCAGTCGTCCTATTCACCATCATCTGATGCAGCGTGGTTTGGGAAAAAGAGGAACAATATTAAAGACTGGCCGCAAAACGAAGAACTATGTTGCTTTTTTTTGAAATGAGTTATGCTGTTAATTATGGGAAAAGCCATTTGAGCATGCATTAACTTTAAACACAACCCATACTCCCATGGGCGATAAACCCACAGGGAAGCAGCGATCCTGCCTCCATTCCAGCGCCTTCTGGTTTACAAATAACATGGAAAAAGCTGGTTACCAAAGAAATGGGAGGTGTGATTGAAAAGTTTAAAAAAAAAAATAAATAAAAAAATGAGCAGGTCGGAATTACTGCAAAATTAAATATCCTGCTGGTGGTAGCAGTGGAGGAACACGTCTCTCCATACCGAAGTTACCTTTAACAGCTGGGATGAAGGGATCCCAGGGGCCGCCCACCCCGTTACCTTGGACTGCACGTCGGCGTTGTGGTCGTTCTGCAGCAGCAGCGCCGCCGACTTGGTGTCGTCCTTCCTGGCGGCGATGTGCAGGGCCGGCAGCCTCACCTTGCCCTTGGTGTCGTTCTCCAGCAGGATGGCCACCGCCTGGTTGTGCCCCTGCTGCAGCGCCACAGCCAGAGGAGTGAAGCCGTCCTGGGGGGAGAGGAAGCCAAGGCGCGCTCGGTAAGACGGAGGACGCGGAGCTTCCGTGACTCGCTCGCACGAAGGTATCCGAGACGCTCCTTGCCAGCTGTTTCCCACCTCTGCACCTCCGTCTCCATCAGCAGCACAACATTTTAACCCTTTTCAAACGTCTTCAAAAGGCTTTCAAATGCTTTTGAACATCTTTTCTCCCTTTGGTCTTTTTTTTTTTAACTCAAGCACAAGCAAAGCGTCGTTCTATAGCATCTCTCTTAATTGCTTCCCATCTTAAAACAGGCCACAAAGCATATTTTCAGCAATTTTTTGCTAAATTTAGTGAGCACTGAACAAACTAGATGTGAAAAACACACAGGGAGCCTGTTTGTGAAAAGAAAGCGTATCTTTGGACGCATTTGCTGCTGTTCCCCTTCCAAGTTACACGTGGACCGTGAGTCAAGAAAGCCCGACCATGTTTAGGAATTTATTCTAATTTGAAGGAGAAAAATACCACATTATTTGTATCTTTTGGAAAAACAAAGAAAAACATCCCTGCTTGAAATTCCTAGTTTTAGCCCTGTTTTAAAATTAGTTTCAAATTGTCTTGCTCCTCCACACATGCTTGGGCTGGCCAGTGCTTTTAAAACCCATCCCATGACCACAGCCTGCTCCTCCTGGCTGAAGTACTGCCTGCTCCCAAATATTTCATTCTGATTTGAAACCGAACCTCGCTCTGGTCACGCACTCTCCCCAAGCACAGGTGTGCTGTAACCACATGAGAGACGGGACAGAAATGCTTTGGAACAGGAATATGGAAAGAGGGTAAGATAATAAAGGCCAAGTTAGGAAGGAACCAGAGCTGACATATGCTGAAAGAAACATCTGAAGAATTGCCAAAGCCATTTTTCCCCTTAGTAATCTAATAACTTCTGCGTTGAATGGTGGGTAGGTGTGTGTTGTAACAGTGATACTGCCGTGGTTTCTGCCTGTAACAGAGATTAAATTCTGTGCAGGGAATTAAAAAGAGGTGAACAGCTGATGAAACAGCTGAACTGTAAAGATAATTCTGAGATTGGGGCTACATAAGGTGTTGAAATGGCTTAATGCATTTGCCTTTCGCCTCTGGGAACATGAGAACAAATCCTGGATTAGAGGCCCTGTGAAACTGAGCTCATCCCTACCCTCCTTTTGTATCCCTACGTATGTAAGCCTGGGAGGAAACGAAACGCATTCAAAGGCAGTGCAAGTGTCAAAGCTTCAAAGACAAGATCATCCATTTGATTTGCACCACTTCATCGTCCATCCTTCTCTAAAAGGACACCACTCTTTCTGCATTCCCTCTCCTATTGTTTCTGGAAAGCACTGCCGACAGGAGCTCGGAGAAGGATTTTCATTTCCTGACTTGCCATGAGGAGCTCCTTCTCCATGTATTCCAGTGGCATCTGTCATGTGCCATTTCTTCATCCTGTTCATGAGATGAACTCTGGGAACGTGTGGAAACAGATGGTGGCTCGGGAACAGTCACAGAATCATGGAAACCATCACCTCAGCAAGACCTGAACCTAAAAGTGACCTAGGTCTGCAAGAAGGATGTCAACAGCCTTTACCTTCCCAACTACAAAGTGAGAACTGACCTTTCTCATGGCAGCAGACAAACCTGGAATCAGGTTCAGAGTGGGGATATTTTATTTCTTTCCTCCCCTCTGCCTTTTTTTATGAAGTCAGACTATACAGTGAGTTCTTCACATGAATTATAACCACCTCGGCCTCGCAATTCCTGTAAACTGACTGAATTTCCAAGTGCACCCGATTATCCCAGCCAACAAAGTCACTGGGAGAAAGGCTGCCAGCAGGTGACTGTGAGCTCCTGGAGAGCCCCAGTTCCCCTCAGCTCCCTCACAAGGAGTGTTTCTGCCACGTTGCCTGGCAATCCCACGGGATTTTCATCCTTCAGAAAGCTGGCATGTAACGTGATCACCTCAGAGAGGATTATTTCAGGAGCTGTCACCAAATGGTACAGTGTCCACTGAGAGAGGGGACAGTGAAACAGCTGGTAATGCTGACAGTTCTCTTCCAAGGGAAGGAGAGGGAGCATAAATGCACCAGCATTTCAAACTCATCCACCTGTGGGGTCAATCCAGAATGGCAATGTTTCTGGACAGACTGGGGAAAAGTAGGAAACATGAGGAAAACCTGTGAGTAGAAAGGAACCTTCCCATTGCTACTTCACGTGGCACAAACAGGAAGGTGACACACTTTGCAGCACAGAGCCTGTTCACTCATCCCCTTGGCTTGGAATAAAAGAACACTTGGCAGAAAGAGAGCAAGAGGAGGGAACAGAATGAGCACAGTCCCCATGTTTTCCCCATTGCCCTTAAATCCCTCTTTAATTACTGTGCTTCAGTTCCTCCTGAGATGGAGTCTCATCTCCCCAACTTTAGCGGCTGCTCCGCTTGCACTGAAGTCACTGCAGGTTGACAAACCAGAACCCCAATTAACATCCTCTTTTCTGCCTTGACACCCACGTGGCCCAGCAGTAGAAATAAAGTGTCCGTGGAGAGAACAGCACATGGCCTGCTGAGCTCATGGATGTGATCCTTGTCAGCCATTTGATTTCCAGCTTACACTGTTCACAGACAATAAGGAATACTCACAGGTTACACTAAGTCCCAGATGAGCTTCAGAACCAGAGGAACTTGGGGAAAGAGCAGCAGGAAACTGGACTAAGTGACCTCCCAAATAGTTCTGTGAGCCCAGCACCACAGGGAACCTCCTCCACTCATCACTCCTGAGCTTATCTAAAATCCCAAGACCCAGTGCTGAGTTTATGGTTGGACTTGATGGTCTTAGAGGTCTTTTCAAACCTAAACAATTCTATGATCCTAAAAGGAAGCTTTTTAACAACTACCTGCTGATATCAATTGGTTTTATACCATTTTACACCACACAGACACCCTTTTAGACACAGCCCACACAGTCTTGACTTTAATCAATCCGAATATAAAGGCAAAGAAAAATATGAGACAAAAAAACTCCCCTCACCTCAGTAGCTGTGCTTTGGTTGGCTCCATTCTCCAGGAGATACTTCACCACCTCAATGTGGTTCTCTTGAGCTGCCATGTACAAAGGAGTAAAGCCATTCTAGGAAGAACACAGGAGAAAATATTCTGTTAAGGAAAGGGGAATACACCGACTATAACAAACCACAAAGAAACACACGGTTCAAAATGCATTTGTGGGTTTTTTCCCCAACTGAAATGCTCTAAGTGTGTAACAGAACAACTTTGTGTTTGTAACTTTAGATGGTAATGTTTAATGCCACTGAAACCCGGAACTCTACGTGCTCTCTCACTCATTTTCTCCTGACACGTATTTTACGGAAGCGGTGGTCACAGTAATTATTAATACAGCTATTCCTTGCTGATAGTGCTCAGGGACTGCAAAGCTGCCTAGAAGGTTTTATGAAAGCTGACAGGAAAGCAAGAGTTTCCTCCACTTATTACATTTACTTGAGCAAAGACGTCATCCCCTGGAGCCCGTGAAGTCCATACCTCCTGACAAGCTCGGCAGAGACGGCAAAGCCTTAACATCCTACATCAAATTCTGTAATACATAAAACATGGCAAATCACCCACCACAAAGGAACTCAGCCTTGCAAAGGAACCACTGCGTTTCTGACCATACAGCAGGTTCATCTCTCATTTAATTAAGAACATACATTAAAATGTTCTAAAGTTATTAAAAGAATTTGCTTCGGATAAAACAGTAATTAAAAAAATTCTTTTTAAGTTAATCAACCTACTTTGATTCAGGCAAATTCATTAGAAATTCAAGTCCTTTCTTCCCATTAAAATATTTTAATGCAAACAATTTCAATTTATTACCTACAAAATCCTGACAAAACCAAAGCATGGAAGTGAGCTGCCTGCCTGATTAATAACTTTTTTCTAAGAGATTTTAGGATTACTCAAAAGAGTTTATAAAAATCTTCAATATTCTGTAGATAACTGAGTAACATGAGAGGACATAATCACCTATACTTCTGAAAACATTCTTCTGCCTTAGAGTGGCACTTTTAGATAAAACATAAACCCTAAACCAGACCTCAAACATGCAATTTATTTGTAATTTATTTTATTATCTGGTGTGGTGTCACGCTGAATGACAGGCTTTGTACATTCACACATGGGGTCAGAATTAATGCAGTGATAACTAACAACCTCGTTTCAGAGAAGCCAATATTACTCCTTCTAAAAAAACCTGCTGTGCAAACATTCCAGTAATTTCCTACTGAAATGAAATCTCGTTTTTCAGTCACTAGATAACACAGAGATTGTAGAACTGATGTCTTCACAACCCCCCTCTGTGTTTACAAATGTAGAAGACTGTTCAGGCAATAAACATCATTTATGTTGTGGTTGTCATGTATGATATATGTCATATATGTTGTAGCAAATCTTTTAATACTGTTTTGCATAATATTCTGATGTTTCCATCGACAATCTTGGGGCACAGAATTAAAAAATGGCACCCAGAGAACAGTTAACAGCAGTTCAATGCCAAGACTGGGGGATGTCTTTTGAGTGGCTTTGCACAGGAATCAGTTATTATCCAATATTCTCAGAAATGACTCCAAGGAGGGAACAGAATCCTCTTCTTATAGTCACAGACAACATGTTCTACAAGTCCACCACACCACAGGACCGTCACTTGAAAGGTTCCTGCAACCTTGGAGAAAAAACCTGGAGAATTCATTTAGTAAGGACAAACCTAAGTTTCTCTGCTATTGTAGGAAAAATGAACTATGCACATGGGGAATGATGAGTTAGAGAAGAATTCTGCAGGAAAGGACCTGAAGGTCACAGTGGTCTTCCAGAGGGTCACTGGTCAAGGAGCTCATGCTGCAGATAATAAAGGCAATCCCCGCCCTGGCACAAAAATGTATCTCCCCAAGGAAGGTATTTTTCTTTGAGAAAAGACTCATAATTGGTGGTGTTCTGCCTGTAAAGGGCAAACGAGGAAAACAAGATAACAGTCCTTAAAGAGAAGGGTAAAGGTCTGTTCATGATCATGACGACTAAAATGAAAAAGCACAACGTTTACAAGGTTGCTGGAGGGAAAATTCAGGTTGGACATCAAGAAAAGCCTCTCAACAGGAAGGTCAGTCCCTCCTCCCAAATCCCTGCTCCAACCAGGCAGCAAACTGGATGCACACAGAGACAGGCTCTTCCATGGTCACCCTGGGGCAGGAGCAGGTGAGTCAGGGAGTGCTGGTCTGGCTGCTCCTCCGATGGCTCTTTAAAGAGAGGGAGGAAGGAGAGATCCCCTCGCCGCAGAAAACGCGGGAACGCCATTCCCAGTGGAACTGGGAAGGTGCAGGGGCTCGCCAGGCACAGGTACGAGCTGGCAGTGGGAACTGGGAACAGATTGGGTTCTTTTCCACTGCACTTGTGCAGAAAACACAGAGGAACCTGCAGGTAACCCAGTTGGCTCACTGTGGCCTTTTTCCTTCCCACTCCAGAAAGAAACAATCCTTTTTCCTTCCCACTCCAGAAAGAAACAACATGGCAACCTATTAGGTAGAACTAAGAGTAATTTTCCACCCGCCTCATCAGCTTTTTAATATTAAAGTCTCATTTTCTACACGTAATACATGCCATTTGTAAAGTCCTTCTAGCACTGCATATTACAGGGATCACACCAACTAATATAAATTGGGGGAATGTGATGATTTTCAAGCCAGAGTAAATCAATTTGCTTAAAAGCTTTGAAGAACATAATTTTTTTTTCAATCAAGTCCCTGGTTCTGGAACAGAATTAGGACTATAAATCCCAGATTAGGAGACCATAAACAATGGATATATGTGACTTGATGATGGTTTAGCACCAAGAAGTACTAAATGTTTTTCCACGCAGAGATCCAGAGGAGTGCCCATGATATCATACCTGTGCTAGAATCACACCTCAAACTGCAGCAATCAGGGGTGAGGAAATTCTTCCACATAAGATCATAGCATCTTTTTTTTTTTTCTCTCCAGGTTTTAATTATAGTCTAAAACTACTGTATACATTTCCTTGAAGTCCAGCTTATTCTGGGAATTACAACAACATGGGAAGATCTGCACGCAAAGCTACCAATATGCTGGAAAAAAGATCCCACTGAATTTTTCCCCCTGGCAAGGTCAAGCCTGATTGTTCATGCTGGCAGGGAGAAGTCTGCTTTCTCAGACTGCTTTCAGTGAAGCTCTGGTTTCAGAGCTTCTAATTGCAGCGTCCCTAACCTCAACACTCCTGGCCCTCGGCCAGAGAACTCCTATTTTAGGATTCCCAACATGCCTGCCCTCCTGGGCAGAGTTGTGCCTGTTAGCCCTGCTGGAGCTCTTCCTTCTCACCTGGCCACTGGACCCCAGGAGTCCCGTGCATCCTCCCAGTCTGCCTGGCTTCTGGGATGTGTCTGTCTGTCTGTCTGTCTGTCTGCCTGCCTCCTACTCAGCAAGTGTCTGCCTCTACCAGACAGCCCTGCAGCTGAATGGGAATGCCCACACAAAAGCAGATCATTCCCGAAGTTTCCTTTTCTCTGGTCAGTCTAAAATCCCTTTTTCCCAGTTCCTCATCACTTAGTTTCCAAGAGCTATATTGCCAACACTTGACTTCTCTGTTCTGCTTCCAGAGATACTTCAAAGCTCGGGATCCCAGATCTCTCCAAACTGAACGAAACATGTTTTCCCTTGGCTTTTGTTTCACTTTCCCTAAGTGTTTTCCACCAAATCCATGACATGCTGGTTAGTGATTCTGCATGGAACTACAGCAAGGGAGCCTGACCTCTCCCCTCAGCATGTGGAGTGGTACAGAGAGGGTTTATTGGGCCAGGGCTGGGGAATTATTACTTCAATAAATTTCCCTTCCCTTTACAGCCCTGTACTGCAAAAACAGTGCAGAATTAAAGTAAAAATATTGACTGTGACCTGGAAAAGGAGAAGCGAATTGTAATGGGTAATCATGTTGCATTTGTGTGCTTACATTCTTTGCATCTTCTGAAAAACTGAAATTAATTGTGTAATGATATGTAACATTCACTTCCAAACAATGGGTTCATCAGAGTATTTGTAGTGAGGACAGAGTACTCCGATTTCATTATCCTCCCAAATGTGAACTGCAAGATATTTACTGCTATAATATAAAGTCAGAATGAGAAATTATCACTAAACAGAGTATATTTCATACCCCCTTCTTTCCACTACATTCACTGATTTAGTGGCTAATTGGAGAAAATGAGTAGCTCTCAATGATTCTTCAAGCTATTAATGCAAATTGGCAAGTCTATCTATGACTCAGAGTTTGTATCATTAAATTTTGCCCAAGCCCTAATGAAGAACACAGGCTGAAGGAGCAGAGGGATTATTAGAACATTGAGAAAATCATGCAGTTCTGTAGCTTGGTGGAGCTTTATTCCATGGCAGGTTTTCAAGGAACTTGGGTTCCTCATTGTATGCTGAATTATCAGACTTCAGTATCCATATACCTACAGTATATCTACATATGTTACGTCCATATATATATATTCATACTGATAAGGAAAAAAGAGAAAACAGAGAAACAGCATCTCTGCATTTTGCCTCTTTGAAGAGGATTCATAAGAGTTAGCAACATCCCCTCTGATTAAATTTGTTAATATAAACCCGGATGCACCAACCTATTTTATTTGAAAGGCCTCCAGGAACTGCTTAAAACTGTATCAGAAGATCACTGAGGTTCCCAGGACAGACAAGAAAAACTGGCACCTCATCCAATAGTTTACATACAAGTGCTCATTTCTACTTACTCAAAAAGAAGGGACAGTGATAAAAAGAATGAGACGAGGGCGAGACAAGCTTAGATTACTCCTCAAAAACAGCTCACACACATATTATAAAACCTGTGTGATTCATGGTTATGTGGTAAAACACTACTTTATGCAGTAAGATCATGATCATTTGGGGGGCCTTCAAGTTCAATAACTGTTTCAGGATTTTTTTTCTGCTCTTCCAGAACATTAAGTTCCTGATCTAAATCGTTATTCAGTGACACACAAGATGACCCCCGGAGGCACCTTCCAAAAAGCCTCTAACAACCCAAGCAAAAAATTAATTGTTATCAGTGAA